CAGAATATGACATGCAGGGCCAGGGGAGTGACACAGTCGGTCGCAAATGACATGTTTGTTCTCTCACTTTTCCTTCTCGTCTTATAAAGTACTAACATGAATAAGGGCGTCCCATTAGTTTTCTGCTGCAAAGTGGATGACAGGGATTTGCAAGTGAACGGTCGGAGTTGGCTGCTGCGGCATACGTTTGCTATGAAGTGTGTACACTTTTTATGTGATAAAAAAATCAATCCTACAAAATTTTAGCAAACTTTCAATTTACTGTTTTTCATGCAAACTTGAACTTCGTAAGTCTGTGACTTTAAAACTTGAATTTAATATTTATAAAATAAAAACTTTAAAATACTTAAATTGTCAAAATCAAACAAGTTTATACTAAAATTTATTTACACAAAAAAATAATTATTTACATAATTTATACATTCAATAAAATATTGTTTTATGTATTTTGAATAAAAAGTTGGAAGTTCTCTATTTAAAAAACCAGAACCAAATTGAATAAAGTGGAACAGCAACGCAGTCTCAATCTTTTTTTTTTTGTTCCTCGTCAATAGATCAATAAAAAATTATTCAAATTCCTTATAAGATTTTCTAATAATTTATGGACGAAAAAATCAATTTTGAAGGGCAAAATTAAAAAGAAAAAAAAAAGTTTTTCCGAAAATTTACCTAATGTTCAGGAAGGAAATAAAGAAACATCTAAACAGCTTTTTACAACACATAATTCCTTGGGTGTGTTAAAAGCTCGCGATGGTCGGGTGACAGCGCTGGGCGAGCAGTCTGTGTCTGCGTCCTCATCAAGTAAAAAGCACGGGCAAGTTGATCTTAAAAAACCAGCGACGAAGTCTTCTTCCAAGAGGTGCCACAGAAACCTGTAACCTGTTCACTCGCTTCAAATAAAATTTTAATTTACCTTTCATTTCTTTCTTCAAAGAAAAAAATGCTAAAATTTCGAGCCTATCGTATGATAGCCTTTGTACGTAGTCTAGTTGTAATGCCCATTGTCATCTTTAGCACATTTTATCTTTTACATTTTTTGATTCTATATTAAAGTTTATCAACTCTTATTTCTTCAAGGATGCACGGTCACCGGATAAAAATTGTGAAGCACTCAAATTAATTCAAATTAACTGGGAAAAGAACCTCAACCATTGTTTACAAAATTGATTCAAACTAAATCAATAGATGATGAAGATGTAAATTATTTACAAAATTGTTTGCTACACATAAAAAAAAAAAATAGAACCTCAACCTTAAGTTAAACTAAATGCACACAGTTTTGTAAACGCATTTTCTATTTACCAACTGGTTTTCTCTTCCCATAAGCACACAAATACCCAAAGAATACCACTGCATACATCTATTGGCAGGCATTACAATCCTTTCTTGTGTGTGTGCGTGTATTGTGAGTTCCATTGCAGAACAAACTTACTTGTTTTGACAATAAGATTCACCAAATTAAAGATCATTTCAAGAGGAATATTCTGCTTTTGTCTAGTTCTAACATGAAAATGACTAGGTGATATAACATATCTATAATCCTTGTAGCAACTAAGATGAAAAATGCCTTCATAATCAGTTAGTAAATTCATTAATGTTTTATCGTCAAAATATGGTCATCATTTTCTAACTCATGTTATATTCAGATAAGCTTAGATGGCACCTTTTACCTTCTCCTCGTTAATCAGCTCTACTTCTAGGTGTTAGTACCTGAAGCACAATTTCCCTATATTTATTATGCACTATGTACAAGAGCAATATGTGTAACAATAATATCCTTACTAAAATGAACTGCATAATATAAGAAAATACTTGTAAAAAAATGACATAAGCAGCAGCATTGGTCATTTAAGTCATAATAGAATACAGCAATGAAGCATAGAGAAACCTAGAGGTCAAAGAACGAGACATCTACGTGTAAATTCATTCCGAGAAAGTTGTCAAAGAACTTTGGGAAATTCTATAAGCTAAAGTCATGTAGAGGTACAAAATTTTGTAAACAAAAATTCAACCTACTAAAACAACTTGTAAACACACTAAATGAAACATACAAGCTAAGAAGCATGCAGGGAAAATCAAAGGTTGTGTCCTGTGTCTATGATAGGGTAGGGCTCAAACAAGGAAAAAAGATGAAGCTCAAATTGGATATCTGAAGAGTCCGCTATGGTATTAGTTTCATGACATCAGGAATATATAGACAGACTTTAATCAAGTAGTCTTTTATGGGTTTACAATAAATTCACTAAGAAAAGGACTAAAGTTGATCGTATAAGTTCATAGGGTGTACAATCACCCAGATCAAAAAAATGTAAATAACTAAAGTTGTTAGAAGGATAGAGAATAATGGCTAATGGATTGCAAAATTAGGATATCAAGTTGTTTTAGGAATTTTATAGCAATCTAGTGAAATGTATGCTGACAAACATTGATCAGCAATATAACAGTAAGAAAAGTATTTATGGTACACATCTTATATGAAGTTCAGAAACAGAGCAAGTACTGTTGTTCTGCCATATATATCAACTGTTGGACAGATTGTTGTTGTAAGAGAAACTAGGCAAAGAAATAAAGAAGTATAGAATTGGAAGTTGACACAGTGTGAGCACCACTAACCCAACATTAAAATAAGTATAAACTAATGGAAATACAATAAAAGATCAAACAAATATCCAAGCAATATTAACAAAAAAGCACACTGAAATATTGATGATTCAAAAAAAGAGGTTCAGAGTCCAAATAATAATTAGGTGAAGTACTTGGAAATGCTTAAAATAACACCTAAGCCATCCTTAGATAAAAAAACATTGATAAAGAATTATTAGCACAAAATGTTGATAAAAAACATTGATAAAAAACATTGAAAATTAAATATCTTCAAACCATTCTCCTTTTACAATTAAAGTGAAGTTGATTATTTATATCCTCTAAACAGTTTAGCTCCTTAAAGACCAATAGTGACTCCACAAGAAGATCACGAACTGTTATGAACCAATGATGAACACCTGTGTGCTTCTGTAATAGCTTACACACTCAAACCTAAACTTACTTCTATACTAGCTTATCTGCTCAGACTAGACTTACTTTTAGCAGGTATGCATATCAAACATCACTAGGTTCAAACAAGAGAAGAGTAAACAGATGATCATAAAAAGGGAAATATAAGATACATTGCAGCAAAAATTACAGACTAGCACATCAGAATTTATGAGCTCAAAAGTTTTCAGCAAGAATTTAGTAGGATTATATACCAATAGAAGGATGATTACCATCATCAATATGAGGCAAAGGTCGTCATGCCGCCATAATAGGAGAGCTTCTCCCCGTCGCCATCATGATAACCCTCGAGACAAGAAACACCACGTCAACCACTATAGTCAAGACATGGAATTCAGGAACAGTGAGAGTCAGCACATCACCTACGTCAATTGAGATCTCGATCGATCTTTAACGACATCCATAGGTCCAAGATCCTGTATGCACGTAGCGACATCAGTTGCCCGCAGGGTCGCATTCCCATCCTTATCAAGACGTGAACCAAGAAACAAAGAATAATTAGAAATTAGAAGACTGACTAGGGCTTGTTGCGATACGTGTGGAAGCAGATCTATGTGGAATGCATCTATGGGTCCAAGATCCAGTTCCCATACATCGACCGAAGAAGTCACGGGTGGCTTCTGCCACGAGTCGCAGAGGCACAGTCCCACACACAAGAATCAGGAATCAAGAATACAAGCTAAGTGTCCAAGATTCAGTACCCACAAGATTTTACCCAAGAAGTCTTGGGGAGAGCTTCAGCCACCGTCCATAGGGGCACAATGCCACCCCCATCGACACGTTCCTCCATCCGTGCAACAGAATAATAACGAATCAAGATGACAAGCAGATCTCGACGGTCTGCATCCGAGCGTCACCCAAATAGGCACATCGATTGGACCAAGAAGAGCCCCTCATGGGCACATTCTCACCCTCGTCGACGCGCCAGTCCCGAGGAACAGACGGAAACAGAAGAATCAAGAAGACAAGTTAGGGTATGGTGGAGTGCCTGCGGAAGCAGATCGGGATGGGTCTGGATGTCGAGCAGGGCGTCGAATCCTTGGCCTTGAGGACGTCCTCGTACTTGGCGGGGCGGCGGAGACGCGGGGGATCATGGATCTGTATGCGATCGCAGGCGCCTTGATGGGGCCGGTGGTGGTCACCACCGCGAGGCCCGGAAGAAGGAAGATCAATCACGCTGGGCGAAGAGGAGGGAGAAGGAGGAGGACGACGGGAGGAGAAGAGGAGGGAAAGATCGGAGTCGGCGTCGACGCCGACCAATAGGTAGGTCGCGATCAAGTCGAAGGCAAACGTGGGCACGGCAACCAATCATTTCGATCGCAACCGAATTATAGGGTCGTAACGACGGTGGGAATAATGGAAGGAGGCACTCTGCTCCACGACGTGATTTAAGAACCGACTTAGCCGACGAGAAGCAGTGTTGGCACACATCAGCAATCACGCTTTCCGATCGGGCTTAAAAAGAAAGAAATAAGAATACCAACTAAAAAAAACCGGCGTCGGCGAGTCGGTTCGACCGCGGTTCGTTCCCGAGCCCATCGAGCCGCAGCCACGCTATCCTATTGGGATTAAAAAGAAAGAAATACGAATAATCGATGACAAAAAACCGGTGTTGGCGAGTCGGTTCGACGGGCTCGGGAACGAGCCGCACTTGAATCGATTTGGTTGGTCACATGGGTTCAAGCAACAAAGCCCAAATTGGTTCGACAAGAGCACAACCACGCACTTTGTTGCTCCAAAGCAATTATTAGACAGTTGGAGATGCCATGCACAACCACGTTTGGTACACAACAGATGACCACCGATATGAAGAACAGAAGCGACCACTAAAGAGATGACAGATTCAAACACGACACTTGTTGCTGTTGATGATGCAGTAGGTTCCCATATGAGCCCACAGAGAGAGATCAGCCAGAGAAAGTGGAGGGCATGCAGTGAGAAGAAGCTCAACTCCCGACCTCTGCGATGCTCTGCAACGCTGGCCTCCACTGCCCATGCCGCGCTGGTGCTCCACCACCGCCACCACCACCAACGCCACCGAAGCTGGCCCTTGACCTTGTTGAATTCCCCATGGTCATCATCCCCCGCACCACCTCCTCCAGCTCCGCATCCATTGCCTCCTCCTCCTCCTCCTCCTCCTCTTTCTGTTCCTGAAATAAACTCAGGTAATCAGAAAGTAGCAAAAGGCATGAGAACTATGACGCTATCTTCAACTCATCACTCTCGACGAGGCAAACACGAGTCACTGTGTCAGATAAGACTCGGAAAACAGTGCCATACGCTGTTCATGTTCTTTTTCTCTTTTCGTAGTCTTTTGCCCCTTGTTTTATCTCTGTTTTACCCTTTCGCTGAGAGATTCTGAGTGTGGGGGTGGTGGATGGACGCCGCGAGTCATTCGCTGTCGCCATGAAAGCCTAAGGGAATAATCCAAGCAGAAGCCATGCGAGCTACCACGGCAATTCGTAGTATATGCAGCCATAGTACTGGTTTTCGTGGAAGAAATTACTGGGGAAGTAAAACATACCGTCGCCGGAGATGTGTCTGGCTCGGCCGCTCCACTTCCACCATCGTTACGTGACTGACGTCTCCGGGCTCCGGCGATGGTGGTGGCGCCCCCTCTGCCGCGGCGGCTATGTCCTCTTCGGGGCCTCCTGGTTTTGTCCTCCTCTTTGACGAGCAGACGGCTCAGCTTAACGTGCCTCTTCCACGCAAACTCTCTCACTACCTCTGCAGCGATTACACGCCTCAAACCTCTGAAGCGAACAGGGAAAAGGAAGGAGTACAGAGTAGAGAGAACGACCTTCGAAGCTGATGAGCCGATAGACGTGGCCGATGTGGAGGGCGTCGTCGGGTCGGAGCAGCTTGAGGTGCTTCACGGGCGCCGCTCCGCCGGCGCTGCTACTGCCGCTGCAGCTACGATAAGCACGGAAGGAGGAGGTGGACGATTGAAGCGCCGGAGGAGGAAGCCGGGAGGGGTAACCGTCTACGATCACGGCGACGTAGTGGCCGGGGTTGGCGGCCATGACCTGACTGGCGCTGAGCGACCAGTACGCCCTCTCCACTTTGCCTCCGGGGTGGTGGATGACCACCGTCGCGGCCTCCGCCGCCTGGCAATTTCCCATCTCTCGTCCTCCTGCAACCTTATGGAATCAGTGGCAGTTTGAGATACATGGCAGCATTTATAGCTTTACGTGGAAAGAGTTCACGTATGAGGCTTTTGTTGGACGGCAAGGAGGTCTTCACGGGTGCCTATGGACGACCGAGATTTTCTCATGTCTCTATCGTACGGTGAAGATCTGGTTTACTTTTGAGATCAACTCGATATTGAAGGTCGACCATGCCATGAGAAGGTCGACCAAGAAAACATTCTTCTAACTACATACAATATTGAAACCACATTGTGGTTGAGGTATTAAGATCACCAACAAAGCTAAGGAAGATGAAGACAAGTAGGAGAAGGCCAAAAGAGTGGTAGAATGAGTAAAGAGGGTGCCAAACTTGTTAGGACATTGGACTGTTCTCACCTAATGATCCTTTGGGGTCGTGTACTACTCTATCAAACTCATCTTTTGAGCAGGAAACTTGGAAGGGAAACTCAACAGGAATTTTATTTCCAGAGAATTGGAATGAAGAACACATCAACAAGACAAAGAAAGAAGATAGGAAAAGGTGTAGTCAAACTGATCTACTTAGGCAATCTAATGCTCCATTTTTGTTCTCTTTAACATTAAAACAATATAACATCTTATTCTCATAATTATTATTGGATTAGAATAGTGGTAGATTCCCACTTTTTTAATGTTCTTGGAATGTGAAGCTCCAAACATTTATCAACAAGTCTATACCTATACCCTCCCATGATGAAAGGGAAAATTTTGTTCTTCAAATCCTATCATTATTTTAAGATTCAATCACATTTGTAATAAATAAAAAATATTAAAAATATATTAGACATAGCCCAATATCTAGATTCTAATTATTTTTTGTTTGGATTAGGGACCATCATGAAAAAAAAAGGCAAGTGCATGATGATGTGACATGAATGAGAGAAGTGTTTCCACACATAAATCATACAAACAAATGGAATACATCCTCTAATGCAGTAGGGTTTGATAGGTCACATGAGGAACAAAATACATAGCTTCAAAATTGAATATTGTACATCTCACCATCCTGCTTCAAAATTGAATATTGTACATCTCACCATCCTACTTGGTGAACTTGATCTACTAGAAAGACAAGCAAACATAAGAGTATTTTAACCATTCTTCTCCTTCATCAAGGTGGTTGACTGATTGGTTTCACTGAACAGAAGCGACTGCATTGTCAAATGTTTACTAGGAGAATCAACACTGATCATGATGGCATATCTAATACATTAAAGTAGCAAGTCATTTATAGCTCTAGCTTTTGGTTTTATCTTCTTAGAATGGATTGCACCCTAAGAAAACTTCCTCAAGATCCATGTGAAGCTTTGGAATGGGACAACAAAATTTAAGAAAGCAAGCTATGTGCTATGTACTTGATGCTTTGGCATCTGAGATGATGTTAGGAATTCATAGACCATATTCATGCAGGAAAGAACAGTCATGACAAGCAAGAAAAAATAAAAGCAACACAATCTTTGAGCAACATTCATCATGCAAAACAGTACTCTCCTTAACACATCTATGGTTTTTATGGGAGTACTTCTGAATGAAACTGAGGAAAAATGAAGACTGGGGGATCAAGATAACGTTGGTCAGAATCAAACATGTATTTTATGAATGCAAATCTGAGCTGATTAAGAGAGCTACGCAGATACAAGAAATCAACATGATTTAACACTGTAGCAAAGCTTCTGTAGCTTTGATTGGGAACTATTCCAAGTTCATTCCATGCCCACTCTGACACTCTGGAGGTGTTCATAGAGTCTTTCAATTGCCTTTTTTTATTGCTAGCTTGCAGTCATCCTATATACATCATATCTTTCTCTTCTCTTTCAAGTAAAAGGCAAAGTGGGCATGGATTGGAGTTACATGATGTAAAAAAGCTGGAAAAATCAACATGAAAGATGCAGACAAAAGAAAGGTAGAAGAATTATGAAAATTCAAATAAAAAGTCTCACCTTTTCTTTTGGCTTGACTCCATCTTGCATCTCAATAGTATGCTCCACAATGAACTATTTACCACCAAGTGGTGTCTTGCTCCAAGACCTTGCTATTGCAATTTATAGTGGAAGATTAAGATTGAAAACTAGACTTATGTTGCAAGAGGCCAGAAATAAGAGAACAAGACATTTTACCAATATTAAATTTTTACCATTTTAGGGATAAATTATTTTCGAATCGTTTATATGTTCCTCTTCATCTTTTTTTATTTCATAAAATGACGAAGATTAGAGTCGAACCTAAGATAAGATATTATGATCTATTATCAAAATCTTTATCAGTTAAACTAGTTGATACCTTACGATACATATATGCCTCTTTCTTTTGTCTAATATATAATTAATATTTGTGTAATATCATTTTATCAATTTGACTAGTACGATATACATGGATTCACTAAAATTCACAATGAATCTTTTCCGAATAGTTGTAGGCTTTTTGGATTAATGATCACCAATCAAAATTCTCTATGAGATGTTGGAATTTAGTATAAATTGGTCTATTTCTTAGCCATTTAAGCTTCTAAAATTATTGATCATCCAATCAAAACTTTTGTCAACAAATCATCCTGAATATGATTTAACCTTACTGACCCCATTGGCAAAAGGTTAGATAGTATAGATTAGAATCCTTTGATGTATGTATAGAATTCTAAAAGTGAAAAAAGAGAATCAATTTCTCCAAATTGTCTTTGGGTTGGGTGATTAGATTGTGGCACAACATGGCCCATTAAGCACCACAGAATGTGTTCATCTGATCAACCATTGGATCTTATTTGTTGATATCCTAATTCAACTTTTGGATTTGATTTAAATTAAGTTGGACTCCATCATCTATCCGAAGATTCTGCAGAACAATCTTTGAGATGACACTTCAATTGTGTCAACTCAGAATGGCCTTAAATAATTTCACAAGATTGTAGAAACTACATGTAAATCTACTTTTAAAAATGCCTTGAGATGGACAGGACCAATTCATAACTATAATACTGTGTACTAGATTTCCATTTGAAACATCAAAGACTACATACTCCTACCAACCTGCTAATTTTGAGTTCATGAAATTGTGGACTACATTATATCCCAAATCAGTATATAAACCACATAGTTTGGAGTAATTAAAGGTTATTTGAATATATATTATTTTTCTGATCTATAATAAATGCTTATGTTATTGGTTTTACCGGATGCCGATCACACGCTTAATCTTTGTTTTCACTTTAATCTCTCATTGTGCTCAATAAAGTAGAATTATTCGTACTCTATTTATTCTCACGGTGGTAAACTTGTTGCCATCAAAAGTTAATGTAATGTGAATTTATGCTATTTTAATATTTACAATAAAATCAAAAGACCTTAATGAATTTTATTAAATTATACAATAATAATTATTAAAAATCTTGTAATGGAGAGTATGAGTCAAGTTAATCATATATGGATCAAACATAGCATATGTAATACAACTTTTTCAATCATTAATAATATGAGATCATATACATGAATACAATATATTTTTTTTTATTCATGTATGGGTTTAATATTGTAATGATGAATGTAAGTCAACTTAGTCATGATGAACTTGTATCAGAGATACCAATTCAATTTTAAATTTTTAGATTATGAGCCAAACCTAATATATGTAATTTGACTTCTTAAATTATTAGTATATATGTTAGTGTAAACAACTTTATGCCGTGACCTCGGGGCCAACACGGTTTGGTTCTGGTCCGAATGGACGGGGATCTTATACGACGTTCCTTGAGACCACCAAGAGAAGAAACAGACAGAAGAACATACCACTTCCCATCACTAACTTGATCGTCAGAGGGGTCGGGCCGAGCTTCCGACCCGACCTATGTGCAGGTATAAGGACGGGGTTACTTCTTCCCGGCGTTGCGGAAAAACTTCCCTCCCGACGCAACATCCCGACCGGACCACCATAATCGATCACCTCAGCGGTCTCAAGGAACACCATACGAGATCCCCGCCTATTCGGACTCGAACCAAGCCGTATTGGCCCCGAGGTCACGGCATAAAGTTGTTTACACTAACAATATATATAATGATACCTTTTATGGCATTTTATTTTCCTCATCCATCTCTAACTCTAAGTAGCTTCCATAAATTTGGTGGACCTTCACAAGTGGTGCTCATGAGACCTGTGGAAATTATACTGATTGCAGGGACACTCTACACACAGAGAGAGAGAGAGAGAGAGAGAGAGAGAGACTATGGAAAATGGAATGACCATAAGTGGGAGGCAGCATGTGGTGACATTTATTACTATGAAGAATAAGTCCTTCAACTTGGACTGCATGCAAGTCTCGGATGCAATCCTTTTCTATGACTACTACACTAGAATAGCTGCACGGTCCACATAGAAGGAGATGCATCCACAGCCATACGCCATGTTAAGCTATCCTCAACAGCATCATGGCCTGCATTAAGTGCCATGGAAGGAAGCCTGACATGGTAAGACTGCACCCCCCGCCCTTCCCTTTCCCTCGAACCCATATCATATCATGGAGGTCGGAGATATGTGAGTCCAATCCATGTTCCCAAGTCCTTCATTACTGTACGTACCATTTTACCTTTGTGAAAGAAAGAAATTAATAACATTTAATGATAAAAATCCACTGGTAAAATAAAATAAAATAAATAATAATAATTTAAAAGTATCATCCGATGGTCAGCAAAGGGTCAATTCACAGATTACACATCCCCGCACGTGGAGTCTTTAATTCCTATTATTGTGCCACGCCCTACCCTCCAATAAGACAGCCTCTCAGCTGCACCGAAATCCACACATTAATTGCTGGATTACGCGATTCAATGGCCCACCCGCACCAAAATCCAAATCTCTCTTGACCGAGTCATCCCTCTCATCCATCCACCTGCCTCGATCGACACTCTCTTTGATCACGATCCTCTTCTCGGAAGCTTGCTTACGCACGACACCATTTTACTGTTGTGTGTGTGTGTGTGTGTGTGGCACAGACGAGCACTAAGCTGGTGTTGGGGAAAAGCCAAGCACCTTTTACTCAAGATGTGGACTGCCACTGCGGACACCACTCGGTCTTCCGACAAGCAAAGTCTTCTCGGCAGGTTCACCGTCCACGGATCGACGAGCCTTTTTAAGTTTTAACCCACCGTGTTATTTTAACTACGTGGTCACTGTGATGTGGTGCTGTACGGATGGCAATGGCCGGAGCTGAGAGACGACGACCCGACCCCATGGTTCTGATACCCACAGTTTGAGAAGATGATGATGATGATGATACACTGCAACACGGAGCTCCCCTACGTCTTCTCTGCTCACGGGAAGAGGTACACAGTGCCTCGCTGTATGGCATGTGAAGCTGATGAGGCTCCATCCCTTATCCCTTGTAGAGATGGGCAAGGATTGCCTCATCATACAGAGAGGACATCACATATATCAAGCGTATGAGAGATGGAGGATCTACGTACCAGAGATACATGACTTGGAGTATCTACGTACCAACGTGCATGTGTCTGTGATCGCAGGTGAGAGCCCGCTACCCAATTGGCAGAGTTAATTTCGTCACCCGGTCCGGTCCAAATAACCGGAGAAAGCCGGAATCTGCAAAAAAACCGAACGGTACGCCAAGTGACGTTACGAGATTGAACCATACTGGTCCGGACGATTTCTGCCGGTTCACCATCCGGTCCAGAGAATGGGATTTGGGCTTGGATCCTATCCGTGGCCCCCCCCGACTCCTCCCGTTCCCTTGTCCTTACTAATATGTCTGCATCATTGAAGGCTGTACAAAGCCACACAGAAACGGAGGAGAGGAGGAGCTGCTACTTGCGGAGCCCCTCCTATATCGATGAAATGAAGGTGGGAGAGGAGGAGGAGGAGGAGGAGGAGGAGATGAGCTCAGACTGCAGCAGCGGGTGCCAGTCTGGTTGGACCACGTACCTTGAACAGTCCTCCGAGTTCTGCAAAACTGTCGTCGATGAGAAAGGTGGATCCTATGAACACGAGGAAGAGGAGGAGGAGGACCTGTCCATGGTCTCTGATGCATCCTCTGGCCCGCCACAACTCCGTTTAGAGGATGAGCATCATAGCCGCTGCTGCCGGAAATCCAACATCGGCTCTTGGGACACTGGCTGCCATGGCTCTGCCTTCGCTCCACCTGCTGCGATGGCCAAAGACGGTTTCAAGAAGAGGAGGATTGGAGATCCTTCCTCTGCTTTGGTTGATACTGCCACCTCTCCTCTCTTCAGCTTTTCCAAGGCATATTCCAATGCTAATCTTTTCTTTTATGTCTCGGTCTCCATCTCTTTTTCCCTCGTTAAAGATCTCTCTGAAATCACTTCCATCGCAGACAAGCTTCAACAAGGAAGACAACTTCATGAAGCCATTTACGGAGCATGTTTTGGACTTCCCTTGTAGCTTCTCCTATGTCCATGTCGAGGTACATTTCAGGTTCTTCTTCATGCTTTCTTCCCTCCTTCGGTATGTCCTTTTTTCTGACTTTTGTTGTTTGGCGCCCTGCAGGAGAAGTCTGCTTTGCAAAACCCAATGAACTGCCTTCAATCCTTTACTCTTTTCAAGCCAACCCCAGTAAGACCAGTTAAGTTGTTAATGCACTCTTATTTCTGAAACATGCTAATTCTTTCACTGTCCCAACCTTCTAAAATATGTTGTTTTCGATTACAGATGTCCAGCAAAGGAGGGAAGAAAATATGGTGATAGTTTTGAGATCCCTGTTCTTCAAAAGAAGAAGAAGGAAGAAGGAAGAAGAAAGTAGAAGCAGCAGCAAGAAGATGTGTAGATGTCAAATGGATCTTTCCTTTGGCCTTGTTTTGTTTATTTTATTGGTCTCCAATGTCATTATTTTCCTTTTTGGCTTGTCACTGCAGCAGGGAACAACCTGAGCAAAAGAGAAAAAATCATTTGTCTTCTGTTCTCCCTTTTGTATTATTTCTTTTGTCATGAATGGGGATAACAAAATGGGGCTTGTGGCTTCTGTTCACTGTTGCGTCCATACTTAGCAAAAGGTCTGGGATTCTTGGAAGGAGCCACCAGCCTGTGTTTCCTTCTCCACCACCTGCTATACTCTGAACTGGTGGATGAGAGAATGGGTGCAGAACATGTCCTTGAACAGAGAAGGTTGCTGGATGGTCACTTTCAGTATCAGGGGTTGGCTTAAAACACTCCATATTGATGTGTGCAGGGTGAGGAGCAGAATCCAGTGACTCAGTGACTTCAACTTGTAGGCCATCATCTGGAACATAAAAAAAACCAAGCTGGAAATCTTGCAACAGTGGACTTGCTGTCAGTGTTGGATCAAAAGGAAATTTTTTGTAGCAAGTTCATATCCATCATGAACATGATGCAACAGCTAGCTGAGGACAGCTGAAATAGAACCACTCATTCATTTTGCTATTCATTCTTTAAATTGCTTCTTCAGAGGAAGTAAAACCAAAGTCAATTTTTTTACTTCACCTCTCTGTAGAGGAAGACCCACTGATTTTGCCATCCATCAGACCACTTTGTAGAAGAATTAATGCCTGCAATTGAAAGAACAAAGTTACTATAATCCTATATTCAAATGAGTCTAAAGATTTATATATATGGTTTTATTTTCATGAAAAGTGAACTTATTTCTGTAACCAGAATCTAATCTACAAAATGACTATCTTATCAAACAACAGGACACACCCTCATTCTTCATTATAGAATTGGCCTGAAAAGAGGAGAGCTGGCAGTAAACACATCACACAAGGCTGCCTCACTACTGTGGATGTGAATCTGACAGCATATGGAATCGACATCCCTGGCTTCCAGCCAACACAGCTCCCCCCCCTTTGAATTCCTTTTTCCAGTGATATTTCACTTCCCTGACATGTATCCTTGATCTGGGTGTGGATCGAACTCCATGACAACGCTCTCCCAGGCAAAATCTAAATCTGGGCCTCTCTTTATCTTCTCATCCTGTTCATATTCCTGAGGCTCTGACAGGGACCTGAGGAGGACTCAGAGCCAGCTGCTCTGCGCGTCCTCCAGCCAGCACAAAGCAGCATGCGCGTGCGTGCCCTGGCACCACAGCTCGCACGGATGCGCCCATGAGCCGATGAGGAGATACGGCCATCTAAAACAAATCTTAGTTGTCTAGATTGCAGAAACCTTTAGGTTTACTGCAGAATCTCAAAACAAAGCTGGTAAAAAATCCTGCTGCTAGTAAACCGAGATAATGTGGATTCCATACCTCTACTTGTTGGTGAGAGAAAACCTTCAAATTCTGCAACGTTTCCATGCACCTGAGGTCGAACACCTTCCAGGCCCATCCTCGATGAATGGTGATTAATACAAGAACCAGCAGCTGAGGCAGCACGCCAGGGGGTTGTCATCCCTCGGTATGCTTCGGCAACCAGCAATGGGGCCATATCATCGTGCAAGGCATCGTTTAGGAAGGAGAGGTTTAATATCAAGCATGTGGAGTGCATTAACACAGCTTACCTGGGACTGCGGAACCTGTCCTTCCCTCCGTCTCGTCTACATCTGGTTTCTGACGTAGGAAGCCATCGAAGTCAAGCTAATTAAAGAACTAAAAGATGAAGAGGATCAGATATAGCATCTACAACTGCATCTGCTGACAATAGCAGGAGGGAGAAGGATTCAAAGAAAGCAAATGAACATCCCAGAGCACATCACTATTGTGATGGAGAAAAGGAGAGCATAAGAAGACTTCTGTGCCATATCATTTCAGGACTGAATGAGTTACTCTGCGAGCTTCTGTCAGTTTGTGTTCCTAATGTCTCAAAGACAAGAATCTGTGTTCTAAAAAGAGCTTGCAAACTAATCACAGTATGAGTGATCAGTTCAGCTTCCATGCAAGAAAATGAAACAAAGATTTACTCACTTCGGATGTCATCCACCTTCTCTTTCTCATCTCTTCTACAAAACATTGTCTGAACTCATCAACAACCATCGAATCTTCATTATCCCCTCGATCAACAACCATCGAATCTTCCAGTCTCCTTCCTCAAACACCTCAAGATTCTCCTTCCTAGGAACTCACTGCAACTTTCAGCGCACCATATAAGGAGGTGATCATTTACAGCACGGAAGCTTCCGACTTCATGAATTTGTGAGTGGTGCAGATGAACAGACACCGAACCAACACACATGGCTTGGCTTAGCTGAGACTGGGAAATCAGAAGACAACCACTAAATTTCCTAGTGGAATGAGGACAAACACAAACACAAACACAAACAGAACATTGTTTTCAGTAGCATTACGATATCTGAAAACTGGTTTGACTTGATTCAGAGCTCCTTCAAAGCTCAAAAGTGATGTGATCCGCAATGTGCTTCAAAGCTTCGGAGATCTCTTCCTTCTTTCCAATGGCGGCGTCCGTCGCTTATGTCAGACATGTCGATAGTAAATTATGGATCCGATGATTTGATCGACCAAATCCCGTTAACCAAATGTTGACCTCAAGGTCAAAATTACAATGACCCGGTCCGTCGGTCAAAATCTAGAGACTTGGGCGGTTCGTGCGAATGAGCCGGGTCGGATTGACCATTGGCCCATAATTCACTACATTAGATCGTCATAATTGATGGAAATCAAATACAAAACAGGCAAAAGACAAATGCGGGTTTGGATTTGGGTTCTGGAGAGAGCAAACCCGACCCGTTCAAAGCATCGGGCGCCATTTGTTCTCTACGTTGGTCGAAAACCCCCCACCTTTCATTCATTCACGACGGTTCTTTTCCGCGTTCACCGGAAGCCTCAAAATCACATTCTCCTCGGAAGAAGCTTCCCAAGTCTGCGCTCCTGCTCTATAAATCGTAAGCTTTTATCATGTCTCCATCGATCCGTCAGCACGTGCTTGGATCTTGCTACCGAAGTAGTACTCTCTTTCATTTTCCTTCTAATCCGGAATTGGTTTGCCGTCGATTTCGTGAAGGACGAGGGGAACCTCTAATCAGGCCGGATCGTATTCGAACGGCATGTGTTCGATGAATTGCCTCACTTAATTTAGTGAAGCACATTCGGTCAGCTATTTACTTTTACCTCCGTTTGATTCAGATTGCCTTGGCAAAGAGTGGGTTGTACTCGCTCATCGTCTTGTGATAGTTGGAACTCGTACATCCTGATCTGCTTCGAGAGCCAATACTGACTGACCACTGCTGATCATGAGGTAAAAATAATACCTTTTAGACTTGTGTTATTATGTGTTTTCCTTCTTTGCTCTCTGTTTCCATACATACTGTCTTTGATCTATGGTACGCGCAATTGAATCCTTGTGTAAGCGGATGAAATTGAAGCATTTTGGATTTGACTCATGATCGTCCATGTTATTTTTGTTTAGAGTTTCTTATGAACTTCGATTATCTTTTGAATTCCGTTTGATTTTGTGAATCAACTGATAGTAAAAGCTGATATTTTTTTCTTCCTCTTGCAATTAACATGCTGGAAGTTTTTTACTTGTCAAATTGCTGATAAATACCGGAAATATGTTACGGTTTCAGAGATGTAATATTATGTTCTTTTGTCAGTCTTCCGGTTCTAAGCAATTTTGGATAATTGGAGTAACACGATGGTTATGTCGAGCTGAAAAGACTGCTTAGTTTTCCAATCGGATTTGATTGCACAACTTTAATGCTGATTTGTGGTTATAGGAACTTGAATTATCAAGGAATATTTTGCAAGAGGTATAGAAGAGTTGGAGCAATGCCTTCCCAGAAAATAGAGACGGGTCACCAAGATGTGGTCCATGATGTGGCGAGGGACTACTTTGGCGACCGCATGGCCACAGCATCTTCTGATACGACCATCAAGATTATTGGTGTCGGCAGCTTTTCTCATCAACACCTTGTGATACTGAGTTGCCATCAAGGTCCAGTTTGGTAGATTGCATACCATGAGCTCTTGTTATCAACATCTTGCAATACTGAGTTGCCATCAAGGTCCATTTTGGTAGATTGCATACCATGAGCTCTTGTCATCAACACCTTGCAATACTGAGTTGCCATCAAGGTCCAGTTTGGTAGATTGCATACAGTGATCGCATCCTGCAACTGTGATGGCCGGGTGATCATATGCAAAGAAGGGAACAAACCAGATGAGTGGACTCAGGCCCATGTTTTCACAGAGCAGAATAGTCCTGTCAACTCTATTGCATGGGAACATCTCCTCCATCTTTACTGCAGGAAATGATGGTGGTTGGGACACCACAAGGATCGGGTGACTTCTGCCACATGGGCTCCAGCTTTGGCCCCTTGTCAGTGCAGGACAGCTTGATCCAGTAGAGAAGCTTGCTTCTGGTGGCTGTGATAGCACTGTAAAAGTGTGGAAGCTTTACAATGGTTGCTACTCTCCGGATGCATTCTGACTAGGTAAGAGATGTAGCTTGGGCACCCATCTCGGGGATTCCAAAATCTTCCATTGCCAGTGCTTCACAGGATGCGACAATCATGGATATGGACAGTGGCAGGGGAAGGTGATGGATGGGAGGGTAATGTTTTGTTAACTTTCACACCACTGTTTGGAGAGTTTCATGGTGGTCGCTTACAGGGAATATATTTGCGGTGGCTAATGGGAACTATAATGTCACACTGTGGAAAGAAGCCGTGGCTGGAGAGTGGCAACGGTTGAATCATAGATGTCCTGATATCTGATTGGATTTCCTCATCGTATTACTTTTAGATTGTTAGGGGATGAAGTTGATGGTAGAGTCTCAGTGGTCTATCAGTCCGACTTGATTTGGATTCGAGATGTTTTCGAATGTCTGATATGGTACCGATCTATATTAAGATCCGATGTCGGATGGAATTCTCAATTTGATCCTTCCGACGCTCACTTTCAAAGTGGATTAGATAGTAGGGAAAGAGAAGGGTGTTAATCGTATGTGTGTGCCTGCCTTTTATAGTCGATATTCACCAAATATTTTATGTTTAGACTTCAGCTGATATGGTATATTTGTTGGTTGTATCTTTTTTCTACTGATTTGGATGTCTATGTCTCATTTAGAAAATTTTACTGTGCTGTGATAACTTTCTTTGCCAAACTTGTCTGCTTATGCAATCAGATTACTGAAGAATTTACTGGCATCTTGTGTGCTTTCTCCTTTTCCTGTTTTCCTATTGGGTAATACACTTTGGTGCTGCTGCATGTGGAGTCAGTCCTGTTGGCATCAGGTAATATGTCAGTGTTGGTTTTGATGGGAGGAGTTGGTGCAAAGTCCATGAATCATAAGATGCCTAAATGGCATGTTTTGGTAGGTGAATGGTGACTTGCTTGAGAAGTCATAAACTAGTGGAGCAATAAATTGTTGTTTATGTCAGGATCAACATTGCAATATACATGAAGTGATGCAGATATCAGAGATGCTGACAACGATGGGAGAAACAGATCACATGAAGGAAACATGAGGGAACAATTTGGAAGGAAGAGAGGGACATGTGATGATGACCACCGGTGGCTAACACAACTGCTGTCCTCGCATATGTTCTTGAAGCGAAGAGGAGACAGAATCACATGCTCCCCTTCACCAGTTTGTCCCCACCGCATTGTTGGATGGGAGACCACTTTTGTCGTCTCACCATAGCCAATTCGATATCCATATATCATCTCTCTCTCTCTCTCTCTGTTATCATCGGATCACACAACTACAGAGCTACCAAAAGTGCGACAAGCACCATTAACACAAGAGAGAGAGAGAGAGAGAGAGAGAGAGATAGAGGCATCTCAGAATCGACCGTGATAAGAACCACAATATACTACAGAAGTACGTAAAACAAGACATCCATTTTGATAACAGTTCCAGGATTTGACACCTAAAGAACAAGAACATGACATTTCTTACTCATTCTCAGCAGTGCACCATTGATAATGTCCCCAAGCATACTGCCTGAGTGGCCCTTACTGCAGTACTTATCTACATTATAGGACTTGAACAGGAAAATTCTAGCTCCCCAAATCAGTAACCAAACTTGTTCCGACACCCAAACTCATCTTACATATGTTACATGATGTGGCTACAGATAGCGAAGGCCTACTACCAATCTGTTAGCAAGATAAAATGTAGGAAGCTCCTCTCAGGTCAATTGCAGACTGTCTTCAATCTCTTTGCAGCCTGCACAAACCCTATGATAACCTGCAACTCGTCCAATTGCTTCAGGAAACACAAGAAGCAGTTGAGTTGGCTGAGTCAAGCTTCTGGATTTTCGATGAACAAAGAAACCGACATGAGGAAATACAAGATTACCTGTGACATGAAGTGCCTCTGGACTGCATCAACTAGCTGCTCTTTAGAAGGGTTAGGACTGGCATCCACCTTTTGCAGAAGAAAAAATATAAATCAGACAGGAGGATAAAAAATGATACACTGGAAAAGAGAAGATCAGCATCAATGAAAGAGATTCAGTACTATTTTTAACTCGAAGAAAATATTTAGAGCTTACAAGATTAAAATGACGCCAATATCTCCACAATGCTCTTGTTTCCAGCTTGCTCAGGTCAACTTTCTGCACCAACCACTTACATCATTTCTCCGTAAGAAACACCAAGATACTTGTTCAATGCATCCAATCGTAAATTTGTACACAAAATGGCCCAGAGTACAACAATTCAGACGACAGAAGCAAATGTAAGACATTCCTTGATGAAGGCAGAAGATGTCAGGTGCTAAGACCCAAAAGCAGAATCATGTTCAAGATTGTCTTTCCATGCAATTGTTTATGCAAAAGTTTTCGGTATAAGCTTACCGTTGCACCCCTGGAAGATGAAATAGATCCCTTAGAATGTGAATCACAGGACTGAGACCGGCTCAAGGATTTGTTAGATGACCCTTTATGGTGCCTGACTCTTGACCTGTGTGGCTTTTGTGCTTGCACATCATCACACACTGCAAGAACTGGTGACAATAAAAATAAAGTCCAAAAGGCCAAAACATGATGAAACCATGCCAAAAGACATAACCGATGTATCTTTCTTTATTGTAAAGAAAAATTCTAGTCTGTCAAGATGTGTTTAAAGAACATCACTCTTCACAGCCTTGGTCATTAGTGCACTTCTATTTTCCAAGAAATGGAATTCCATATAAGCATGCTTAAAAGCAATCATCATGCTATTACTTTTTTGTGTCGAATGAAAAACTAATCGTTGGCTAATCAAGTAACAAATGCTTTCCTAGAGTAATACCCTGGAAAACATGAAACAAAATGATTGCCTCTTATACAAAGCACAGAGGACCAAAGAACAGGGAAAACAAAGACTAGGGCAGGTCCGAACAAACTAGTACGTACCCTGGATAGCTATTTGAAGCAAAAGATCTAGGGCATATATGAGATTATGAAGATATCTTGATATCGGTAATAATTTCTACCTAAATGATGATGTAAATTAATCCGGTTCCTGATATGGTGATTTGATCCTATATAGCACATGGTTAAAAAATGACAATTAAAAATGAGGAAAGAAGTTATTAACTGACGGAGACAAGACCACCGGTAAACTTACCCACATCCGAACCATTCCAGTGCATGTTGTCGCATTCAATCTCATCATCTTCCTCATGACCAGTAGGGGCTTCAATGACACTAAGGGCATTTCTTTGCAGTTTCACTTCTATGCCATTAGTAAGAACCTGAAATTTCATGTATTACAATATATATTAAGATGCCAATAGTGAAACAGATTGCTTCATAGACCACAATATGTCATGTGCAAAGACCAGAATTACTTAAGAAAGTTAAGAAAAATAAATAATCATACGACATTGAAACCACAGTCATTGCAACTAGATGCCACAATCATTCAAGATACGCAAAACTACCAGTGCAGGACCATCACTAGTTTTTTCTAGCTCTCCATCATAATAATAAATAAACTAGCAATGCAGTCAACAACTTTGGAAACAGTTGGTACGTCCAAATTAAATTGGGAATTTGTTATTTGACAGAAGGTCTATCTGTTGCATTAAGCACCAAAAGTTCTTACGGACAATTAATTACATATTTTTAATATGACACAGTACATCTTTGATAATGTTTTCAGCAACTTTATTTTGCACTTTAGCTATTGTGTAATAGAATGCCAAAGTGATCGCACCCAGCAATAATGCCTGAAGTACACATATTAGATTCGGATTACGAGGACCAAGAAAGAAATGTTCCATGCAAATTCATGATTAAAGAAATGTTCCATGCAAATTCGGATTACGAGGACCAAGAAAGAAATGTTCCATGCACTTAATGAATGATGTCAATGACAACAAGAACTTGGAAAAAGAAAGAACAAGATTAAAGCCAGAGAGACCAACAAGCGATGCAGAAAATTTAAGGTCCATATAATGAATAATAAGGATACATTAGCAAGTAGCAAGTGCAGGACACAAAAATGAAAGGTTCAGAGTGTATCTTTTACTCAGATGAACAATGAGATAATCATGTCAGTTAGAAAAAGAAAATTAAGGTTGATATTCACTCAAAGAAAAAGTTAACCCCTTTGCTTTCTGTCTTCCCTGCCAACAGGATCAACCCACTAAACCCTAATTAGAGAATGCAGAATGCCCCATCAGGAAGAAAATTCTCACCCTCGAAAGTTCTGGATCTACAAATATAAACCACACATAATTTACAAGTCTGTTGAGCTAGTAATAAACAGAGGGAGACAAAAAAAAGGGGAAAATTTGCCATCCACGTTTGATCATGCTAGAAATTCATTGCGATTAGAACTGTTCGTTGTGCAAATGATGTTAACGTTTAACCAGATCTCAAACAAAGACCAATTGTTGGGCTCTGTCACTTAATAATCCTAACAGAGCATCTTGAATAAAGCAAAATTGTTGAAGAGGAACAAAACAAGAAAAAATTTACTATGATGAATCTTGCTTGCAGAAACCAAAGATGTCGAAGCAGCTTAACAAATTATGGCTTTTCATAAGAAAACCTAAGCTTTGAGTCACTTCATATAAAATTAGTAAACGTAAAAGTAGCTAAGCAAATGCGGGTTTGATTCCAGAAAAAAGAAGCGGAAGAAAAGGTCATGATCATCTTTTATCAAGATCCCCGCTGTCAGTCTATCTTTTACTTAGTCCAAGAAAAAAAAGAAGAAAACCCTATCACATTAGAGCCGTAAACTCCTCGAATTGCAGCATTTTGCGCAATTAAATCCCCGCAAACAAAACCCAAATTGATTTTGACCGAAACCCCACCAATTTGAAAACAGAACCCCTTCGAGATCTCGTAAAAGAACAAACTATTCACCGAGAAACCAATAGATCAATAGAGATCAAGCAAAGGGAACTCAATTTACCAGCCAATGCCATCCGCCGAGGCCGACAGCCTTCTTGACGACCCCCTGGAGGCCGACGAGCACCGACTTGGTCCGGTTGTTGCCGGTCACTACCACCTTGGTGTGCCGCGGCAGCACCGACAGTTCCTCCTCGCTGCTCTCCCCGGAGCTATGGTGGCACCCGCCGTCCATTGCTCCCAGCATCGCCTTCCCGCTCCCCTCCACTCCACCCACCTCAATTCAGCACCAAAAGGGATCAAAGAAGTCGCAGGAATCAGATCCCCGCGCCAAATCGGAACCGGAGATCGAGCATTGCAGCAAAAAAGATGCAATTTTGGAGAAAATTAGGGATGAGTCATTTGGGGGAAGGAGACGGGGAGAGAGAGAGAGTGAGACTGTCTCTCTTTTTCTATCCTTTTCTTTGGGGTGTCTCTTCCGGGCTGTGAATCCCGACGACCGGGAAAGGGCCAACCGGAGGCCGACACGTAAACCCAGTCGTCGCGTCGGGCCCGAGAGCGCCTCGGATTCGACGGTAGCGGTTACGGAGCGGGGGCGAGGCGTGACTCTTTGCAACGCGACATAACGGGTTTCTTCTTCGTGGCCGCACCGGGTGCAGGATCCGACCCGCTAAGGGTCTTGCGTGTTGGTGACCGATCCACGGGCGGAATTAACGTAATAATTAATTCGGAATAAATCGTTCCAATAGAATTGCTTTGTGTTCCAAAAAAAGAAAAATTACTATACCATGAATTTTCAGTGAAGGATTTATTTCATTACTTGGATATTAATCTTTTCCTCACGAATTCCCCTTTATTTTCATGATTCATATCGATGGCTTGGCAAATGAGAGGAATATGATTCACTAAACGCTTTAAGCAGAGGATAAATTCTCTCATAATAGCAGTAGTATTTATCGGAGCATTCTTTTAGAAATTTATTTTTATTATTTTAAACTATATACAATACATTCTTTCTTTCACATACTAAGATTTCTTGTATATGTATATAAGAGAGAGAGAGAGAGAGAGAGAGAGAGAGAGAGAGAGAGACAGAGGATTTGCTTCATTAGGATTGCCTGGAAGCAAGGTAGGTGTAGCTCAGCTTCATTTGCATGTCTTGATCCCATGAAAAAAGGAGAGAACAAGAGAGGCTGCTTTAGTCTCAATCTTCATCAGCTGGACTTGACAGCACTTGAATAGGCCTCAGGTAGATTAGATCATTGAGTTGCTTGATGACAATTCTTCTTGGATCAACAGCTATCCACTAAGAATCTTTGACAGTACTCTCATAATCTGTGCTAGACATGACACAATTAAGACAGCCAAGCAAGCTTCCACCCACCTTACCCATAGGTCATGCTTGATGATGGTAGGTGGGTGGGTGGTACACAGCAGCTGTTTTTGAGGATATGTGACCAGTCTGATTATGATTGCAGCAAGTGGTCAAATGTATCAGTACCAGCACTGGAAAGATGTATGTATGCATGTATAGAACCTTGGGATTGTTTCCCTCAGGCCATTCAGCTGCACATTTTAGTTCCTGTAAGCAGGAAAAAGCCACATCAGACTGGGAAACAGGGTTCCAAGTTGTCAAATCCACAAGATTCTCCACCTGGGTTTTGTCTACTATGTGATTTACCATGTGATGCTACATGCAATCACATTAGTTCACTTTTAATAGTCACTGCTTCATATTTACACTGTTGCATTGTATTCAAACAACATCACTGTCAAGTCAATTCCAACTACAGCTGTTGGATTTGATCATTATGATGGTGATAGGCTGGAATCCAAGAAGATGATTAGTGTGACTAACAGATACATACAAATGAGAAAATTTTTGTGACTCAAAATATTAGATACCAAGTTATCAAGGAGCAACATAACCAATATGCCAAAGTTCACCCTTCTTAAGATACAATCATATAATTTGTCTTAGAAAAAGTAGATAAATTCATGATCACTTTTGATTTTACTTTTCCCTAATCAATGGCCCACTTGTCCTGTGAGCTGATAAAGAGAGACCTCTCTTGAGTGCTCTCAATCATCCATATTCCCTTTTTCTTTTTCATTTTTTCTGCCAATGCTATGATCACACAATCTCAGTTATGATGGCTTGGTAATAATTGTTCCATGTACTGTTCTGCAAGGGGCTCAATCCTAGCATACACAGATGAAGAACAGTCATTCTCAATGAATAATGTTTATGACAGTCAAGGTTTTGGTTTTAGTTATAAGCAGAAGGAAGAAACAATTATTATCTCCCAGAGTGACTTCTTATATAAGGATATGAAATCATTAGTGTCTAAGTCTATGGAGAATTTTCTTACCTCATAATTATAGTATTATCTTGCCATATTTGCTCTGTGTTTCAAGTCATAATTATTGAATGCCTCTGAGAACAGAAAAGCTGGATAATAATTCATACCACAAGAAGATTTTTCTCTCTGTGGACATATTTGATGCTGTCAGCAAGGCATGGATGAGGCTTTTAATACCACCAATTGCTAAGCTCAATTGACGCCAGATCTGCTTCTATATGTTAATTTTCTGAAAGAGACTGGGAATGATTGAGTGTAGTTTTACTCTAACTAGTTTTACTGATGTAATTAGCAAACAATTAGTTTCTAATATGCTAACAAAAAGTAAGAAATCTTGATTTCTTTTTCCTCATCATGAAGCTAATTCATTGAATTTGCAATATTTCCTAAGATGCATTAAATCACTCAGTTGCATGATAAAAGCTATGGTGAAATTGTGCAGATCTGTCCCCTTCCTATGCAAATTTGTCCAAATTTGTCAGTGTTTGGGCTTAATCTCTTCATTAATTGCTGTAAACACATGAAAATGAAGCCAGAGTTAACAATCTAGCAACTTATTGAAAAGAAAGAAACATGCAGGTCTCACAAGACAATCAATAGAGTTCAAGAGTAAGTTATCTGAACAATCCATTATTGCTGGTGTAGTTGGGGGCTTCAGTCTTCTTTCTCCTTCTGAAACTGGTACAAACTTCCTTGAGGACCAACAGCACAAAATTATTACTCTCATAAGCATCATGACCTTTCATTCTTTGCTGTAGCTTTTGAAAGAAAGGTGGTGATTCATCAGATCAGTCAAAAGAGATCCAGAACCTGCACATGAAACATCAGTGAGTGAGATGAAAGTTACTACTTTTCTTCATTGAGACACTGCATAGTTTTGCCTTTAAGAACAGAAAGGAAACCATTCATAAGAGAACAACTGAGGTGGGTTAAACTACAATGTAAAGTCACAGTGACACCTACTAAATAAAGGGTTAGTCCAAAGTGTGCATAATTAATGGGGTCAAGCCAAAAGTGAAAATGCCAGACCCATGTTAATAATATATCTTCTACTTGTGACAACTCATAGTGAGCAGCAGTCTTCATCTTGAACATGAGGCAGGGAAGGCTTTTACTTCCACCATTTCTTTCTTGTGCAGTGCATGCTCCATTCTTGGTGCATGATATCCTTATATTGATGGTTGTAATAAACCTCTATTGATTGTTTCTGATTTCACTGTCAGATACTGATGGCATTTTATTCTTAGCAGAATGCCCTGCATGGTTTACATTTCCACATCTACATGCCTTGGCATCTTTGGTGATATGGTTAGCAGAATGCTGTATAGTATGCGCACGAATCTTAAAGTGAATGTAGTGTATGATTTACTAGTAGTTCAGGTGGGTAACCCAAATGAAACCAAACAGGCCATCACATTTGGGTTACATGAGGTCGACCTCAGCTTTTCAACACTGATTCCCACAGTGACAATAAATATGGGATTGTAATGCATGCACATGGGACAAACACAAGGTTGATAAAGAGCTTTCATTCTGTTCTTCATCTTGCAAATTTTTCACTAAACACACAAGGCTAGACAAAATCAGTTCTGCTACATTTGAGATCGTTGCACCAGATAGTTCAAGAAAGAATTCGACGTTGATATACATTCAAGACCACCAATTCTATCATATAGTAAGATGCTCCTGGAATTCCATGTGGAAACCTTGGCAGCTGAATGCTACCTCACCAAAGAAAACTCTGATGGCAACCAGAATCCGACACCAGAGCAGGATGATCGATAGCGTGAAAACGGTGGTTACCACTTTTGCTGTTTGTGACAATCTGAGGCAAGAAGAAGTTATTGGGCCACAATTGTTCATCTTCGTTATATCTGGAATCTGTTACATGGTTGGACGATTCATTCCTTGAAATAAATTCCACAAATGAAGACTTGATACTATCTATGATCCGGAAGGTTAGCCAGGTTCCATAGGGCAGAAATGCTGCCTGTCATCTGACAAATCAGTTGTTGAAACAAATGCCATAAGAAAATGACAGTGATGATGAGTGAAGTCAGTTGCCAAATCACTAAAATAGAAGTGATCTTCAGAGCTTGTCAATCACTTTTATAATTTTGATTTGCTGATCGAGGAAGATTGTATATTATTAATCCCAGAACCAGAATGGCAGCACCAACAACAAAGTGAACATTCAAGCTTGCGCCTTCAGGGATGTAAGGTAGTGGAAGTGAGAGAATATAGATGGAAAGTGGAACTGCAAGGAAGTTAAATCAGCCATTAGTCCAAACAAAGAATATATATGTGACCTGTTCAAAGAGGTCAATATGTAAGTTGTGTTCTGCAGACTTATAAAACTTTAGGAAGCATTATCAATTTCCAACTCGTATTTTAGTCCTAATGGAATTAATCTTTTGGTAGAACAAAACCTCTAATTATGGATTGCAGTGCATATATCACATGTATGTATTATACCAGCACCATAAATAGATCCAGACCATTGTGTTACCTATGCAGCCATCAATGCAGAAACTTTGTGACATGCATGCCACACCATATGGAGTCAATATTATGCAGAATTCATGCATGCATCCTATTACTAAAGATGCCTTGCACTCATCAATATGAGCATGACATTGGTACCTTACTGCATTGTGTCACTGGCAAAGAAGCATATGAACAGAACAGGCATCAAAAAAGATTTTGCATAAAACTGAACTGGTCGGATTCAGAAGTGACTGTATTATATCATTTGCAATAGACCTAAACATGAGAAAGAGAGGAAGAAAAAAATACCTGCTAGTGTTATTGCAAGAGAAGAAACCAATGCAGATGACATCTTCACCAGATTAAGCAATGATATATTAAAAGCCATATTCATTGCGATGAAAAGTAGAGGCAACAATGGTGCACCTTCACAGCCTGAAGAATGGCAGAAGGAACCAGGTCAGCTTCATCAACCAAAGCAGCAAACAAACAAAGAAATTAGTTCCTTCACTAAAAAGCTTAAAAAAAGTTGATGACACCAGCATTTTTTAGAGCATATAGAATACGAACAAATTAAAATATGAAAATAAATCCCAATTCAGCTGATGAACCTTATTTACTAAAAATATACCTTTTATGGTGATACTTCTTTCGCACATCAGAGCTTTCAAATTTTAAGTTGGTACAATCATATTCAAGAGGTTAAAGGTGAACTTGGACAAAAGAGGGATGCTAGGCCTAGACACACCTACATATATTTCATTAATGAAAATGCAGCAAATTCATATAGGTCACAATTATGATGTACCAATATAAGTCTGAAGGTCATTTGCCTATAGTTAGACTTATTGGAGAACCAACATAACAGAAAAGTTGGTGGCCATAACATCTTCCATAAATTTTTTTTCCATAGTGACCCCATATTCTCCATCTCTTAAAGCAGGGCACTTTTATACAGGTTCCAAGAAAAGACACGGTCATTTCATCATTGGTTGTGAAGGCACTTTGTTACAGCTTCAATACAAAAGTCTACCTTCAATCATGCTCTAGACTGGGTCATTTCATGATTAGCTTGTGGAACAACTTTTTTCAGCTTTAGTATGAAAGTATACTTTAATCATGCTTTTTAATATATTGATATTTTGATCAAACTGGTAACACCTAACATATCCATATGTGCTTGAATATTTTGCCTATACAAACTAAATATCATACCCACCAAGGTAGGCAATACCGAATGATACCATCTGGTACGGGCGGTACGTACCGGTCCGACGGCATACCGGTACGCAGACCGCTCGCTATCGGACAGAACAAAAAATAATAATAAAATAAAATTATATATATATATATATATATATATATATATATATATATATATTTATATATAAATATTTTAGAAAAAGGCGATGTTCAGTGACGTCGCCTTTTTCGGATTTTATATATATATATATATATATATATATATATATATATATATATATATATATATATATATATATATATACCGCTCGGTATACAGTTTCGTACCGTACCGAGCGAACGTCGAAACTCTGGTACGGTACGAAATTGCAGACCTTGATACCCACCAATATCAAACAAAAAAGATACTGGTTTACAACTTAAATTATGCATTTCACTTTAATATTTAGTTGATTCACTACGTGACATGGTTTCTCAAAGAAAAAAAATACTGATTTAGAACTTATCTTTGCATTTCACACTTTTTTTGTGGATTCTCTACTATTACACGGTTTCATTACATATTTTAACATGGTGCCTCTATAGACTGTTAAATGGCAATGTGGCTTTGTTTTTTATGCACAAAAAATTGAATGACCAATGATGGAGATATAATCCTACATGAGCTTTATGTCTAACTTTCTTCCCTTAAAACAACAAAAAGATCAGATGTAATAGATGTCAAATACGACAAAACTAACAATTATGTTACTAGTTAATTAAGAATATAGTGAGATGAGCAAAAAATATTAACAAGTGATATATCTCTTTCCGGAACATGAATAGCCAAATATCAGAAGTTGAAACATTTCCTTTGAGAAAACTTGCCTTTCGTAAGGCTGCCAACATTTAAAAAGCATGCGGCACCACTTCTCAGGTATGCAGGGAGTTCAGCAAAAGGAATTCCTCTTATGTTCGACAGAAATGGAAGAAGAAGGAAAACAAAAAGAGCCTGCAGTAAAAGACAAGATGCTTGAAGCTTCTGATGGGTTTGTTTGGACTTTGGAGCTAATAAGATTTCAGGGAAAAAAAAAGGTACAAAGAGCATTACAATAAAAACATTTAACTAGCAAATTTAAAGTTAAATAGATACAGATATCGTATTTTGTAAGCATTACAAATAAGAAATGGTTTACATGGATAAGGAAATAACTTAAGTAAAAGCTAACCTGAAACCCAGATCCGAAAGAATTGACAACAAATATGTCAGGAGGCTTTCCCTGCATTAGCACATACAGATCACTTAAAAGGCAATAAAGATTCTGTGAAACTACATCTAAGACATGAAACTTCTTGTCTATGCTTAAGTTCCACAATAACTGAATATGCTACCAAACAATATATTCATATACAGCACTACTAAAGTTTTACCCAAAGGCGCTTTGCCCCATCAATGAAAACAAATTCCTGCAATTTGAAGTAAGATAAGTTTATAAAGTTTTTTTTCGATCAAAATGATAGTAACGTATTCGAGATCAGAAGTGACTCAGACCTTGAGAATGGATGCAGCAGCTTGAAATGCAGATGAAGCTACCATTAGTGCAGGCCAAAGAAGTTCGACTTGAGATAGAAATTCACCATTATTTGCCCCACTGGAATCAATCAAGACAAAGTTGGTACCAGCAGATCTTAATTGTAAAACAAAATATGCGAGTTTTGATAAAGGATAATTCAATATAACAATGTACTATATAGTATACACACATATAAGGAATCATATTTTGGGGCTGATTATTGTTGATTCACATGATTGATTGAAAGAATGTAAATCAATAGATGTGTATGGCAAGATCGGTCAAACATACAGATTGGAAACTAAGTTTATCTGCATCAACAACCTTGTGTTTATAAGAAAGAGAATTCTAAGTATAAGATCAAGGATCTTTTCACTGTAGTTCGGTGGCATGTTGGTACTTGGCAGGCACAACCTCATGACCCAGAACATCCAAAGTATGTGATGCTCATGCAGGTCATGTGCCTACAACTCTATATATGGGCATAATAATGGAACACACACATAACGAAGTGCTGGTATTTCGCCAGCACATTACTACACTTGTGCACTGGCAACCAAAGCTCAAGAGTTTCTACCTATGAAATTTAAACTGTAAGAACATGTCATTTTACAGAGTCCAACTTCCTTTAAATTCATGAGAATTGTCTGCTTCACAATGGAAACATAGGCTGCAAATGAATTCTCTAATCTAGATCTATGTAGAATGACAATGTCAAGACCAATATCATCATCTATCTACAAAGAACTGTAAAACTTATACATATCAAATTTACCTTTTCTGATAGGGAGGCTTTGAGTATGTAAACATCCATTCATCATAAGAAGATGAATGATCAGAAATTGTGGAGCAACTTTAAATTTGTAATTGGATGTGACCCAACGGCATCTAGGATAAACGACCCATTGAGTTTTCCAAGTTAAAGGTTTAAGATAGTTTGTAATTGACACAAATACTCTGTTCCATGTGTAATTTGCATTAAGGCGGCATGATTTTTTTAACAAGTGATGTTGCCAAATATAATATCCTTACTCTAAATAGGAAAGTCTCAGTCGCTTCCAATTAAACAACTTAGTGTTCTCCAAAGACGTAATAAGCACCAAACAAGTAAGCCATAAATTCAACATAAATTAATCATACAGTAGCTTGATATAAATCAAAACAAAAGCATAAATATAACTTAATTGCACACCTTGCCACAGATATAACAACTCCAGCAGTTACAAGTAAGCAACCAAAAACTTGGATGAATGAGTATTTCCTTCCCAAGATCAGGACAGACAAGATGAGTTGCCAGACCAAGAAAGTCTGCATCAAAACACGATAAGATTGGATATATTAGAACAGTAGCAGCTATCGGACCACCAAAAACAAAGCAGCCACCAGAATTCCCTGTTAACTTCATCAAAGTAAATTAGCCATTAAAGACTAGGACTTACATTTTCAAATGAATTATAATTGTAACAAGCTCATGTGCCATGGGATTATTAAAAAGATTGGGAAGCAGTTCAAAACATAATGAAAATGAAACAAACACTATGGTACTTAAGGTTACAAACTCCTTCCTTACTATGCACCTGATGTAATAAGAAACATTAACAAAAACGAAGTCAATTCATTATAATTGCAATATTGATGATGAGTTTGAGATGTGAGAAATATTTGAGTTGTGGACTAGAGTCACATGAGCTCAAAGATCATGTGGCAAAAGCTTGCAGTTCATTGTCAGGTCAAGGAACTGGAAATCTATGTCTAAGTCTAAACAGTTGTGACAGTCACATAGGAGAAAATATGATCCAGATGGAGAATGGTCTTATTCAAAACACCATAACTTCAGCAAAATTTCCATGCTACCTGGTTCATAGAGCCTTTATTAGAAATAAGAAAACTGAAAATATATAAAATCTAATAGAAGCTTTTAGAAAATTATTGACTTAACTGTACAGTTTTCTCAGTTTGAAAAATGAGTGAAAAAAAGAACAAAATAGCCATTCATCTATGTGGTGTCTTTTTCTACAATTAAAAAAAAAAGACTCATTTCAACAGACGATTGTAATTTCCCTTTACTGTTGAAATTCAGATATAAGATGCAAAATGCCATGATCCATGATGCTTCTTTGAAGGATATTCCTAGAAATAGTAACCACTGCAATAGTGCAATTTTTCATACAGTGTAGAAAACATAAAGCTGTTTGATTTGATGATGATAAAGAAAATGCTATTTGGAGCCTTACAATTAACTAAATAAATAAAGAATTTACATCAACATTAGTGCAATCTGCCTCCAACATTCATGAAAATGTATAAAAACTATCATGAAACGGAAGTAGATATAGACTGTATGAATTTTAAGCAAGTATTTGTTTAAGCCAGAATTACCTGAGACAATATAGGAATGGCTGGTCCAGGAAGCATAGCTGTTATGAAATGAGAAATCATTAGAAAAGAGAAAACAGTCACCAAGTAAAATAAGTTTGCCATATTTTCAGTGCATCCTTTCATAAGCAAATAAATCAGAGACAAATGGAACAAAGGCTGCAAAAAAAAGAAGAAAGAACCCTCAGAGTTCCAAATAAATCTCTTCGAGTTAATTCTTTTGACAATATTCGCTGAAAATTTCAAAGAGGGATGCCACAGGAATTCCAGTCAGGTGAAAACAAACAAAAGAGAGAAAATTCTCCAGGTTCTTTTTGTCGTGCAAGAGGAAGAAGTGGTCAACTTACCTCCTGCCGACATTCCTGAAGCAACACCAAGAGCTTCCAGAAAGCCAATTGCTATAAACTGAGATTTTGGGAGCGCCAGCATTTCCTTGGTTACAATACCGGCACTATATCTAAGGTAGAGAATGAAGAAATATACCGCCACATAACTGCAAATGATTCGCAAAAAGTTTGATATGTTACAGAGACAAAGACGAGATGCCAGACACAAAATGTTAACAGATTAAATAGAATGGTAAGAGCGTATGAATAAAGAATCAACAACAGAAATGCCAATGGTTGACATGGCAAGTGTACTCTAAAATGATCTCAGTTGTCAAACCAAGGAAAACTGGAGTTGTATCAGAGCATCACACAAAAGTGTATACTGCTTAATAAGCCAATTAAGTACTTCTGGAATTACCATAGATGTTTTTCCATTTTGCTTCTTTTTATTACGATGGACCTGATTTTAGAATGAAGAACTTTAATTTGTTATAGAAATTCATTAAGATCTAAAACAACTTTTATTAGAGCTCTCCAAACCCAGAATTTTCAGTATTTATCTCACATTTCCATCTACTAATTTCTTTGGTGTAATCAACATAAACCCTACTCCAAGGGTTTTTGTTCCATATGACAATCTCCAAGGGCAAATGCCCTCAAACACAGAACGTCTGGAGCAGAACTTTTGTGGCATCTGCAAAATTGACCAAAGAATCAACTAATGGAAGAAGGAATAACTTAATCTGGTAAATAAATGCAAAGGATTCCATTGGAAAAACGACACAAAATAGCAAACTACTTATTCAATAAAAAGGACCAATTTGTCAAGACGCAGAGGAAAAGAAATTATAACGACCTACAGGAAAAGAAATCATCAATCTGTACGAAAAATATCAATAAAGTGGAATCATGTCCGATCAGAATTCTCGTTCGAAAATGCATTTGAATTGAATGACGAGGCCCTAAGACATATAATTAGTCACAAATTTATCAAAGGATCCTAATAAACAATATCTTTTACCCGAAGGTTGTAACTTGAGCCAAGAAGAAGGGGTATTCCTTCATAGGGACGAGGGCGAGCTTGTAGAGGACCCGGTTGAGGACCGCCAGGAGAATCGTGACCGTCGAAGCGACCGCAATTTTCCCGCTAAGACTACCAGCAGGCTCCATTTCGCCCCTGATAGCCCTAACCGCGGAAAAGGCCGGTTTTTTACTCTCCCTCAACCAACTGGAGAACAACCGGCTCCTTCCACCAGTAAGAAGCAGGGGATCGCGGCGGTCAAGGCGCACCGCCAAAGGAGCGATTGGAGGAACCCTACGATTCCAAAGCGACGGCGGATTGGCTGTGGCGACGGATCGGCTGAGGGCAAGGTGTGGAGCGGCGCAACGGTGGAAGCGGAATGCAGCAGCGGAGAGTTCCATCGCAGGAGATCCCGCTCCCTCGGAATCTTTCGTCGATCGAATACAGTGACGAGAGAGAGACCTGAGAAGCTAATTAAAAGAGTTCGAAGGATCGAAGTGGTTGTGATACAAGCAAAGGCGGAGAGGCAGTTTTCACCCCGAAGAAACATACCTGTTCGATTACCTGTCATGTAATTGGAAGAAAGCATGATCTAACTAGGTGGGCCCGTATCATATGAGCCACGTATATAGAAAGTCCCTGAGTTACAGTTGGAATACTGCATTCACTAAATAGCACGTGATTTGCATGGGAGACACACGTGTAACATAAGTCTGACAAAGAGACGTACGTGTCAGTGCCCTCCTAAAATCTTAATCCGATAAGATTATGAATGCAAAATATACCACATTAAAATGGGTTATTCTTGGAAAAAAACCATTCATTTTAGGCATTTTGCCAGAGGATGTCTTAGTTTTTAATTTTCTTATTTGATATATTTTTTTTTTCTAATATCTTATATGTCTCACGTCGTCGTATTAACTTTTGTATCATCATGATACCTCTCCGTATTGTGATCCGGTCTCGTTCTCATGAAGTCTTCATCTTCGACATTGATTATCATCGGTCATTACCTCCGTTTTGTGAAACTCGTAGTCCGTAGTCCCATGTCTAACTTCCCCCTACTTCCACCCTCCTTGAGGCTCCATTTCATCTCCTTACACATTATTAGCGGTCACCTTATCCTCTTTAATCTTCATACCCCCTTCCTTATTGCTCATCTCGCTATCGTCGAGTAATAATGGGGACTCATGGCAAGATGGAAGTGGTAGGACGGAGGGTTCCAAGGAGGAGAGAAGAGGATGACTGATGGAGAAGAAACAAGAGGTTTTTTTGACGTTGAGGGAAGAGGTTGCTAGCGGGTTGTTACCGATGAGGAGTGTGAGTGAAGGTAATGGGTTTAGGATTAGCTCCCACGAGCTTCACTACGATCGCATCCTATTGGATAATTCAACCTTCAACTGTTGCTCGGGGTCACGAGGCCATGATAAAAATATATCAAATAGAAAATTAAAAATTGGAATACCTTTCAAAAAAAATTCCTAAAAGAGGGTTTTTTTTATTAAAAAAATCATCACATTAAAATTAGTTCTGTGATATACTCTAATTTTGTATTTATTTTAACCTTGTTATATTTTGATCAAAAGCTAAGCATGGGCAGGGAATTTTGAATCTTGCAGTCCTTTGACTGAAAGGCAATTAAGGTCAGCTGGAAATTGTTTCTTCTAGCTTTAGATTTGCCTTCTTTTTTTGACACGCTCAAATGAGAGAGTATTTGACTGAATGGCAAACATGAAAGGAATACAAATAGTTTCTTCTTGTTATCATTTTAGGCCAGGATTATATGGACCTACTGGTATTGTTTTCTTTTGTGATAGATGTGTGTTGTTCCTGCTAAAAGACCATGGAAAACATTTCCCTGAGTGGATGCAGAAAGCAATGAGCACAACTTGTATCAGACATCACTAGTTTCTATCTTATTTATGGCTTAATCTCAATTTTTCTTGCTCTTACATGTGTTAATTGTTTTTCCTAAATTATTCTCGATGATAGATCTTCAGGAAAATACTTTCTAAGGAGGACTAACATTTTATTTTTATTGGGGTCCTGCTGCTGCATCAACCTAAAGACATGCTTCATCAGCAAATTGGCATTACCGCACCCTAAGTTCCAATCATGAGTGCTAAAAGTATAAAACCAATGTATGCAATATCGTACCATACTGGTGTTTCGAGGTTGACTTGGTACAGTATGGTACTAGCGTACCGAGTGATACACCACGACGTATCGAGCGATACACCAGGGCTTATCGAGTAATTTTAAATATTTTTTCTCTTTATTGTAGCACGGTAGCACGGTCCGTCTGATAGTGGGCGATCCGCGTACAGGTATACCGTCGGACCAGTATATACCACTCGTATCGAGTGATACTATTCAAAATTACATACCATGTATAAAACTATCATCACAAGTTCAAGGTCAGTTGGTGATCAGCATGAAAATATGATTTGATGGTCCAAATGATCTTTCACTCAAGTTTCTATGACAAATCTGACAGCCAATATTTGGTATTACTCTCTTTTTATTTTTTGAAGAAAATAACACTTCATGTCCAAGAATTAAAGACAGAGATCTACCTGTATAACTTATTAGCAAAAATCCAAAAAAGGCCAGCTGACAAGCCATGAAATGGAGGAAAATAGAAGACAAGAATTTCATGCAACAAGCATGTTTTCCTATTTTTGGTTTTTTTCTTTGTTTTCTTTCTTTCTATGTGTAAAGAATCATACTTCATGTGGAAGAATCAAACACAGAAATCTACCTGTTAAATCTATTAGCACAAATCTAAAGTCCAGCAAAGAAGCCATTGAAATGGAGGAAATAGAAGCCAAGAGTTTCATGCAGCAAACAAGTTTTCCTCTTTTTGTTTTTTTCTTTCTATGTGTAGAGAATTATACTTCATGTGGAAGAATCAAAGACAGAAATCTACCTATTAAACCTATGAGCACAAATCTAAAAGGCCAGCTGAGAAGCCATTGAAATGGAGGAAATAGAAGACAAGAGCTTCATGCATCAAGCATGTCCTGTAAGAGATCTGGCATTTCTGGTGTGATTGCTACTTCCTGTGCAAAGAAACAAAATACAAGACTCAAGTTCCAGCTGCCAGCCAAAAGCAAAGGTAACTATCAACTCTCCTTTCTATATCATGTCTGCCATGTGACTTGCTGCTGTAAGATCCAATCTTTGAACCAAGAGATGTTCAATTCTTTCCACCTCAAGTGAAGTATATACTTACTAGTGTAAATCTGATTGCTAGATCTCATTATGCTAGAAACTATGGTTTACAAATCACAGGAAGAGATTTCCTCAAGAAAAGTACCACAGAGAAAGATGCCAGCCAAAGCAAAGGCAACAGTGGTGCCATGAGACTTGTTATTAGATTCAGTCCATTGAGCTGAGAGTTGCTTAATGCCTTCCACCTCAAGTGAAGTATATATTTGGGAGTGTAAAGTTTTCTGCTAGTATTATCTACTTGTCAAACCCAAAATTGTTATGCTGTAAAGAAGTGTTCACCAAGAACAGAGAGATGATGCTGCCTGTGGCTTGATAATTGCATTGGTCAGTCTGTCAACTTGAGGTCTTTTTATTTTTCTCTCATTTTTCTTTGTAAACAAGTGAGATGATGAATCTTTATGGCACTATCTTAGTTGATGATGTAAGTTTAGAAGATCCAGAATTAGGCTTGTATCCAATACTTCATAATATAACAAAAAGCAGCACTATTTTGACACCTTTTGGTAGGATTTTTCAAATGTAAACTGGTATAGTGCTTCTTATCACACTCTCTGTTCATGATGGAAGAACTGTGGAAGACTCAGAATTAAGCTTACACATAAAATACTTGTGATCTGATCTTTAAGTCAAACTTCCCACTCTTAAACAAGTTGCTTCTGAATCACTACACCACTATCTCTCTTGATGATGAAGCTTTGGAAGATTCAGAATTAGGATCATATCCAATACTTGTAATCTGATCAAAAAGCAGTATTCTGGCATTCACTTGAATACTTGATGATGGAACTTTGGAAGTTTCAGAATTAGGCTTAGATGCAATAATTCCTAAGCAAATCAGTAGTATCTCAGCATCTTGAGGTCAATTGCCACTGAATCTTTTTACCACTATCTCTGTTGATGATGGAACTTTGGAAGATTCAAATTAGAACTCTTGAGTGACTTTTTGCTGGTGACAACCTCATCTCATCATGCTGAAAGCAGCATTCAGACACAGACAGAATCTATTGGTCTGCAAACGGACATGGCTTTTGACCTGAAGTGGTCGAACTTTAGTAGGCTGGTTTCCATCATTTACCAGGTCACAAACGCGTTGAATCCAACCCTGGAAACTTCCACCAAGATGCCATGGATCTTGTTGAACTCAACCCAACCCACAAAGCTCATCTTGCTCAGTACATGAAGCTATTATTTCTTTTTCGCGATCCGGATGATATTTGAGTTATCGAAATAATATTTTTTCTTGTAAAGATAAGATTGTATACATTGATCCTCACAATATCATATCATATCGGAAACATAAGATGTAATTTTATTATCAACACATCATCCAAAAAAATATAATATTTTCAAATAACCAGTCATTATTGTATTATATAAGAATATAAAGAAATCTCTCTCTCTCTCTCTCTCTCTCTCTCTCTCTCTCTTTCTACAAGAGAAGCATGCCATGCTTCATAAAGTAAGCATGGGGCACATAAAGTACCAATATCATAACATAATTTTCATCAAAAGAAAAGCTCAACATGCTTGCATGTTGAACAAGGAATCTGAGTCTGTGGTGAGCCACTCACAGCTCCAAGAAGTTGCTGCAATAATTGGAGCTGTTCCTCACAGGAATATGAAGGTGAATCCCCCCTTATCATATCAAAATGAATGAATGCTTCAAGCCAAATGCACATTGACTCTATGTGCTTTGACTTTGATAACCCTTCTTGTCTATCAATTCAACTATCCGCAATGAATATTCGACCATCTCATAAACTATTCCACAATGAACTAAATTTAATCCTAAGTTAAGATAATGGAAGAGAAGACAGAGTTGGTTGACGTGGTGGCCAAAAGGTCTATCTATTAAGATATATTATGTGTCACATTCCCATTAAGTACTACTGACATGGACCACAACTAGGGTTTGAATGAGAAGTAAGATTTGGAATGGATTTGAGTTCAATTGAGGAGATTAGGGTTTCCTTTTTGACCGAATAAGTAATCAAAAGAAATCATTTGACATTCGAAATTGATCTAAAATTGGATTAGTGGGAAACCTTTGATCGATCGGTTTACGAGTTGTATCGATCAAAATCGATGGAACATTGGCTGAGTTGGGCAGATTTGATTGAACCTGACGACACAGTGACTCGTGGACACTCACATCTTCTCGGATTTACGGGTCGGATTCGATTAAGTCCGACCCGAATCGGTGCGGTTGACCCCATCAATCAGCGAGAAGGAATTCCAGATGCCGTTCACACTCACCCGAGAACCAACGCGTCGTTAATCTCTGAGCTACCCACACCTCTACCTGCCTTGTGATCACATGCGGGTCCCACCAACTCCCCAGAGAAACGACACGCCACTTCCGATGTCTCCCCCGCTACTCGACCATAACTTACCCACACCATACCTTCACTTCCATTGCCGAGAACCGAAGGTCCCACCAGAATGATGGTTTCGGAATTCGGTAAGCGGACTTCCGCGTCCCACGTCTCCTAGAAAGAATCTTTTTGCGTCCCCGAACAATAAATACCCTCAGAAATACCTTGCATTTCAATTGTGGGACCCGCCTAACTCGTTGTGTTAGACGGCGAATAAGCTCTCCAGTCTCTTGTTTTCCGTTAACGCGTAAGATATCTGCGCTTCGTCTCGTCTCGTCTCGTATCATATCGCCAACAAAAATACTTCGTGTTCGTCGCGACACGGAGAAAGGAAGCGGTTTCCAAGATTTGATTTTTTTGCCTTTTTCTTTTTTCCTCTTTCTGCTGTTTCCTTTTTCTCACCTCCACCTCTCTCCTTCCTCGGAACATATTATATAGATCGATTGCGGGAGTTGCGAGTCGGAGAAGCCGTTGCCTTCGCTTCCTTCCGTTCTCCGTCTTTCCCGCACTTGGTAGTCTTTGGGGGATCAGGGATTCGGTGGGAGGAGAAAGGGAAGGTGCCCGGCCATGGATCTGGAGAAGAAGCCCGTGGTGTCGGATGTGGGGGCGTGGGCGATGAACGTCGTCAGCTCCGTCGGCATTATCATGGTCAACAAACAGCTCATGTCACCCAACGGCTACGGTTTCTGTTTCGGTACTTCCTTCTCCTCTTTCGCGATCTCGATCTCGATCTCGATCTGTTTCCTGTTTTGGTGCTCCGTCTTGGATTTTGAACTCAACGGCGAAAAGATCGGATCTTTCTGTTGGGGACGATAGACTGCTGCAGGTTAATTGCCTTTTCTGAGGGAAAAAAAAGGAGAGATTTTGGTGTTAGAGATTTGATCTCAAGGTGCTAACCTGCGTTAGATCTAAGCATGATATGGTGGCAAACCTTTCGGTGGAAACATCCCACGAGTTACTGCCTTAAAAGACCGTTCTTTGGTCGATCTTTCTTGAACCTGCGTTATAGATCTATGTTTGGAAAGCAATTAAAAGGATGCTGAAGCTGTTCTGGCATGTAAAGCCTCATGCACAGGTGGTCTTGTAACCTTAGCCTTTTCTGGCGCTTGATATAATAAGCGATGTAGCAATCGAACCTTTTCTCTTAAATCGTGGGGGATTAGATTGCGGATCTAAAAAAAGCCTCTCTTTTTTCCTTTTACTATCTCAATTATGCTTCTTTCTTGTTTGGACTCCTTGAGTTCATTAAGACTCACCAATATCAGTTTATACAAATGCAGCAACAACGCTAACAGGCTTCCATTTTACGGTCACTGCCCTTGTGGGTTGCGTTTCAAATGCAACTGGTCTCTCTGCGTCCAAGTATGTGCCTTTCTGGGAGCTCTTTTGGTTCTCCGTTGTCGCAAATCTGTCAATTACTGGGATGAATCTCAGTCTCTTGTTGAACTCGGTTGGGTTTTATCAGGTCTGCTAGTTTATGCCTTGTATAGTGAAATATGATATGATCGAGGGTCTGATTCGAATAATTCTCAACCTGGTTTATGTTCTGTGATGTGCAGATCTCCAAACTGAGCATTATACCCGTGGTTTGCTTTATGGAATTTTTATTGCACAGCAAACACTATTCACAACGCGTGATTGTAGCTGTTGCAGTTGTGGCCTTGGGAGTAGGTATTTGCACAGTCACTGATGTCGATATCAATGCAAAGGGTCTTCTTTGTGCCTGTGTGGCTGTTTTTTGCACATCACTGCAGCAAATTGTGAGCATCTGAACTCTGTTACTGAGCATATTCTTATAGATTAAATGTCCAATATCTGAACTCTGTTTTTCTGTATAAACATGCAATGTTACCATCTGAAAGGGCACTGTTTGGGTGGAATGATGTTTTCCTATACTGACTCATCGAGCAAATTGCAAACTGGATAACCTTGCTTTGATTGTTGTTTTGTTTCTCGTGTCTCTTCTTATGCTATCTTCATTGTGAACCATACTCTGGACCTCTAGCTTATGCCTTAACATTTTCATGAAGCGCCACTATAGTGCATCATGATTCTCTAGTTTTACTCATGGCTGTTCTAAAATTTCTTCCGGAAAAACACTAAGTTGAATTCCAATTCGTTTTTCTTTCTTTATTTTTTAGTTGACACTAATAATAACCTGATTTTTTCTGAGTTTCAGTACTTGAAATTTATGTTCCCAATTGAGAATGATTTTCAATTGTAACTGCTTTTATGAAATATCATTTTTGTTTGTTGAAATTTTCATCATTATTATCTTTTCATGTTGCATAGCTTTCATGATCTCTTGAATTAATGTGGACAGTTCCATTATATTTATTTTAAGAAAAATCATTCGACATTTTATACATATTGATGTGTTACATTTTATAAGATGAGTTCATAATTCCTAATTGTAACTCACCAATAATTGCCTATCTATGTTTTCTTTTCCTGGAAAGACAAATGTAACTCCAGCTTTTTAACTATTGTTTTAGACGCTTGGGAACTTGCAGTTATTGTTGAACAGCTGATCATAACGGTCATATATACATAAATGAGATAATTCAGATTAAACAAGAAATATTCATATTTGAGAGATTGTAATTTTAAGAAGCATGAACTATAAACAAGAAGATCCAGATGACTCCTCACTAAAAGAAGAATGATCTGTAAGATCATGACTTTGGATAAACCTTCTTTAGGTAAATATCATCTTTTATTCTTATCGAGATAAACTCCTTCCTAGCAGATTTATGTTGGACTATTTTGCCTGATAACGTGGTTTAACATTTGGCTGGAAAAAAGTATAAGCTAAAGATCCTTGTTTACTTCCTGAAAATCTTTGTTTGCAATTATTCTGTCTGAATATAGAAAATTCAGGTGACTATGTTGGAACTGTGTAAATCTGAGTATGTTGATATGTCCATCTGGCTGTATATATTCTATGTAACATAATTCATCTCATTTTCGTAGCCTGTACCTTGTTTGCAGCAATGCATTAAGTAATACTCTAGACTGATGGATATTAGCTTTAATCAATTACCTATCTCATGGGATTATTGTTGTTTCAGACAATTGGATCTTTCCAGAAAAAGTACAGTATTGGTTCCTTTGAGCTGTTAAGCAAAACTGCACCAGTACAGGCAGTCTCTCTTCTACTTGTTGGCCCATTTGCTGACTACTACCTCAACCACCGATCCCTATTGGAATACCCTTTTTCTTCAGGAGCAACTGTAAGTTCCAAAATCCTTATTTCTGAAGTTTTATTTCTAAAGTTGGATTAGGCTTTTGATGAACATATATCGTAATATAATTGGAACATATTTTGCATCAATTGTTATAACATTTATAATTCAATTATATTCTTCTCATCTTGTGCGTGAAGTTGATCATAAACAACAGGCACAAAGATTATAAATTTTTTGATATGAAGGATCATGGGGTTCTTGTATATCAATATTTCAAAAAAGTCGTCTATGCATTTGCATATGTGCATATGGTCATATGACCACATCTGTAAGAAGAACTATGCAGCCTCAGTAACCAGTTTTCCTGTAATATGCTATCGTATGCAGTTTCATAGTTTTATGTAGATTGGTATGAGTTCTGCATAAGTACGAAAATTTTTGGCACATAGTTTATATTGACTCATCATGATCATGCTTACGTTAAATTCTTGTAATTCTATAAAATCTCTTCACTATTATAAGTTTGGCCATGAAGATATCTTTACTATTATAAGTTTGGCCATGGGTGAGGACCAAGTGCGAACTGCGATGGATGTGTAGAGATATCATCTCCACAGTGAATATTATGCACACGGGAACAAATGTGGTAAAAGTGCATTGTAGGTTATGTAAAATATGTCGATTTCTCTTGTTTCATATCCTTAAGGTGCCCAATTAAAACCTAAAAAGCTTCTTTAGATTACAAACTATGATATTTTGGCCTTCTCCGATTGGAAATTTTTTAGGATTCTTTGTTAAACGATACATGTTTTCACATCTTTTAATGTCCTTGAATTCAAAATTCAACTAAATGATTGACCATGTGCATAACATGTGCCAGTAAGCCTAGATATTTAACCATGTTGGCCTTTACCATGTTTTTTAACTTAATTTAATTAAACATTTAATTGATACAAGTATCATTATCATTATGAGTTCTTCAGTTTGGTCATATCATGAATATTTAGCCATTTATTATTTAGATCTGACAATATACTTTCTTTATGTGTGTGCTTTCGTGGTTACATATTATTTTGAACACAGTATGACTCATGTATGCACCCACATATGGCACATGTTATGATGATGGCTGCATTTTTGAATATTGTGAATAAATGCCAAATATATATTCAGAAACCGAACAAAAGTTAAAGATGACAAGACAGCAAATTCATGAACTGCTAATTGGTGAGTTTCATCGATTGTAGTGCTAACTTCCATATGTGGGGCAATAAGTTTACCAAGTGTTGTTTTTTATGGTAGTGCTGTAAACAACAAAAGCAATAGATACTGATGCACTGGAGTGTTATTTATATGAAAGAGGGTTGCCACTGGAGCATTCCGATAGTATATGATATATGTATTCTGTTGTGGCTGTGCCACCTGCTGATTTCTGATGCAGGTTGGTTGATCCCTTTTGCAGGCTTTCATAATCCTATCATGTTCCCTGGCTGTCTTCTGCAACATGAGCCAGTATCTCTGCATTGGCCGGTTCTCCGCAACATCCTTCCAAGTCCTGGGTCACATGAAAACTGTGTGTGTGCTAATTCTCGGATGGGTACTCTTTGATTCAGCTCTCACCGTGAAGAACATACTAGGAATGTTGCTTGCGGTGCTTGGCATGGTAGTCTACAGCTGGGCTGTAGAGCATGAGAAGCAGGCTAAGTTGGCCACCCATATCAGCGCCGAAATCAAATCGGAGGGGGAGGATATAAAGCTTCTGAAAGAGAAAGTAAATGGACTCCCTGGGTCCGACCTTGAATTGGGGCAGACCAAGAGCTGATTCTTTTTCTCGACACCGTCATGCTCATCTTTTCCCTAATTATTTTTTGGTTATTTGACTATCCCATTCCTTCCACTGCATGCGACGGCTCTGTACTAAGTGGATCTTTTTCTTCTTCTTTTTTACACCATTTTTTTTACATGGGATTATTGTAGGCATTTTGCGGATACATTTTGTAATTGCTGAAGGGTATTCTCACTGCCCTCTTGTTCTTCTATGCATCAGATGCTGATTCACCATGTCTGTTCTCCTACAATCCTGGTTGCTTGGTGTTATCAGAGCTCTCATGTCAATCGACACCAAGTCATCAGGTCTTCTACCTTCATGCGAACATAGGTAGCTTAAAAGTGTCTGAGTTGTTTCTGTGCTCTAAATCAAAATTTCGTGAAGTCTCATGTTCTTGAGCCAAACTCTAACAAAATCCTGTTGCCTTGTTAATTATTTGGTCCGAGTATTAGTTTGGTAAAATAATAATAATAAGACATTAATAGTTTGTATCGTATGTCAACTGTTAATTATATGTTCGTGAGCTAAACTCTTAGCTCACACAAAATGTAGATTGATCGAAGACATGAACTCCTACGTACGAAAGAAAGAAAGAGATCTGATGACTCAAAACTCGATCCAAAAATATCGCTTAATCCTATAGAATTGGGTGTTGTTATGGATTCACATTAATAATTAATGTCTGCAGATGAGTCCGACTCGATAGTAAATTGGGTATGAATCCTCGTTTTAGATCCGTAATCTTACTGGATTCAGATCTGGGAGCAAAAGACATACATACCCGAAAGAAAGAAAGAAGGAACTGACTTCTCTCTCACACGCACCAAAGCGACTCTGTTGCTTGCAACCTCGCAAGAAAAGAAGACCGTAATCTCCTCGTGAGTGATCTCGTACTCACTCCGCTGTCCAAAAGCAACAGGCGAAGGAGAGAGAGAGAGAGAGAGAGCCGGAAAAGGGGAGGAAAAACTGGAAAGGAAGACGAAAAAGCTTGCTATTTCACTACTTCGCCTCACACCAGCAGCACCTCCATTCCGATTTCGAGGGAGAAAGGAAGGTTTTTGAGAGGTGAAACAGAGGAAGACGGACGGGAAGAGAGGGTAGACGAGGGAAAGGTGGGGGGATCTGAGGAGGGGTTGGTGGTGGCAAGGGGGAGGGTCCGGGATGACGTCGGGAGGGGGTCGGCTTCCGACGTGGAAGGAGAGGGAGAACAACAAGCGGCGGGAGCGGCGCCGGAGGGCGATCGCCGCCAAGATCTTCACTGGGCTGCGGACGCTTGGCAACTACAAGCTGCCGAAACACTGCGACAACAACGAGGTCCTCAAGGCCCTCTGCCGCGAGGCCGGGTGGGAAGTCGAAGATGATGGCACTACCTACCGAAAGGTCTCGTCTCTCTCGTTCTACCTTCTCCAATTCTTCCTCTTCCTCATCAGCTGTTCGATCTTGAGAAACTAATTCTGGAAATAAGCACAAGTTTTGATTTTGATGGTGGAAAAACCCCCAAAATTTGATGTTGATGAGCCCTCCTTCGGAATGATGCAACCAGACGAATCGATCTCTTTGCTGCAGATCCTTTTTGATATGCTCATACGTCTTCCCCTTTCAGCTGGTAGCAAATTTGTAGGGTTATTTCAGTTGCTGAAACATATAATTTCCTGATCTTGTCCTTCACTGAGTTCTTCTATTCCTTGGTTGTTATTCATGATCTTTATTTGATTTCACTAGAAATTGTTTGGGACTGTACTATCTTGAAGAAACTTGGAATCTTGCTGCTGTGTTTGGTGTTCTTCTACCTCTCTGGCCACATTTGTTTTGTTCTTCCTTCTTTCTCGAAGTACTGATCAAGAGCCAGAAAATGTCTACCTTGGCAACTCTTTTTCACCTTTGACCGGATCACTTTTATCGGATATGGTCTTGTCTGGATTGTCTCGTTCAATCCAAGATAGATGATGATGATGATGGTGTTCTTTTTTCTGATTGGGTTCTTGAAGTTTGGGATTCACTGTCATGACTTCGTTGCTTTTCACCTGCTCACTCTCTCTGATGCCCAGAACATGTGGGTCTCTGATCTTTTCTCCTACTCTCCATCCTGCTTTGGAGAGGAGAGCACCTGCAAAGCATGCTATCGAAAGCGAATCAGTCATTCGATGGAGGATTTGATGAACAGAAAGAAACTTGAAAGCATTCCAAGTTTAAAGACGATTGATTGTGTGAGCTGATGATTGAAGACATTTGAGACAGAGAAAGCTTCAGTGGGACTTGCATAGCGTTTAAAGACACTCTTCTTGCCTCTAATCTGTTTCCTTCTTATCTTTTGACAGGGATTCCACCCGCCACCACCGGAGGCTGCAGCAGGAGGCCTTTCGACGAACATAAGCCCACTGTCGTCTTCGTTCCCGAGTCCTGTCCCGTCCTACCATGCAAGCCCATCCTCCTCCTCCTTCCCGAGCCCTAGCCGCCTCGATAACTCTAACGACCATTCTGTCAGACCCTCTTGCCTCCTCCCCTTCCTCCGCAATCTGTCTACCCTTCCGCCTCTTCGAATCTCTAACAGCGCACCCATTACGCCGCCCATCTCCTCCCCGACCGCCTCCCGCCCACCTAAGATTAGGAAACCGGACTGGGACTACAGTTCATTCCCCCATGCTCTGTTCGCTGCCTCTGCTCCTGCTAGCCCGACCCGAGGCTGCCATCACGGGCGACAACCCTCGACAATACCTGAATGTGATGAATCTGATGCCTCCAGTGTTGGTTCTGGCCGCAGGATCAACTTCCAGATGACAGCTCCAGCATCGCCGACCTACAACCTCGTCAACCCGGGTGCCATGTCAAGTTTTCCAGGAGGAGAGGTGCTAGAGAAGGGGCGAGGAGGCATGGAGTTCGACTTCGAGAGTGGTAGGGTGAAAGCTTGGGAGGGGGAGAGGATCCATGACGTTGGACTGGATGAACTTGAGCTCACATTGCGACTTGGAATCATGGCGCCCAAGTGAATGTGAGAAAGTGCTTGAGCCATCTTTTGGCTTCTTGATGTGAAGTTTGTAATCTCGTACTGATGCACTAAGCCTACTTAAGCTGAAATCTTGATGGTTTGTTCTCTTTCAAGATTTAGATTCGTTGAATGGTTTTTCATTTTGTCTTTCATTGCTTTCAAGCAGAGAGGAGAGGGTTTTGGTGCTTCAAATCTTGAAGGAAAGATGTGCATGATAAGTTTATTATGAAGAGTGTCACATAAACTCATGAATTACAATGGCATTGTAATAAGAAACAGCTCTTGCAAATGTAATCACATAATAAGCAGAAACATAAAGTTCATTTTCTGACCACCAAACATGATGATTGATGGTTAAGATAAAATCATTTATAGAAAAAGGAAAAAATGAGGTCACAATAGATGCAAATATCATATTCTATCTAGTGTAAATTTGGACCATTCGATTGCGATTAACATCCATCTAGAAAACATATAATTATTAAAAGTTCATTCTGCACTCTCTCATGCACGCCTAAAGTTCAATTGTTGAACGCCGACAAGACCTTCACCCAGATCTATTGTCGAACTACCACGGAGTATATATAACTTTATTCTCAAACGAGGAAGGACACTACATAAAAGACAGTTTTGTCTGTTTCAAGATATCTTAGAGCCACTCGAAGATTATTGATGCAGGCAACGGATCCACATGCATGGAATAGTATGCTGATAAGAGCCTCGAGCAGCTTCAGCTGGCTATGATGATGGGCTCGGTTGATTTCTTAAGCCATTCCGTCTCCTGCTCGTTCATGTATGGTGCTAAAACCTCTCTGCAATCGGAATGGTAGAGATTTATCCATTCAATTTCTTCAGGAGTCAGCAATGTCAAATCCATCAGTTTCTTCTGGTATGGTGCCTGTAAAAGTGGAAGCACAAGGAAAGTTCACTAATAAGATATTAAGTCAACAGTGGAACAAATATTATGAGACTAAATAAAAAAATCACTAAGGGTGAAAAACTAGCTGCCTAACTTTTGTATTGACACCTAACATTTCATGATATCTGGTGATGTGAGACTAACTTCTTAAGATGTTTATAAACAACATAATGAATGAAATGGCAACCGTGGGCAAATTTTGAATGGTATTTTAATTCATGAGATAACTAGATGAAATGTTGTGAAAAGAGGGGATAAAATATCATAGGCGGGTTAAGACACCCAACCCCAGATCAGGAAAAAGATATGGCATGATCATGAAACTAGTGTTGAACAATTACTTTTCAAAAGATATACACTAGTGAAGAGGTTAGTCAATAACTACGTATGTAAAGTCTGCTGAGCTTTTGAAGGTGACCATTGTAGATGACAAATCATAGGTAGGTGTTTCCTTGAAAAAATGCTAGTTTTGGCATACTGTAATTGTTTTGTATGATAACATCAATATGTAGCCTCACTGAACCATACACATTTTTATATGCCGAACATCTCACGCACTAAACCATTATGGCATATCCTTACTAAATGCAAGATCAATACGTATTAGTAATAAAATAGAAGGTGACTAGCCACAAACAGAAGATGCCTACGAGATGCTTAACATTAAAATGCGGTTACTTGTGGACTATGCAAATCAAAAGACAAAGAATTACCAGCATTCAACATGCAGCACTTAGTATCAACCTTCAGGTAATATAAATTTAGCACAAGAGGTTTAACATGCTCAAAAGGCTAATTGGCATATAGAAAGATCCACATTTCCATGACAAAAGAACAGCCATTGGAACTCCACGGACAGGGAAAGTCCAGAAGATTCAACAGAAATCTCTGCTGTAAGATGCAATTTGGGTCAATGTAGAAGACATAAACAACAATGAGCCACAACCCCAGCCTTATGTTCGTAAAAGAAAATATGAACACTTAGCAATCACTTGAGTCATCGATTACTTAGAACCATGGCAAAAGGGTTCAAAAACAATGGTAGTTAACTTACCCAAGTTATGTGCTCAAACTCTAAATAACCTTTTTCACCAAAGTTGAATGATGTTTTTGCCTTGTTGACTATAAGAACATTCTCCAATCTAATACCAAAATTTCCATCCTCATAATAACCAGGTTCTGCAGGTAAAAAGAGAGAATTATCAAACAGAAACTTCAAATACAATGCTTAACTGGAAATTGAAGTTCAAATTCCAAAACCTATGACTTATGCAAGTAATTGACAAATCTTGCACGTGAGCAATCTAGATATGTATACATAAATAAAACATAAACTCTAAAAGACTTATGCATGTAGTAATCTAGAATAGACAAAACAGAAAACAGATTTTATAAAGAGGTATTTACTGTTTGAATAACCTTGGAGGATATAAATGAATTAGTAATTTCTTTCAATTTAAAAACAAGAACTTGAAAAAGGACCAAACATTGCCATTCAAGTAACTAAACAGATTGAGAATGTATACTACCATCAGTAACTGTCATCGATGCTTGAATTGCCACGTTTCGAGCATGAGGTCTGAAACTGATTAGATGTGGGCCTACAAGATGAAGTTCAGGGTTCTAATGTTCCCTGGATCACAAATGTTGTGAAAAAAGGTAACAGAAGAACAAATTACTACCTTCATGAACATTAAGGTAAGATCCAATCCCATGACCAGTCCCATGGCGGTAATCGAGACCATTCTTCCACAAAGGAACCCGAGCGAGAATATCAAGAGCATGTCCTGTGACAAGCAATGATTCCAATAAGGCAATTGAATGTGTTGTCAGAGTACTAGATGTAGGCATTCTAAATCAATCTTACCAGTGGTTCCATTTGGAAATCTTGCCCTACCCAAGGCAATGTGGCCTTTGAGGACCTATTTATTGTAAACTATCAGATACAGTCGATGGACAAGTACTAGCGGTTATAACAGAAAGGATACATCAAAGAATATATATTAAAAGAAGTACTTGAACCTTAAACATACAATGTGAAAACAAGCATCACTTTTGTCTACAACCAACTTATAAGTTATAATAAAGGTAATGTTCAATAAAATAAATGAAAAAGAGAAATGTTCATAGAGTATTTGATAAGCTTCTATTTAACATGTTCAGCAGGAAAAAGAAAAGTCATAAGCCATTATTTATGATGACTCACTGCCCAGTCTTGAAACTGACAATTCAATTTGTCGAACCAATGTCCATCAACTACGTATTAAATGTGAGCAGATAACAATTACTTACATGGCACATGACTATTACATGGGTGTGCCACTCAATTGACCTCTAGTTTAATGGAATCTCTCCATAAAGTAGCATTCAAAGTTCAAACAACTGTCTCTAGAGTCTAGAGTCCAGACACACATCGTATCTGTGATCATCATATCCATCTTATCTGAGTCACTTCGAGACCAAGCCTATATTTCTTTTGTTGTCAAGCTTAAGGAAATCATCACACAAACTAAAGAATTAGTTCAGACGAGTTTCTTTGGAGAAGTCTGAACATATAAAGGAAAGTATATATATTTTGGGTGTCTTCCTAAAAACCAAAAGATAAAAAAGAATAGAAGGAATAGCATAACCAAAACCATTAAGAATGCATGATGCATCAACCTAAGTTTATTGTTCAACTTCAACCTCATCCTTTCCTTTACGAAACCCTAAATGGACACAGGAGAGAGGACTGGTGCATGGTCTAGAGCTAGCTAGACCTTAATTAATTTCTATAATTTGTGGGGTTCACAGCCTAAAATTAGGATGATAATATAAACCCAAAAGCATCTGGTTCTACCCTTCTCAATTCACCAAGAAACAAGTTCTTGTCAGTGTCAAAACTCAGATATATCACCATCTGTACAAGCAACCAAACATCCTATATAAACCAAACCTGAAATTTTATTTAAACTATTGGAAAACATATGTAATGACATTCGTACACTGACACTCAAGGAATTTGAGGTGCACAGTCCTGAAATAATATCTTACAACAATATAATCAACTTCTGCATGCTAAAAGACAAATATCTATTATCCAATGTAGAAACAAGAAAAACAAAACCTATTTACTTGACAAAGCAATCTTAAATATGAAAGAGTTCCTATTACCGCAGTATAGCATGATTTCTCATGAGCTGAAGGTTTGCCAAAATGCACAGTCCTGGTTATATCGGTTGTTCCATCTATATACTTTAAAGAATATGCAGTGTTAATAGATGCCAATCAGTTGAAGAAAATTTAGTTTTACCAGAAATAGCATGGATGGAACTGCAAATTAAAATTTGTAGAACTAAAATTAAGCATCATAGAAACCTGTCCCCCTGAATCAAAAAGATAAATGCTGTCAGCATCAAGTTCGGAACATGTATCTGCTTCAGGAGAATAGTGAATGATTGCTGCATTGGGACCAACTGATGAAATGGTTGGAAAACTCAGCCCTCTGAAGTTCTGGAAAAAAATCATGCCAATCGATTAGCAATAATCATATACAAAATTTCATGCAAATAACAATCCAAGAAACAAAAGTCTAAGTATCACTCCATGACCAATTCTAGTTCTAGCAACTTTGTTAAGACAGCCAAAGAAGATGCATCAGATGCTGATGTAAAAGGGAAAAGAAATATCTTTGATTCCAGAGTCCAAGCTACAATTCACGTAAGAAAAGCAAAGATGTCATTATTAAATTTGAACCAAAATGTGCCATGAACAGCAATACATAGTACATACAACAGTGATTTTGTAATGCCAATATTTTGTCCTAGGCTATGCATCCCACAACCGGGAGTGAAAATTCAATCACAGAGCTTACTGTGGCAATGATTTTAGTGCTACAGAAGATAAGGAGTTTAACGAGGCATACTTCTTGTTTAGAACGAAAACCTTCTAATTTGTCGCTCACAGATACCTCTGTCAATTTCAACGTATCACTGCACAAACTAGAAAATGTTTGGTGAGAAAGCAAAACTAGCAAATGCAGGCAAAGAAACAAATAGAAAGATTGACCATGCATTTGAATCTGTAAGACAAAAAAAAAATAGATGCAAAATTTTGAATTTTGATAAAAAGACACTAGCTAATTTCCTTTCACCACCATTCAGCAGGAAATTAAAACAAACTATGGAGAGATTAATAAACCTTGAAAATCATCCTTGAAACATGTATGAAACAAGTACTTCTATGGCTTATTCAAATACAGACATGATTATATAGTGACACCAGAAAAATAAGGGCATTGGCATTGCACAACATCCAAGATACCAAAAGTTGGTCCAAGAAACTGGAATAATCACTACTCAGATATAAAATAATTGAAAAACCTTATACAACCATATTAAGACAAGCAAGGGCTAGCAAAAAGAAATAGATCAACATAAAAGCAAATGTATTAAGGCAAGTGTTGTAATTGTAACCAAGGGCAAGCAAGTGTGGAATATACAAGCACACTAAAATTACTAAATAGAACGAATTAACAATCAATTTATTGACATGTCAAGTTGAAGGATTAAAATTTTGGTCCGGAAGCAATACTAGTTTGTAATAGGGACTGGGCACTGATTGGCATATCAAGAGTTGGTATGGGTCAATATTGATCAGCACTGCCTAGAGTAAAGAGTAAAGAGTAAAGAGGAGAGAGAGAGAGAGAGGGGAGGAGGAGGAGGATGCACCGGAGGAGGTGACATCTACGGAAGGAGGGGCAGGATGTGACATGACAAGGAGGAGGAAGTATTACCATGTACTGGAGGAGGAAAAAGAGAATATGACGATGCGAGGAGGAGAAAATAACGGCAACAGCAACACATATCAAAGGAGGTAGTGATGCAAGGAGGCAACAACAGCTACATGAGAAGGCAGCAGGACCTGTCCACACCAGAGTGAAAATGGAGGAAGAAGAGGAAAGAAAGAGAGAACACTTGAGACTTGAGATTTAAAAGAAAAAAGACACCTTGGTACTGGCACCAGGTTGTAAACACATCTTGAACCATTTTAGGTGAGATTAGCTGGTGCACATACTGGCTCAGGTTTAAACGACCAAATAGGTACACAGAACAAATTAAAAACCATTGTCAAGATAATGCCAAACCTAAAGGCTAATTGTTCCTACTCAACTTTTCACAAACAATTAAGTTTGACATTTGCATACATCTGGAAAGGTGGATGGAATTAACCCATTCATAAATATGTTCTTCTAGCACGTCATGATAATTATCTTCATTATTTACTATTAATAAAGCATGGAAAATCCTCAAAGATTCAGAAAATGAAAAAGAAAACAAATGAAAAAAATTGGTAGGGCTTGCAATTTTAGGACAAAGATGCAAAATATTTTCCAATGCATACCAGCTACGTGTTTGGTCAAAACATGTTCCTATATGAACTAATTCATGCACAAACATAGATGCACCTATCTCTAATTTCCTTGTGACGAAAAAAATCAACCTATGACGTTTACAAGTATTGTACAGCATAGATGTCCTAATTGGCTCAAAGTGTCCTAGCTAGATGGTAGAGCTTATTCAAACCAACTTTAATCAACTTGTGTAGTGCAAGTCAGGTTCGATAGGCTGTAAAGTCAGGAACTATGCCAAGGTAAGCTTCAAAGACAGAGATGTGCTACTCCATCTGGAAAAAGATTCCTGTTGGTCAAAAAATTAATCCCGACTTAGCGGCAAGGTAAGAAAAGAGTCACAAAAGTATAAATGAAAACCCAAGGCACAGTTCATATTGTACAACAATGAAGGATTAAATGAAGGAAAAATTATTAATTGTAAGAATCAACCAATAGTAGTATTAAGAATGGGAAAGGGAAAAAAATAAATAATATGCTTTATAGCATATATAGAATTGGTTTTAATGAATGCTAAAACTTATGGGCGAACAAAACTCTTGGTGATAACATGGGTTTAGTCATCCTAACTTGAACCTATGATTTGAAAAGAATCAACTTATCAGAATCAAAATCAAAGAACACTAACAGAAAGTCATTCATGCACATGTCATGATCAGGGTGGTCATTGCGTAACATTTGCTATCACCATACAGTTTCTTTTGTAATTGACTAAAAATCTTCACATGAAATTCATGGGAGTGGTTAACTAAAATTACACTTTCACATGAAACTTGTGAAAGTAGGTAAATAGTGGTATATATCTAAGAAGAGGTGTTGAAGATTTTGTAAAAAGCTAAATGTATTTGTAGATTGTATGGTGTCTTACGAATGTTTTCTCTTATGTGTCCCCTCTCGTTCACTGAAGTAACCAGAAGCTCCATAGATCTCTTGCATCTACAAAATGAAGTTGAGCTAATAGAGGCAGCATCCAACTAAAAAGAACACCTTCATTCCAGAAGTTAACTACACAATACATACTATATAAAAGATTTACGAAAAATCTAGCATGTACGCTATATAAAAGACATTTGATACTACTTGTTGACAAACCAAGATAGTACAACTAAACAATTATTTCTATTTGTTGCTTCCTCATGTCAAGCTGAAACACTTATTTCCAAAAGGTTATTAATTTTTAACACAATGTTAATTACACTAATGAAGCATGATCCATATATGGGAATTGTATTATTTGGTAGCCCTGCTTGCAAGTTAAACAGAAACCATCAGCCAACATAGTAGATTAAGGATTTAACAATAAGCGAGGTGACACACTTAAATTTTCTTCAGAACATAGATGGAGAACTTCAATTTTCTTCACAAAAGGTGCAGCATAGTTATGAGAACTATATTCAACAATATAAGCTGACTGAAAAACTAGGAACCAGAGAGCACCGTAGCCTCTCCTGTTCCATTTAGCTTCAGGATGAAATTTGCTTTCAAGCCTGGAAAAAAAATGCTAACCTGGATGGTTCATACTAAGATTAATTTGCTTCAGGATGATTTATTGAATGTTGCCTTATCAACATTAAATGAAGTTTCATACTAAGATTATTTAGGTAATCAAGGAGCACAATAAGTTAAAAACTAAGATGGATAATGCAGTCATAATCAAAAGCCTCAACCTTCTTCATGCAGAATCAGTTCTCTCTCTCCGTAGTTATGATCCCCCATAATTGCAACAAAGTAGACTTACATTCTGAATAAATCTTTCCTGTAAGACTTTTAAAATAAAAAATTACTGATATTGTGATGAAGAACTACCTCATAGTATTTGCTAATTTTCTCCTACCATGAGTCAACAAAAAGATGATAATATGCCTCACTTTCCCACTACTGACTACCAAAATAAATGAAACTATTAAGAGAGGCTAGACCCTGAGCCACCTCCTTGAACAGTCTCACACATTTCAGTTCATACATCAGCTAGGTTCAGTTTACCATGCTAGAAGTATTAAACTTTTGTTATGGACAGGCATGCTTTTACTATATTTTCATCCACAAAAATAAAAGAAAAGAGTATACCCATCGCATGAGGTTTCTGCCAATGCAGAAGTCTGGGGAGGATCAATATATGCAGTCTTAACTTTAAATATAAACTCAACGCCAATTCCATTTGTATTCATCAACAAAAATCAACTCAACAAATATAATCAGTAGAATGAACTCAGTCATACCTTTTCAAAAACCAGTGAATATACATGTTCAAAGTGATGAACTAAAATGATGAACTAAAATGATGAATAAAATCAATGAGATACCCACATAACCACTTGCCATAGTACTATGGATGGGCCTAAGATATGCATAAACTTTTTACACAGACATGATGTGTGATACATACCCAGTTCACTTACATGATTATAGGAGAATGCACACATGTACCAAGCACATGCCAGCCACTAGCATGGTACACGTTGCAAGTCATGTGCTATGCCAATGTAAGACATGCAGATAGTTTTTATATACCAGAATGGAGTGCAGTTTGCACTTTGCACCCAGATCATTGTTGATATAGTATGCACCTTAAAACCTACTGGTAGTACAATCAACACAAATTCAACATCCAATACCATAATTTATAATTTACATTAAGTATGAAAGTTTTAAGTTCATGGTTTTAAACCTGTTTATCCAGCCAAACAAGAAATTGGACAACAGCTGCACCATCTCGAATATGTGCCTTTCTTAAACCATCCAGTTCTGCTGGATTCTGCAGTTTGATCATCAACGATGAAACTTATAAAGTAAGAAGGAAAGATACTCATCATACGTAAGGCAATAAGTCATTCAAATTTCATAATTTTCATTACTCAAAATTTCAAACCCTATATTCATCTGGCATAAACCAAAAGGTCATCTTAAGTTTCAAATCTCACAACTTCTTTTAAAAATAAAAGTGATTAACCGCTTTAAAGTTTTAAATAATTAAGACAACTTATATATAAAGTTTCGTCTGAAAACTTGTACATGACCATACAAGACTAAGAAAGTGTCCCCTTTCTAACATTTAATGCTTAAAAAATCATTCATGAAAACACTATCTTGACTAATATACCTTAATAGCTTTTGCAAGAGCCAAAGGTGATTGCTGCATGAAAACTTGATCAGGGATCAGCTTTGAAAAAAGGGCAAGGTTGCATGAGAAGGGGTCAATCCAGATGATTTTATGCTTGGTCTCTTCCTCTGCATTTCGATCATCTCCAAGCACACCATTAGAATTTTTGCTTGCTTCATGGGATTCAGTTCCAGATAACATGATCCTAGAAGACCCCATAAGCTGTCCAGATGCAAGCAAGCTTACATCTGAGGCAACAATGTCATAGTCCCGGACATCAATTCTATTTTCTAGCATATAATGGAGTACCTGTCATGAGCAACAACAACGAAAGAAAAGCAATCAAGAACCTACAATCTGCATGCAGTATACTTAACATGTACAAAATTGAAAAAAAATATGTGCATATATCAGTTTTCTAATTAACACAGGTCAAAATGGAGAAGAGGACTAAAGAGTGCCAATACACCATGGGGATTGACTCCAGCATCCAGTCTCATGAATTATGTTAGATGTGTCAAATACATATGCTTTCCAGGTACTCACCAAGATCTTCTGTCCTCGATTTAAAATATTAACAGAGGTAGTGACACTAGAAGTTGACCTTTCTTAATTCCTGAGGCTTCAAAGTCATTTTTAAACTTCAAATTCTACAGCATCAAAATAATGTATCATATACAAGCTATTAAAATGTATCTCTTTATAGGCAGAGGTATCGTAGAACTGATAACCTGTAAGCCCCAAAAAGAGGATCCATACCAAGAATTTTGGGTCAGTTTTGGACCATTTATGGGATTTATTCACATTATTGGGCATGGATCAAGTATCCATATCCCACAAGCATATTGCACTTGAAATAATTTGTTTCATTGTGAGCATGAACTTCCACATTAACAGAAGAACAAGATGAAACGATGACCACACAGTGGAAAGATTTAACTTTTGAATAAGTAGTCAAGAACTGATAATTAGACTGAGCAATAATAATTGTCAGGTAATCTAAGGTACAATACTGCCTTACAAACAACCAATTTATAGGACACGAACTATGCAACATAACAATTCCAAGTTATTAAACAAATGAAATGAGGAACAATAATTATGACATATACATCGGCATGAACTTATAAACCCATCCGCATAATATGGAATTAGAATTTTGTTGTTAGTTGTGGTGTTTCTATTTGTGAGTACCACAGATCTACAATTTATAGCAATGTAGAAACTGATGTATCAAGCATTCAGACATAAAAGGTTCTTCCAAAGAGAGAAAGAGATAAAAAATTTCCAGAAACATAGATGAACCATCGCTATGAGAGCATTTAAAGAAAAATTCAACTAGAACTAACCTCTGAAGAGATTTTTCTCTTATCCACATAAAAAAAAGCTGAGTCCAAGGTTACAACAGCATATGCATGAATTACTGGACAATAAGCCACATCATTTCCACGAATATTGTACAACCAAGCAACCTACAGAATGCCCCAAAAAGTGAAAAGGAGCTATCTCAAGAATAGTTAAGCAGTTGCAGCAAAACCAAGGTCACTACATAAAAGGTAGTCAGAGGCTTACAGAAAACAGAAGTAGAAGTACATACCTCATCAAGTGAACTGATGATTATACCATAAGCTTTCTCACGAATTAGTTTTGCTCTCAGATCCTTTAACTTTTCTGCTACAGGACATCCAGCAAATTCTGGTGGGTGTATGTTAACAGGTAGAATTTCGGCAGGAGGCCGGTCTTTCCATACTATATCTACCATATTAGTGGACGGCTGAATTAACTTTTGTTTCTTCTTTAAGAAAGCCTGCTCCCACCTCTGATAAGTTTCTACAGAAACACACCAAGGATCTGATCCTATAGCAGCATTGCGTGGTAGATTCTGATTGCGGATGAGATCAACAAATAGCAAATGGAATATATCATTCAGAATTGTCACGAAAATCATATCAACTGTCAGGAAAATATGTTTTCCAGCATGCAGAGAAATTAGCAGCATGCAGCAGGAAACACACCACATGCTCTGCCATATAGACAACTGGTGCTTCTACACTCATATTTGATAAGCAATAAGTAAATTACATTTATTCAGTTTTCCAGCTTTTATATGCATAAAAAATATTACAATCCTTTTCTAAACTTCATTTTAACTGCTTGCAAATGAGGCAAAACACCACGCCAATTGGCAGGGTATGATAGGAAGGTTCAAAATCAAAGTCCAAATCAACACCTTGATGGACGGATGTGATGCTGGTACACAATTGGTACATTGACCTATACCACCCAATATTATTGAAAATAAAATAAAATAAGAAATTCTAATCCTTGTAGAACTATATGGTCTGGTTTTGGTCCTTGACCAACTTGTAACTACTTATCATCACAAACTGGTCTGACTAATATTTCAAAATCTTTATGGTACGAACATTAACTCTAACAACTGAACAACAAAAACAAGATGCAGCAGGTACTGCTCTTTAAGCAAATTCACAAATAATATAGAAAACAGATCTCGAGGAACAACTAAAATTTCCAATTATGTCTTACATCAGCCATCCAATTTTCAACAGGTGGATCTTCTCCAATTCGCATAAGTTTCCATCTTTCACTCAGTTGTTGTGTTGCCTGCAAGAAATATCGTCCGTCGGTCCATAGCAATGCCTCATTCATTGTTATAAGAGCCAAACCTATTAAAGATATAAAATTATCTAGTTATTATAAAAATCTGGGAGAATATAGACAAACAAAATGAAAGCTATCCCAATGTCATCAAGGCTTAAGCAAATGTAAATCTTAAAAAAATGATAGGAACAATTTTATCTAAGAAGATGATCATCCAAGTTGTGACCATGGTTCACCGTGCCACCCTGTGCCAAGCAGTCCATAATAGGGGACCCCGTATTACCCAATACAAGATCTGAACCAATCAAAACGATCGAAATCCAACTGTTACCGACCTGCACCGATCGGTAACGATCGAATTTCGACCGATACTGATCAATGGCTAGGATTTGTTGAATTCAAACGATCCATTTGATCTTTCGAACCAGATCTAAAGGGTTTTAAACCCTTTCTACCCCTTCATTCTCTCCCTTTTCACTCTCTCACTCATATATTTCTCTCATTCTCTCATTTGCACTCTATTGAACTCCAAAAAGCTGTGATTTGTGGATTAGATCAAGCTTAGGAGGTTAAATAGGGAGAATTAACACCTAAGTTAGAGAAAGAAATCTCTAATCAAATGTATGTGTTTTTTCTTATTTTTGATAATTTATAAGATGATTAAGAATATTCTATGTTCTCAATATCTAAAATGTTGTTTAAAGTCTTTATGATGACAAAATAGTGTTAATAAGAGAGTAATTAAGGCCTTTAATGTTATGATTAATATGTTTAATGTTGATTTTTTCAAAATCAGACACGAGTCAAATATTTATATTTCATGCGTATTAAGGTGATTTACATGTTTGTGATGGTATAACTGGTTTAATTAGGTTTTGATTTATATATCAACTATTGCCAAACACAACTGATGCAACCGATGCTATTATGGAGAGTCGATTACTCCAAGAAACAATTGCTTTATTATCCGACAATGTACTTTAACATTCATTATTTGATTATAAACTATATTTGACATTAATTATTTGTCATGCAAATAAAGTCCTATTTATATCCTTTTTGCAATTGTGTGATGGCTACAATTTAGAGAGGACGCACCAAATTTGAGGAATGTTGTTGTCCATGTACTTTCACAAATGATAACATCAAGTGGTTGCAAACATAACTGGTCGACGTTCACATTGATTCACACGAAGGTTCGCAATAGACTATCATACAGATAATTAAAGAAATTGGTATATGTCCACTACAACATACATCTAAAATTACGATGTGCTGATGAGCTAGACAACGATCCAAAGGAACTAGAGATTGATCCCATCAACCTCCAATTCTACAACAAAGATTCATAATATATGTTAAGAGTGTGTCGAAGCAACGACAAACCAAAAAGATCATTTACTTGATGCGGCAAGAGATCCTCCACGTCCTCTCTTGTGATCCTCCATGAACCAAAAAGACCTTTGCCTTCTCAGCTCTTATGAGAATGGGTGAAACCGAGTACCCCAATTCTCGATCTGTAGTGGACCATTTTCGATCCTTTGTTGTGCAATCGTTCAGAGCTTGTAAAGTTTATTTGTAATTTGCATTGGCTATGAAGTGTTTTCTGAAATGATTGCTTGTGGATCTCGAGTGTGGCGTTTCCTCTAACCCGTTTTCTCTTTTGTAGGTCCTAAGGGACCATGGGAGGTTTCAGAAAGACTGACTTTTGCGGACGGACACACAAGAGTGTTGCGTGTTTTATCACCGAGGCAACAAAAGAAGAGAAAGCAAATTTCCAACAAGAGGAAGATCACCCTCGGTCAGAACGTGGTGGAAGGAGTCGGACAACGTTGAGTCAAACTACTCAAGGAATTAGAGAAACCCAATCGTCAAAGTCGTCCACCCAACGTGCAAAGGCAAAGACAAAGGGGAAGGCAGTAGCATCAACTACACCATTGGAAATAAACGAGTTGAGCAACGAGACACCTTTTTAATTACATTCAGTAACCTGCTCGGTCTGGAGACATAGTAGCAACATGGATAGTAGTGCCTCAACCAATGATGGTGGTGACATCGGGGAGTCGATGGGCCCATCTACACAATTTGAGGGTTATGCATAGACCAAGGAGTAGAATTTTATGCATGCCACCCAAAATTTATATCGTGGAGTTCGATAAAGTATTGATCAAGTTTATACACGGAAGGGGAAGGGAAAGGCAATAAATAAATTTGAACAAATACGGCAAAGCCTACACAATGTAAACACAGAGCGGAGCTCAACGTATTCACAGTCATCATATTACGGAGAATCTTACGGCCAACAACAGTACGATGATAGTTAGTCATTCTTCTCCAAGCAAGAGTACGTTGGTCGATCTTATGTTACAGAGCAACAGATCAGTGGTGAACGTAGAAATTCCGATATTCTTCAACCTCCACATCAATACATGCCACAATCATACATGTCTTAGGAGCTACCTCGAACACGTGTGGTTCACAACGATCAAACTACGACCATCACCACATTGATGCACCAATGACATGGTGTATCAATATAATATGTCATGAGATCAATTTAAGGATTAGATCCAACAAATATATCAAATGGATATACAAATAATAAGATCGAGGACCCCAATCTAGCGCCCGTGAAGTCCCGTCGTTCTTTTTGGTGATAGAACCAGATATATCCATCGATCGATTACTTGATTCATTTGAATATTAAATTTAAATTATTTAACAAATAATCTAATAATTTAAATCATTTCTTTGTAGATAATTCAACATCAACGAAAGGATAGTCCAGAACGTACCATAAAATTACTCCTCAAAGCCTGAAAAACATATATACCATTATTATTTCCTAATTTAGATTATTCTTACTAAAATACACTAAATTTATATTTATTTTCAACTTAAAAACCCTAATCTAACTTCTTTTTCAAATTTTTTAGAGCCAATTTCGACCATTTTTTTGTGTCGTCAATATGCCCTGCCATATCAACGGATGGTACATCGGTACGAAGCAATATGTACCATATCGTCGATCGATCGGCATACTGATACGAACCTATAAAGAGAACCATTGTTATGACATGTATTTTATCTAATAAGATAACTACATAAGTTGTGACTTGTAACCCCATGAAATTTGCATTATTGTTATGTGAATACTAAACCATAGCAGATCAAAACATAAGAACTTAAAAACCTTTCCAATGTATTCTGTTGATAAATTAAGTATTATTGTCATATGTAAAACATAGTCAACTATTATATAATTTTAGTCATATATTTTTAGATGTTTCTTAAAGAGTTTACACATTTTAAATAAGTTCTTGATTTAAATGTAGCACTTATTTATCTATTATTTAGTTATATCTTTAAGAGTTTATTAAAATTTGCTATCATTCTTAATATTTTAATATGAAGTGCATATGCACTATGTGAAACCTGGAATTTGCATGCAACAACTATTTTTTAAAACATAGTTCCTTGGCAATAATTCTTCAAACATATGTGAATAACACATTTGTTCAGTGTTTACTTTAGTTCCATGCTATGTATTATTACCATAACTCCAAAAATGGATGATATTATGAATAACAATTAAAAAATAAAAGTGTCGTACTACTCAATATATTATGGAAATAAAAATAACGGGATATAAAGATATGCTTATATTTAGATCAAAGACAAATTTTTAACTTAAGGAGGTGGATGTTGCAAAAATCAATCAAGCTATGAGTGGCTAGTGCCAACATCATGGTCAAAGGAAAGTGCAACAAAATCTTAAGAAAGAATATAAGTCAAATTACAAAAACACTATTATAGTACTGACAACCCATACTAAATATAGCAATAACATTTATGGTTTGTGTCAACCATCATAGGGGTGTACCAATCTGCACGACATAGATACATACTCTGCTAGAAAGATATCAACAAGCACAATGCAAAAGTACAATAATCCTTGGCAAGATTTTTACAGATATGAAGTATGTACCTCATTTGAGGTGTTCATTTGAATTTTTTTTATTCTCTACACACTAGTGTACAGGAGCAACCAAATATAATTTTGGAACTCCAAGGAATTGCAAATATTCTTTAACATGAAGAAACTTCAACCTTATATTGCAAACTGAAATGAACAAAGATCTGACTTAGGTACCCATCTAAGTGTCAAATCCTTTTTGTCTTCAGTGTTATACCATACTGACCAAATGTTATGTGAAAACAACATGGAAACAGAAAACAAAACTTTGATGCAGAATGTTTGGTTTCTCATGACACATTCATGTGGAAATAATGGAAGATGCACATGTCCCATTGTCTAAATGGTCTTGTCATCAAACATTCTTTATAAAGGGCCAGGGTAACTAATGCCTCTAAAGGTGCGAAACAATGAGTTAAATTGACATTTTTACCACAAAGAGGCAGCCAAAGAAAAATCCACAAGATTCAGCAACTCAATTATAAATAACACATATGTTTCTATTGAGTTAATCTACATTTTGCAAGCACAACTTCCGTTTAAAGTAAGGTTTCATTGTTCATAATGTAATTAAACACAATGCTACTATGCAAAAAAGAAAATAGTCATGGCCCTAAACTTTGAATTTAGTGAATCAACAATCCGAGAGGAAGAGAGAAAGAAACTCACCAGCACTACCAGTAAATCCGGAAACGAAGGCACGCCTTTTGTCCCTCGTGGAGACATACTCACTCTGCGAATCAAAAGGATCACGAGCCATCAAACAAACGACAATTACCCCTCTGCTCAATTCCATCGATCAACCAAACAACCAATGCAAAGCAAACTGAGGGAAATTTCACATAAAGCGTACAAATCCGAGTCCAGATACAATGAGGAGGGATTCTTGACACGAAAGAACCAATCAACGAATTCCGATCTAAACAATGAGGAATCAAAACCCTACATGATGACAATGATTATGATGAGGAGGAGGAGGAAGAGGGGGACGGGTGGTGACCTGGTGGTTGTCCTCGGAGGGGACGACGAGGGCATCGAGAGGCGGGGAGTGGGAAGCCATTAGGGCTCGGAGGGCGTCGAGGGGGTCCGCCATCAGTCGCCTCTCCCCTTTGCTACAGGGCGATCACGGAACACCGCCGACGAGGATGAATGGAGAGAAATCGGCTGTGAGTGAGGGTTCGCCTCTTCGTTCTTCCCTTATAGGGAAGGGATTGAAGGCGACCGGGGAAACGGCGATGATGGGCATCGAACCGTCGCATGGGGCCCATAAACGTACCTGCATTTTCTACCAGCCCTACGATTCGATACAGACACGTATAAGGGCCTTTTATATGGGTCCCGCTTTTGTTCTCTGATAACACTGGAAGGTGGCGAATGGGTATGGGAAGAATTGTCCTTTATTTGTGGGTCGTCACCCAAGGCGGGCATTTATGTTACCAAATTGATTAGTTAGATTCTTTTATTTTTTGATATGCCCCAAAAATAAAGTAAATTAAATATATTTATACACCACCAGCAACAATAATAACAACTTAATGTTCCAATTATAATCCTTCAGTTACACAAATATCTTATCATCATTGACTTCTCTGTAAGAAAAAAGAAAATTAAAAGTATTTAAATATTTTATTTATAATTTATAGCAAGATCTTTTTGGTCTCTTGCTATCTCTTTTTAACAATCGACAGTAATTTGTCTCACATCTTTTAACAAGTATATATATTTATTTCTTAGCATATAATCATATCTTCTTAGATAATTTTTTTTATTTATCTTTTATCAACATTCAAGTCTATTGTATTGTGGTATACATCTCGTTTGAATAGGATATCGCGGATCAATCTTTGTGCTAGGTAATCTGTGTTATATTACACTATATCATTCGATACGAGATATGTATGATTAGAATAGTTGAATTCGATTGATATCAATTAAGGGTGAAAATTGATTTAATTCAAATGGTTCATTTGACTATTTGAACAGTTTTTAAACCCTTTTTATCCCTTTTTTTTTTACTATCTATAACTCATCTATTTTCTCATTTATATATTTTTCTTATTCTCTCATTTGTATTTTCTTAAATTTCATAAAGCTGTGTGGATTTGATGAAGCTTGAGAGGCTAATTAGGAAAAATTAACGTCCACATTAGAGAAAGAACTCTCTAATCAAATGTACGTGTTTTTGATGATTTATAAAATTATTAAGCCTATTCTATCTTCTCCATATCTAATATGTTGTTTGAGATCTTTACGATGGTTGAATAGTATTAAATAGAAAAAATTGAGGTCTTTAATATTATGATTAGTATTTTAATACTGATTTTTATAAAATTAGATTCTTAATGGGTTAAATCTTTGTATTTCAGCTATTTGCTAAAACCTCTAAATTAATTGTAAGTGACACAAAGACTTCTGATTACATGATCTGATTTGTTGGGTCAGAATCTGCTTGCAGTGTTTTGACCTTTAATTTCCTTTTCCTCTGGACTATCTGCCACAGAAGAACTCTCTGATTCCATCTTCATTATCATGTTCTTCTCATGTGTCTTCTGGAGATAAATACATGGTTTGACACACAGTGTTTGAGCAGCTGGAAGATCCAGCAATGAACAGGTGCAGAAATTAATCCTGCATTATTCTCTTTATGCCAAAAATGTTCAAAAATTATACTTCCGAGATGTTATTACTGATGCATGCAAAGAAACCTCTTTGTGGATGCTTAACATGCAGTCATCTCAGCTGGGGAGTAAGCAAGAGAAATACTTGCTAGAAATAACCTTTACAATCAACCAACACATCACAAAGCCAATCTTAGCAGCATGCAGTGTTCTGAAAATTTGTCTTAGGATGTGAAATTTGTGAGGTGCAGAGGTACCTTCAACATCATCAGTAATCCATGGTTTCCTCTCAGGCTGATCTTGCATGCTCTTCTTGGTGGACATAATTGCATCACTGGATTTTGGGTTCTCTAATGTAAATGCTAATCAATGACACAACCCTATTGCCAAGGCTAGGCATTGGTGAAGTGCTTTAGTTTGCAAGCCTGGCCCTTCATTTCTTTGTTTCACTGGATCAACCTAAAATGTGACTTCTGCAATGATGCATCTTTGCAGAGCAACCTTAATGCATCTCTGCATAAATGGTGAATGCTTAGGAGAGTTGAATTTAAATACAGGAACCGATCGAGAGCGAAATCTAATGTGGAGGCTAACTGCTAATATCGAACAACGATGTGATCGCGACACGACAGATAAAATACAATTATGATCAAAGAATGATACAACTTTCTTTCTTTTCTTTTTCTCCATTAAAATTGCATAGATTGTGTGATTTTCTATGTCCATCAGCTTTCACAAAAAATGATGTTGTAAAACCCAATCAGGGATGAATCATTCCACAGTATGTATATATTAGGCTAAATGTTAATCAGAGGAAGCAAGTGATTTGTGCTGCATATAATTAGTTCTTAATCTCTAAGTAAACAGATGATGGAGATTAGGAATTTGTTGACAACTTCTATAGAAGGCCATTTGGCCTTCTTTGAGGAAGTCACTTTGGTGATACACTAACAGTTTGAATCTTAGAATTACTTGAAATATGAGTTGCTAACACCTCTTCTTGGAGGCTCTTCTGCTGGTTGAAGGCCCCATGAGGAGAATATGAGAGAGAGAGAGAGAACAGACAAAATCTACAAGATGTGAAAGTGTTCAGTGCCAATCATTCTCTCAACAATCCAGTGCAGACCTCCAGCAGCAATTTGAATCTCATACCTACAGGTTTCACCATGACAAAGCTTCATGCAAGTTGGATAAATGAGCTCTTAAAGCAGTGACAGCAAGCTCTCAAGTTTAAGCTGAAATGTGAGAGAGAACAAATGGATTCTCAAGGAAGAAGACAACAACCTTTATCCAATTGTCCTTTCAGTTGTAGTGACATGTCTATAAGAAAAGACCAAGTGGCTATCAAGCTCCAATTAATCTTCTTCCCTTTACACACACACAAAAAAATAAGAAATGGCAGCTTGGGATCTGTGTATGTTCTCTGAAGCAAATTATATTTTGATGGCCACCTGTCGATCTCTGAGAGGTGTTACCAGTCCACTTCCTCCCTAAATCATCATTCTTAATGCCTAACTAATCAAGATTAAGCATAAAGCCTATCATATCTGACTCAATTAACTCTCACATGGCCTAGATTTTGGTGCTATGAGCCTGTTCTGTCAACCCAAACAGCAACTTTCACTCTAGGTCCTCGATCAATGCCAAAGCAGAAAAGAGTAGCCTTGACATTTCATACCTAAGCTTAGGAAGATCTTCACTAACAATCATATTAAGCTCAGTGATTGGTCCTCTCACAATGTGATGAAGCACTTTTGCTAATTTACCTTGGTCTTCGTGACGATCACTATCCCTTAAAAAATGGCACAAATTACGATACGGTTCGATAATCTTTTACATGATAAACGACAAAAATCAAACGTAAAACATACGTCAATAGATTATTAGGAATTAAATAAGATGACACTCTCCGAGGAGCATGCTTAATGACAAGTAGCCAATAATGCTCTAAGGGTAGGATTGGATTGACCACATTAATCTAGAAATAATCTTAGAGCTTGGAGATTTGGTGGATCATCACCCAAGGTTTGATGGTTTGGCAAGGCATGACAAAGTTGGTAATGGGGAAACAGGGGATAGGGTGTGTCTGAGATAGAGACAGCAAAGATTTGCTTAAGGACATAAACCATGGTTTGTCAAAAGGCTGTGTGGTATAGGCATGTGAAGGAATCCAACACAGAGCATGCGCAACCTCCTCCCAATGCACTCTTTTCCACCTCCATCAGTTGCATATACTATATATAAGTACAGTTACTTTAGATTCAATCAGTCTGGGTTGTTGATAACTTGGAGAACTTTGCTGTCTCAATCAATGAATGACTCATCTCCTCCTCCCATTTCCACACCTTGTTGTGTGTGTCAACTTACTTTACTGGTTTTTTAATGCAACTTTTGATTATGAGATGTGTCTCTGTGATTGCTGATTCAATCAGGTTAGGTCTGATTACTAGTCAAATTATTGTCTGTAAAGTTAGATAGAGTGTGTTCGACAAAGACTCCTTTTATATTTAAGTGAGAGATAATAATAAGAATTTAAGAGAGAAACAATCCTAAGCTAAATAATAATCATTGACGCTCAGCGAGAAAGTTATTTAGGAATAAGGAGTCGTCGGGTATTATATTAGGCGTTGTGTCGAGCTGACGAGGCGTATATATATATATAAAAAAAAAATATATTTTCATGGAGTGAATTGACAAACAATAACTTGTGACACATAATCATGCAAATTTTAGATTTACATGATCATGCAAATTATAGATAGAGCACACCATTGGTGATGTTGATGTTCTTAAGACAGTATTAGCCCAAGCAGAACTTGCATGTCCCAATTGTGAATGACCTCATGAAGACAACAGGAGTAGAAGGCTCATTGAAGGCTACCTTTTCTATGTCACCCACTGCATGAGAACACATGTGAAATGATTCATCAAAGACTGAAGTCAGCCAAATAAGTGCACCAATCTGATGAACACAGCCTTTTACTTCGCCCACAGGAAGCCACTGCACTGAAATGCTCACACTGACATCTTCTGCTTTCTCAGCACTAATAATTTTTTTTTGGATTTAAATGATCAGAATTCGAATCACGAAAACATTCTCAGTTCAAGAAATAAGAAAAGTAGCCATCTAGAATTTATGTTGACAGTAAATGTGGGTGTCTCAGAAACTAAAGATGAAGATATTTCTTCTAATGTTCCACAAAGGAAGACCAGAAAAGGTAGGGAAATAATGCAAAAGGATGCTGCTATAGGACTATAAATGGCTGAGGATAAGAAGTATCACGAAGAGGCAAAGGCCAAAAGAGCCTTCCCCTGCTCCTCATTTTTCTTGCATTTGGTAATGTTTTTGGCTACATTCATTTCATGCACGAGTTACATGCAAAGGATGGGATAGGACTGCAGATGGTTGGACATAAAGAGTAGCCTGTAGAGGCAAAAGACAAAAGGCAAACGAACCTCTCCCGACTCCTCATTTTTCTTGCATTTGGATGGATTCATTTCATGCATGAATCGATATGCAGTTTGTGACTTGTTCTAACGACATCAACTGAGTACTGAAGGCTTCCAAGTCATAGTTTTTGTGTGACACCAAAATACTGCACAACATATGCATGTATAGAATGTCATCAGCAGTGTCTTTGTGTCGCATATCATCCGTGAATGGATCCACAGATATCTTTAGATGATCTCCATGCTTCTTTATTGCAAGATGAAGATGAAGATGAAGATGACGATGTCTTATTCGAGTAGAAGCTCCGAGATGGAATACTTAAGGTAGAGAGAGAGAGAGAGAGAGAGGAGAGATCTGAACCTGACATGCTGTCGGAGGATTTCTTACTTATTTACGGTCTAGTAATTCGAAGATTGATGATGATATGACAGATCTGATGATTCCATTTGTCATTCTCTAACGCGTTAGAATTCATATGCAGAGGATGTCTGTCAACACAGTCAACCTTAGATTATAAGTTTCGAACAGCACTTGAAATCATCTCCAACTGCATGAAGGGAAGAAGAAGAAGAAGAAGAAGAAGAAGAAGAAGAAGAAGACAGTGAATGGCGACAGGTGGAGGGATAAGGCGAAGGGTCCCCCTTCTTCCTTGGGAGTCCTCGGCCATGGAGACGCGTGTTAAAGCTTCCAAGGTATGCACCCACCATGTGCCCTTCTCCAAGTGTTCCATTTCTCCAAGCTATCCACTCTTCTCTCCTATATTTGTATGCCTTTGAACTCATCTGCCAAACATACTCTCTACTATTGTGATTGAAGTCAGCAGCTGGAGAATCATTGTGTTGTTGCAAGTCTTCAGGCAAATGTATTCATGAAATGATTCACCAGTTTAAAAACAAGATTAGTACAACAAGGACAGAGACAAAATAGTAGTAGAGACAAAGGGATAAATATTGGATCCTTGATAATATATTGCATGCCACATAATCTCCCCTCTCTTTGTTTCATTATTTTGTTTATTATATTTATTTTAAAACAGGTGGATGTTTGAGATGTGAAGAGGAAATAAGATGGAAGGTTTTGAGGAAACATATATACCATTTATATGTGTTCTTCCAAAATTGTGTGTAGCTGTTTTATTGGCTTGTTTGTTCATCTTTTTATGATGATTGAGATATATCTTACACAAAATTTGTATTCTCATGTAGGAGTTCTTCTGAGGTGCTCAGGTAGCTAACATAATAGTAAGGTTTGTCCATTGTATGATGGTGATTAACAAGCTTAATATCAATGGTGTCCAACTCTAATTTACTCATTTGGGCATAACTTTTAGCTAATCACAGAGCAGATGTCCAAGACAATGTTACTAAATGATGAGGCATGTGGGATGGTATTGAAGATGACACAACAGTCAGCAGCAAAAAGAATGTCTCATTATGCTTCCCACATTTTGTCTTACTTCACTTTGAGCTTTGTTGTGATATATAAAATCAACTTAGTTGACATATCAACCTACATATTTATCCTCCAATGTGTTTGAAATTTGATTAAAAAAATTATTAATGATCAATCATCATCTGACGTATAAACGTCACGTCAAAATTATCGTTATCATGAAACAAAAAAGATTCAGATTACCCACTATATATATATCGGTACAGATAAAAGTCCAAAATAGATCGTTCGAAACTCTCCCTCCTATCATTGTCTAGTCCAAGGTCAGATATAAGTGAGACATTGAGTGGTTATACATTGTCTCATCCAAGATCAGATATAAAAGTTAATAATTGGTGTTATACTAATAGCTCTTTTTCTAAGATAAATTTATACCTATTAAGAAACCTCAATTATTAATTTGAGTGTGAGAACAATCTAATCAACACTAATAGTGATTTTTTCTAACAGTATTAATTACCAAGGTTTCTAGAAAGTCATCTCAACCTTCTTAAAATGTTTATCTAAAATATGAATAGAAGTGGTAAAAATTATACATCCTTAATTCAAAAAAGTTGAAAGAATGAAAAATCATGACACCAATAAGAACAAAAACATCAATCCACTCACTGCCTCAAATGAGAGCAAACAAAGCACATCCCCGAATACCCCCGCTATTCAAAAAATGCCCCTGTAGTACATAACACCAAAAAATCCAATCCGTAATTTAAGTCCACAGAGAGGGGTTGTTTCGTCATTTCACAATATTTAATGTTATCGTTGGCCTCTTTGTCTTGACTTCAGCGCTGAGAGGAGAAGAGGAAGTCTGTTAAGTTATCACCTCTGCAGACGTCTCTACACATATATAGCAATGGCATTCCTGTAGATCTCACCATGATGCGCGGGCATTGTAGTCCATCCGCTCCTATAAATAGGCCTCCGACGAAGCTTCGCGTCAGTGAAGACTGCTATTCTTCTTGAGGTCGGAAGATGGAGAATGGTGGTGTGGCCTCCGAGTCTTGCATGATCCATGAGGAAGGAGAGATGATGCACTTCTCCGCTCTCTCCGCTTCCGAACTCCACCCTCAGATGCCTCGAGGTTTGGCCTACTTCGCCTGTCTCTTCTTGTGATGCCTGTGTCGATGGCCCGGTCGTCATGTGAACTGCAGGCGCGAGGAGAGCGCGTCGGAGGAGGAAGAAGGCGAAGGGAGACGCGAAGAAGCGGCGGCTGAGCGAGGAGCAGGTGAAGTTGCTGGAGATGCGGTTCGGGGAGGAGAAGAAGTTGGAGTTGGGGAGGAAGCTCCGGTTGGCCACTGAGCTCGGCCTCGACCCCAAGCAGGTCGCCGTCTGGTTCCAGAACCGGCGGGCTCGGGACAAGAGCAAGCAGGTGGAGGAGGCCTACCTGAAGCTCAAGCCCGTCCACGAGGCCGCCGTCGTCGAGAAATGCCACCTCGAGAACGAGGTATCCCTGCACAGAGATGCTCAGCCGCTTCTCCTCCGAGGTTGACTGGAATTGCATGGAACCGTGGCAGGTGATGCAGCTCAAGGGGAAGCTTTCGGAAGCACAAGAGGAGATACGGAAGCTCTCGCTGAGCATGAAGGAAGCCGTCGCCGGCAGCCGCCCGAGCTCATCAACCTCGAGTCATCAACCATTAGTAGCAGACTTAGGAGTGGCGGCGGAGGAAGCTGAGCTCATGTACATACAGGAGTTTGACTTCGGCAACTGCATGATGGAGTGGGCATATTTCTATGGACTATGAAGATGACTGCTATTTTAATTGTGGTTTATGTATGCGATTAATCATCCATGTATATTAACATCCCTCTCCCCAAAGCCCGTTCTCTCACTAACGATCACAGGAATGACCAGTTTTGGGGTGTACTCGCAGTGTGAAGCAGTGGGGATGTTGTTGCTTTGTGCTTCTTCTTCCTCTGCTCTTCCTTCACTCTGACCGTGTGCTGCTCTGTAAAGTGCTCGCTGCAACTGTTCGACTCTTCGAGTCGTCGTGTGCATACTCGATGATGTCCAGAATACCCATCGCGATGCATTCTTGCAGCCGTCAACAAGCCTGCCATGCAAAGCAATCGAATGGATCAACACCAAACAAGATGTCATTTCTGTCTCCTTGCATTGGACGAGGCCATACAAGAAACACAGAAACCCTGTCGAATCATTTTCGTCATCATGTCAATTGTCCTCACTTAATGGACTCACTCTGCTTGAACAAACTGTGAAGATAAGATGAAGATTCATTGAATCATAGGGAACCGAAAGGCTGCGTAGGGGTCGAAAGGTATGTATCATCATCGGATGTCAAGAACCAATCCCATGGAGAAAAGAATGAAAGAGACAATCCAACAGAAGCAACCAATCATCTCGAGGGGAATGTTGTGTGTTGCAACTCTGCTTTTTGACTTTTGTCTCCACTCTTCTCGTGCAAAACTTTCCATCTGACACTGCCCTTGAACTGTTTCTTCAACACCACAAAGCTGTGTGCGCCAGGATGCAGATGAGTTTCGAGTAACTCATGTGGGGGACTCCTCCCCTGGGGGGGGGGGTGGTGTCCGTGGGAGTTTCTGAACTCAACCTTATCCATAGTTCCTCTCTTCATGGCCGTCCATCTTCCTCGTCACAAGAGATGCAGACACATGTTGGCATCGCAGCATCAAGCACCAAGAAAGCTACACTGCTTGTAGATTAACAGATAGATGCCTGGCAGCACTCAGCTTCCCAGTTTAGCTTGGCTGTCCAAGAAAAGATAATCGAGTCAAAATCAAAACAAGAGAACAATATGTATGTGGTGAGATATTTGAGATGGTTAGTACATTATTTCATAAATGAATGTCATGTTCATCATGTCATATAATGATAATTTTACTTTAAAAAAATAAATTAAACAACAACATATTAGAAACAAAAAGATAATTGAATCTAACCTTGAAGCTTTTCAAATACAATACCTTCTAATTGCGAACATATTTTCATATTATTTGACTCCCAGGTTTCAATATCTGAAACCTAATGGTTTTTATATGGGTGAAAACGCATCATGACATGGCATTATGAAATATAAGGGATTGGATCAATTCTTGATTGATTCGAGTTTACCCTTCGATGATCAGATTAAGGCATCAAGCATACGGTTAAGAGGAGACACTGCGACTGCATCATGTCCAGGTCACGACATGTATAGATTTCCTCCATATATGAACAAATTAGCCAAAAATATGGATTGTTGTTCCCTAGCAAAAGCTGAATGGAACCAATAGTGTCACTCCGGTAACACAAAATAATGGACCAGACATGACATGAAGGTTCTTTTAATCGAGATTACGGAAAAAAATATAAGTGAGATTTTGTAATGTTAACTAGAAAACAACGTTAAAAACGCAAAGAAAGAGAGAGAGAGAGAGAGAGAGAGAGAGAGAGAGAGAGAGAGAGGAGAAATCAGACTACTTGCATTGACTTAGAGAGAGAAATTTACATCCATTAGCATACTATCATTAGCCTCTCAGTGTCGGAAGAAGTGCTTCAGAAATTGAAAACTAGATGATTAGCCTCCTCTTTTCTATATGACAGAATGAAATAGGCCGCCCACATCATCATTCTTAGTCTCTGCGTTCATGGGCTAGTATGGTCTGCATTTATCAGCAATCTTACAACTTGGTGCAGAAAAATGGGTTGATTCGACATGATAACTCAGCAGCAAATGACCAGAAGCAGAGCAACATGATGTAGAATCCACGAGCCTTGATCAACCTAGAATGTGCCTTATGAGTTTGAGTTCTTTACATTGTGTAGAACAGAACATCCACTAACTTAAAGCCAGAATGCAGCTCAAACTCTTATTTTAAAGTGTTTCTATGGTATAAGCTGGAACAAGAAAGGCATCGTTCATCACATACCTTGTCATAATAGTGTGTTATGTACAAAGACACGATGGGGCCTGGTTGCCAAAGGCAGTGATGTAGGATACGACGACAGTAATGTCGTCAAGCTTGCCTCCGTAATATCTATAGCCAGCTTCTTGGGCAGCAGCCGAGAACGGGGTTTGCCTGTTCTTGTCCTGCGCTCGTTGGCGAGCTAATGCAGCTATCTTCTGAGCCATCACTTGAGGTCCCAGACCAGCCCTAATGCCGTGAACCACAACAGCTGTGATCTCACTGTTGTACAAGTTATCAAAGAGTCCATCTGTTCCTGCAACGATCACATCACCTGATTCCACTGGGAAGCTGAATACCTGCTCATAAAAATTGACTTAAGAGGCAAATAATATCAACAACAATAATGATAATAATAATTTATGTAGTGCATCCATAAAGACTCCAGCAAGAATGATTTGCTAGCATATATTGAGAAAAAAAAAAAGATTTGCATATGATTTTTATTGACTTAAAAAACCTATGATAGGATTTCTGGAGATTTATCATGGTGAATTTTAGAAAAGAAAAATATTTTCACTAATTATATTGATGTTATTAAAGATATGTATGATAATGTAAGTACTAATATTAGAACTATAGAGAGTAGTCCAGTGAGTTTCCTATTAGTATAAGATTACATTAAGGATCCACATTAAGTGGAATTGATTATAAACTTAAGCTATGAAAGCAATGCTTAGAAACCAAAGATTTTAGATTAAGGACTAAAACTGAATCTATGAGATGTAATTTTGGTAATTCTAGGAATAGATAGCATAATATAATTAAGTTGAATGGACAAAAAAATTTTTTAAGTAAAAGCCTTAGGCATCTTAGATCAATTATTCAACAAGATAAAAAGATTGATAAAGATATTGTTCATAGAGTAAAAACAGGATGTTTAAAATTATGAGGGGTGTTAGGAGTCTTGTGCGATCATCGAATATCTTTCAGATTAAAAGAAAAAAATTATAAAATAATTATGACATCAACAATGCTTAATGGATCAAAGTGTTCGATAGTTAAAAAACATATACAAAAAGTTTGTATTGCCGAGATGAGAATGTTGAGATAAATGTGTAGTGTTACAAGGAAACATAGGAAAAAAGATACTCTTATTTGCGAACAACTAAGTATTGCTTTGATAGAGGATAAAATGAAAAAAAAATATTTAAGATGATATGAGTATATGCTTAAGAGACGTCTGGATATGATAGTTAGAAGAGGTGAAATGATTAAGGTTAATGGTTTGAAGAGAGGCACACGAAAACCTAAAAGGACTTTAATAAAAACTATAAATAAAGATTTAAAAACTCTAAACTTAACATATAGCTTTTTACAGATCTCAATGACGATAAAAAAATCCATATAACTGACCATAAATAGTTGGGATTTATGACTTTGTCGTTGTTGTATCCATAAAGACACTAGCAAGGACCCTTAAATGACAATAAAATGTGATTCATACTAGTCCAAGCACAAGCTAAAATCTAACATCACGGCTTGCCTCCGATAAGGCTTAAGCCCATGGTTTGGCCTAAACCAACTTACTTATATCACTTCTTATAAATAAATGGTAATCAGTTGCTAGCAACATTATATTTCCATTGAGTGTAAGATGAAGAAGACAAATTGTAACTTTATCATCCTTCCAAACACCTACAACCAAAGGGGACGAAAGGCCCCTTGGTTCCCCCATTCATAACCCCTCCATTCCTGCTCCCTGAGAATCCACTCAAAATCATGTGGAACTCCATCGATTGGAATGAAGTCCAACATAGGTCAAGATGAATATTGATGGCTCCTCTCTTTTGCATAGTAGCGGCTTGGGATTCATCATCAGAGATCACGAAGGGATAGTGCAGGATTGCAAAACAATGTTATGTACATAACAAGACTGACTTACAATGTGAGGCCTTACAGGTTGACACCGATTCAACAATCCTCGAAGAAGTGCTGAACACTATCAGGATCCACCTTGGAGCATTGGTGTTATAGTTGTGGATATCAGAAACCTTCTCTTTCAACTGTTGTCATTCACTGTTGTACACTGTTTTCATGAATGTATTGAGCTGCAATCAAAGGTAGGATAGATAGGTTTTTTTTTTTGGTTACCTGAATCTTTTCCCCCTGAATTATCTTCTATTTTGCACAATGACTTACATGCATCTTTTTGTAGATTTTAAGACCTTAATAGACTTCTTTTTGCAGTTAAAAAAAGAACAACGTACAACAGGTTACAAATGAATCTAAGACTAGCCATAGGCTCCAGTGCATATTTCTTCAAGAGTAGCACATATGGTAATCAAAGTACATGCATCACCTCGTCAAGCCCAAATGAAGATTAATGAAAAAAGCACCACAAATGGTAGAGTCAAAAGTAAGACAAAAATGCTAACCTGGGCAGCACTAGGTAGATCACTTGCATTGTTGCTCTCAAGTTGATAAGTGAAATTAAAATCATGTTGCTGCACCGGTGACCGGAAGATAGTGCATCCATCTCTAACAACTATGAAACCACTGTCACCAAGATTGACAGCACGAATGCCCTACAGGGACAATTGCAATGGAGGCAGGTTAGCAATAGTTACATATTCTAAGAAGCAGAAAACAAATATGTCAAGTTGCAACATGCATGAGAAAATTAAAATTGAAACAAGGATAAAGATTGCTTCGGATTATGTGAGTCAAGTTCAAGATAAGGACCTACGACCCATTTGGCCTTTGCTCCAGATCCAGTGAGGTGATTCCACCACCCTGGACATGCATCAAGACATCAAGTACTGATAAAGTCTCAATGTATAAATCATCGCATAGCATATGGATCATGTGTGCTTGACTTACCAAGTTTAGATTGAGAAGTTACAGAAGAACTTACTGTTTAGGACAGAACATATATATTCTATTTTGGGAATCCATAGGCTGGGCACGAAGCATCAGATCAACCACAATAAAAGGTAAGGAAAAGAAGGAAAAAATTTTCACAAATCAAAATAAGTGTCCTTAAAATTTTTATCAAAAATTTTTGGGACATTTTACTCCACTCTATAGTCTAAACACAGCTCATTAAGTACATAATCAGATGATGAAGAAAGACGAAGGGAAGCAAGATAACTAATCCCTCTAGCCTCCTTATGCACATTTCTGCCCTTTCGTCCTCCTTCCTCTCCAAGCATGTTTGGCTCTTATAATTGATTCCTTCTAATGCCAAACCTCCTGGACAACAGACAAAAAAAGCCTCTTTGTCCAAGACAAGGAAGGTCATAACTTTTTCATCTCTTGAAGAGGGTTGTAACCAAGCCAAGCTTTGTGCTGCTCACGCTTGACTTAATGGGAGCTGATAAAAAGTTAGCATTTATTTTGGCAAATGTTAGATTCAATGCCACAACCTTCTATTAAGGTTCAAGTCCTTTACTAGATAAGCTAGTCAATAAATATATAAAATTTGTATTTAGTATATTTGGGAGTTTATGGAACAATTAAGTGACAACATTATGAATATATTAACTATGTATAGACAAGCCTCCTTTCACAAGCCCATAAACAAGCTTGTTCAAGAGTCAATCATTGGGCTCAAGTTTGGTTCATCAACCTTCCTGATAGCTCATAAATGGCTTGAAAACCCTACTCCTAACAGGGCACTTATTCATGGTATAGAAGTTAATGCTTGAATCAAAGACCCAAGATACCACAACTGGAATTCAATGCTGAATAGCTGATCTACTGGACAAACAGAAGGCAAGTTAACAATTACTTGAAAGAAGTATCACTTAACTATTATTTGAAAGAAGTATCGCTATGCCTTTTCTTTAAGTGGAATAAGTGATACTAAGAAGAAAAGACTCGTTCGATAATTAAACTTTAAGAATGCTTCTCAAGAAAGCACAGCTAGAAGACAGATTTTGAAGAATGAGGCTGATGTTAATCTTTATATGCACAAACAACATCAGATAAGCTCATATCAAACTCTGATCATCTTAGAAGTGCCTTTGAGGTATGCCACTAGTTGCTAAAGAGTTTGAAAGAAAAAAGTTAAGTACTTTTTTCAAACAAAACTGCACTAGAATTTTATTTTGATAACATATGAACCACCAAACATCCATTACAACACTAGTCAAGCCTAAAACTCAAAGCAAGTCTAGAGAAACAACTTAAAAGAGAGAAATAAAATATATACTTCAAATCTACCTAAGCAGAAAAAGGTTGGCTTGCTGATTTTATGCAGGCTGAGTTTAAGTCAAGTCTTGAACTTCATTAGCTGGATTGACTTTTCATACCATTCTGGCACCCAATGTGATTTGAAAGGACAGATCAAATACTTCAAAGCATATGCCAATATCTGACTCATCAGGTAACATAACTTCCAGGTTGTAGAACCATCAAAGATTACAATGAATTCAGCCAACATTATGTGGGATCTAGTTTTACAATGACACTGCCCATAAACAGCATGCTCTCAAAAAGAAAAACTATAGATGGAGACAAGCCTTTCATGGCTAATCAACCTGTTGCTAAGCAATAACATATTTAACAAGGCAAATGCCTTTTGTCGATTATTAAGATGCACCTAAATTTTTTTATCTATGGAAAAAGGAGATCAGTCTAAAAGAAGTACATTATATCTTCTACCTACCATAGTTTCACAACTGTGATGGCATAGATACATTGGAATACAGGCTTCTAGTAATTATATAATATAAAAGTCATTCTTCCTATACTTTAATGCATCTAGGCTTAAACAAAATGAACAATGCATTAAGGGCAGTATGGTAGGGCAAGTAATATCTTACCAATTAAGTCATTGACATTCTCAAATAAAGAAGCACATAAGTTCAGGAAAAATATCAAAAATTGGAAAACACCAATATAAACAAAAGATGGAAAAAGACCAGTGTCCTTTCCTAGAAACTTTACAAGAATTAGCAATCCAGATATGAAGTTAATAAAGATGGTTCCTTTTGCAAGTAGAATGATCCTTTTAAATGGTTTTCCCCTACAAATTATGAACTTTATGCTATACAATATCCTCTGTAAATTGGAGGATAAACTGGAAAGCACTACAAGGAAATGCATACAGTAATACAAAAGGGGGATGGACCTGATCTGTGAGAGCAATAATGCAGGCTGTTGAAGATCCTTCAGCTTTGGTTCTTGTATAAGCTTTCTCTAACACCCTTAATGGATCAATGGACCCTTTGGACTCTTCTTCAATTGCATCTACTGAATGTGACATAAGTGCTCTAGAATATTGGCCTGCATCAACCCCATGATTGGCCCACCCACCAACACCATCTGCTACACCAATGGCCTGCTCGTCCCATAAAAAATGAGCATCCTCACCACCAGTTTCCTCCTTATCTGGGTGCGGCAAATAACACGATCCAGAAAGTAGTTTCAATGCTCTGTTACTTGGCTTTTTCCTGTGTCATACAGCCAAAGTTATCCTCCCGGTAGGCCAACCACAAATAGTATCATCCATAATTAACAAACTTTAACATGTGAAAATAAGAAAGATCATCCAAGAACGTTGCAACAAGAGACATGTCAAGTTATTCAATGATTGAAAATCAACAAGAAAGATGAGCAGAAGCATACTGGTCAGACTCAGATGAAGGATTATCAAGTTGCTCTTCACGTAGAGACTGATCAAGAGACAGGACAGGAGCTGCTCCAGTAGTACATGATGTGAAGAATAATGAAAATAACTCAATCCCACCCTGTGCAAAAAAATTACAAGACAAGCTTTTCCCAATTGTCTCGGACAAGAACTGCTTGTAAACCAAATAAGAGCCCAAAACTTCTTTACGTCTCAGAGTCTTGCATACTCTTTTCCAGTAATCGAGACTTCTATTGGGGAAAAAAGCATCAGCTCTCAAGAAAGAACCACGTGTATCCCGACTATCGTGGTGGACAGCCCATGTAGCTCCACCAGGTAAAGAAGTGCAAGTGGATGTCACACCCCTCTCAAAATGGATAAATGACCTTTGAGGGAACACGGAAACCAGACTACCAATGTTATGTATACGCGATTGACAAGATGAACCAGCCAAAGAAGGAAAAGGAACCAATCGGGACAGTTTTCCAACAATAGACTGTGATGATGTATAGCGATCGATATTTGGAAAGGTTTGAACGCTGTCAACAAGACTGGAGAATGAATGTGACTGAAACAAGCCCGTCTGGCCTTCTCGGAAAAGAAGTTCTACGGAGAATCGAAGTAGTTTGTTGCTTGAGATATGTGTAGCTGGCATCTTCCAACCTCAAGAAAAGAATAAGCTTGTATCCTCCACTAACAGGATCGCGACTCCCAAAGCAACTTAAAATGACGAATCTCGCGGCTCATTTTCCATCACGATATCCTGAAAAGGAAATCGTTATTTGCACGACTTGATCCCTCACAAGAAGAAAAATAATTCGGACGTCAAACGCTGAAGTCGATGAAGAGCAAATCGAAGTTTCCAGATTCCATACGAAAAAGATCCCGCAGAACCCAAAGGAAGAAAGGAGACCGCACAAACCCTAAAAAACCACATCAGGCTCAAAGAAAACAAAAGCGGTGTCGAAGTGCAATCTCCAAACAAACAACGAAGAGAGAGAGAGAGAGAGAGAGAGCATAAACCATACGAATCGAATCTTTTCGACGAAGTCCTTGGGAATCAGTACGAGAAAGCAAGAAAGAACCTAAAGAAATCCAGAGAAGAAGAGAAGGAAGAGCGCAGCTCCCATCGATTCCCGAGGAGAGAAGAAACCCTGAAGGGAGGAGGAGGCGGAGAGATGAGTATGGACCGCAAGAAGAAGGGCGCCGTTTTGGGTTTAGGCGTTGAAAACCGGATAGAGTGGCGGGTTTGTTGGGCTTCTTGGAGAGACGCACCGATCCCAAAGCCCAGTGAGCCAACAGTTCGACAAAGTCGGACTCAAGCCGTCCCAGTTCGGATCTACTTAAGGCGAGCCGCGGCTGAACAGCCCTGAGACCCACCTCGTATGCCACGTCACCCATGAAATCCGAAAAGGATCTCTCTCTCTCTCTCTGAACAGTGATCGTGAACATTTGATTACATGTCATGCAAGTATTGATTGCATCAGTAGGACATATATGATTTTGGGAAAGCTATAAGTAATAAACTAAATGATCTTACAGTCAAATCTTCTCCTTGGCATGTGCCTTGAAACTCCAGTAGGTCTCAGATCACTTCATGCTGCATACATGAAGAAGGGGCATTTACTTTGGTTGATTTAGTACTTATTTTTCGGCTTAAACTGTTGTAGCAAGTGCACAATCACCAGTTACATGGCAACTCAACAACCTAGTTCATTTCATTTCTGATGCAGAAAACTTATTGACTCTTTTAAGTTTGAGATGGTGATGGTGAATCCTCATTAAAATAGGGATATGAATGGATTCTGCATTTAAGATCAATGAGCCGATTAAGTGAGAATATGGATTTCTGGTGCAGTTTTGTAATTGAATGTCGAAGATGAGCTTGAAACCAAGTATAATTGCAGTAGGTTGGCCTTAAATGCACTGCTTGTTTGGTGATGATCTGCATGGAACAGACAAGGAGGAAGCTATTAGTTTCATTTAATGGCCAGTACTGATCAGGAAGTGACCCTATTTACTTGGGGTGCATGGATCTAATTTTTCTTAACAGTGTTGATTAATCTCAGAAACACATAAATTTATGGGCAACAATGTAGTTTAGAACATCATTATGAATAAGAATGGTGTCATATATATATATATATATATATATATATATATATTGTTCACCTGTTTTTAATCAGATTCAAACAAAAAATAGAAACATATTTATGGACAAGAGTAATTGTAACACCCCTGATTAGTCCCACATCGAAAGTGAGTAGGATTAAGATTGACTTATAAGAGTCTGATGAGTGTACTACTATCAACTTCAGCTTAAATATTTTGGTGGTTTAGACCAAACAAAATTGATAGGTCAGTTAGTCCATCAAGCCCGAGTCATTATATTTGGTATCAGAGGACTCGTCACGACATGGAGCCACCACTAGGCTTGACGTCCTACACCCCTGATTAGTCACCCATCAAAAATGGGTAGAATTAAGATTGACTTATAAGAGTCATAATGTATGTAACTGGCAATACTTCTTATCCCCGTATCTTTCGTTTTTCTTTCCATCCTTCTTCCACCTATCACATTATTTTCTTCCTCTTATCCCTCATTGTTATCCATTCTTCTCCTCCCCTCACATTAAAGAGCCTCTCTGGCTTTCTGTAACAGAGCTAAAGAGTTACTGCAACATTGTCCTTGAGAACTTAGGTGTTCAGGATCATTTTAATCTATCTACACTTCTACCAGAGGCATCAAGAGCATTAAAAAAAACACAGAATTTAGAGCTTAATTCCTACTTCTGCTATTTTCACAAATATACACAAAAATCTGTGTTTTTGATTAACAGGTGCTTCATATACCAGGTTGCATAACCACTTCATATTTCAAATATTGGATTTTCATTTCTTATTTGTTTAATATTTCATTTAGTTGTGGACAAATTAAAAGAAAATGAATGACCAATGTAGAAGGATCAGGCAGAACTTAATCAATGTTTGGATTGTAGCAGCAGCCCAATCAAGCTGTCACTAACTTGTCTATTCACCTTGTGGATGTATTTGTTCTATCTATTTACCTAAGTTCTCTTCAGATTAATATATCCGGTAATAAAAGGTAAAAAAATTTAAACATGATGATAACAGATACAACGTTGTCCGCTAAAACAGCAGAAAAATGTATTAAGAATCAGAAAACTTAAATGTAGAAGTTTTAGGTATAGCATGAGACCTGTTCCACATTCTGCCACTGACCAAGTCATGCCTGGTTGAATTGATTACAATTTTCGCTCTTGTTCCATTCAGTACCTGACATGGTGAACAGAAGTTGTCATTTCCTGCCTTGATAACCAGCAGAAACATGATGAGTATGCAAGGACAAAGATTCATGACATCTTCCTCCAGGAATTGGGAAAGGCAGAAACTGTGAGCTATATCTGGAGGAACAAGCTGCATTACTTGCCCGGAAGAAAGACGAATAACACTACACTTGTTTATTGCTGTTTCTGAAGGCATTGAAGAGACCGGTGCCCTGCATAAAGGCCAGCATTCACGCAGCTTAATTAGAGCAGATTGGCATAACGAGTATGGAATTTTCTACTCTTATCAAGTCAAGTACAGAAGAATCAGTGCGTAAACATGCCACTAATGCACATTTAAATTTGATCAGCAACTCTCTTGTATAATCTCTAACTAAAGAATCTTTAGCCAATTTTCTTAATAGCTCAAGTTGATTGTGATACCAGGGTGGAGGGAATAATCTTTATGATTCTTGTGAGTGAAATGAGTGGAATAAAAAAGAAGAAAACCATGTCTATTATCTGGTATAACTGCCACTAAATTGGGTTGGCTTACAAAAACCTAACATGCGTCGGTTGTAACATCATTCATAAATTCTCTCAGTAGATATAACATTATACATTAAATGGTTTCATGCCCGCCTCAATTTATTGTTGAGCCTGATTCGGGTGGAGATGCACAAAAAGCCCCAACACACCATATTTATTCTTTCCCTAATGCCTCGGCCAAATTTACTGCAAGCCTGGTGGTGAGGTTGTGCATAGTTCTTTTATGTCTCCCACCGTGGTGATGCGTTATTTGTTTGTGGATGAGAATTGGAGTTGAGCATGCTCATGAATTAATGCTAACCAACAAGGTGCAGTTCATAATTGCCTGATGGTCATATGGTGCATGCAAGATTTCAAGACATCAGAAAAGCATGCTTTTTTTGACTCACTGCAGGTTGGAGTGCAGTATCTGCATTCTTCTGTAAGGTTCAAGCTAGCTTCCAGCTCTGATGTCATGCTTGCTTCAGAAGTGATTGTCCAGCATGCATTTGTTCCCATCTATCACATATCTGCATTACAAAGACAAAAGTTTGACTGTAAGTAAATCCAGACTGCTGCTGCTTCAAGTTCCACAAGTGAAGTGAGCCATCCTACAGTGGATTTCACTATATATCATTCCACTGAGTGTCCTAAGAAGCATATATGATAGCAGTATGCATGGCTCATTCTTTGATTATTGCAGGAAAAAGCCACTTAAATGGATAATTTAGTTGAAAGTTATGCTAACTCCTACTTACACCAAGTAAAGCTAGTTAGTGCAGAATGTGGACACTGATCAATGAAGTCATGTACAGGTGGTGAGAGTGGCAAAGAGTTAGATTTTGGTGGCATGAAATCATTTAGGGAGTTGTTTTAGATGGTGAGAACTTCAGCATTTAAAGCCACACTATTCAACTATTAATGCAAGGTCTGCCCTCCTTTTAAATAGGGTTGGATGAAGACATTTAAGAACACTCTTTAATATTTGCACCCTCTCCTGCACGATCCAATATATCAAAAGGATGTGAGAAGCTTCCATTTTCTGTTCATTCCCTCCCTCCCATCCCTTCCTCTTCTTCCTCCCCCTCCCCAAAGTTCTCTCTCTCTCATATTTTTCGTTCTTTTTTTGTAGCAACCCATGCTTCTTTTGCTTTATGCATATGTAGATTCTTCACTAGGCTAGTTTTGGATGATCAAAGGGTTTCTACAAAGTTCTCAGAATCAATCCAACTTAATGGGAGAGAATCAAAAGCTGAGCAAGGGGAGAGGCTGGAGACTGATGGATCAGACCCGGCTATCATTAGGTCCACATGCATCGATCTTAAGCCAGAAGACACACAGCTTATCTTCAGAATCAGATGGAAATGTTGGAAGGAAGAGAAAACAAATTTGTCATGAGGTTTCAAGCCCAACTAGCATTGAGCTTCAGCTTAATGATCCCTTGCCACTTGAATGGGAACAATGCCTAGACCTACAAGTAAACACACACACACACACACACACACTCTCTCTCTCTCTCTCTCCCCTGACATACATCTTATTTGTTATACTGTTGCATACAATTAATACTTCTTATTGTGTCTCAAGGCAGTACTTATGATTTTGTCATGCATTTTATCATCTTCTGACATTCTTTAAACTAATACCTGCAGTCTGGAAGGATGTACTATTTGGACAGGAAAACCCTGAAGAAAAGTTGGATCAGGCCCAAGGAACATGAACTAGATTTGGATCTCAACATCTCATCCTTCTCAAGCTCAGAAGAGCAATCCAACTTGACAAATTCAGATGAAGCAAAGAAGCAACCTAATTCATGTGGCAGCATGGTCGCGGTAGTCTGCATCAACTGTCATCTCCTCGTCATGCTCTGCGAGTCATCTCCTTCATGCCCCAACTGCAAGTTCATGCACTCGCCACTACCATCTGCAATGCTGCAAGCGCCTCCTCGGAAGCTCAAGGCTGTCAAGCCATTGGAAACCCTACATCTCCTACATTAGTTAGCAGACTGATGAACGTAAAAAGAAGTAATAAAGAAAAAGGTCAATGTTCCTGATGATAAGAACAAGCACAAGATTAAGTGTTTATACTGGGACAGCGGTGGTTGCACCAGTTGATATTTCAAATCAGTGAGAAAGAAATGGTAATTAGGTAGTGGTATCTTCCATTCAAGAGTAAGTCATGCTATAAAGCTGTCTGCGTCTGCACACTAAATTGCACTTGAGATGGTAGTTCGAGTGAGTGAATGAAATCATATCAGCTTTTTCTCTCTCCGGTTTCCATAACATGTAGATATGAACTCACTGAAGGAGCTAATGATTTGGAACTTTAAAGAAACATGGTGCTCACTGCTGAGGGGAAGGATCAATCCCACGTGTAGTAGAACGCATTCTTAAGCTGATAGCTGACACTAACCAGAGGAAAAGAAGTGTTACCCCATGCAATGCCCTGCCTATTTATACATAAATTGAGATATGAATGTTCAAATAAACAAATATGTAACGGTGTAAGAGATGGACAGATGTGCACACACACTTAAAACTTTGGTTCATCTAATTATACTCTGTGAGGAGCATATTCAACAGCAGTTGCATTGTTTTAATCTCGAGAACAATGAAGTAATGAAGTGAAAAGAGTTCTGGGTTCACAACTTAAAGCATTCAAAGAAAATGTTAGGTAAATAACAGTTATCTGGCTGTACTAGTGTTCCAAAGTTATGCAAACAAGAAATGCAACATTATTGAGAGGAAATGACAGAATTGGTACAGGATGCTAAAAAAAATGGAGACATAGGAATGCTAGAGAGAATAAAAGTCTGCAATCATTTAAAACTACAAAAGCCCTGGTGCAATTGTAAATAAGCATAAAAGATATCACAGAACTTTAATTTCTACAGAACAATACATTGCATAAACTTTTGTCTTAAACCTGAGGACAACAAAGAGAATGTAGATAAACAGAACACGTGGGCTTCATTGTTGCATGTGTATTATTTTGGATTAATATTTCATCTATTTTATTATCTTATTGTCCTTTTTTATCAGAACTTTCTATCTCCACAAATTAGGATGTTGTTACATCTCTAGACAAGAGGAATGTCAACAAATTGTTATAAAGCAAAGAAACTCTTCATGAATGATCACTGTTGATTAGCAACTCGACGAGCCATTCCCATCCATATAATAGATCAACATAGAAGTAGAATGAGAACTTATAGACATTTAATTCAGTCGTTTTAGGTTTTTGAAACTCCTGATTGTGAAACATAACATGGCTTCGGTCGACATAGAGGAAGTAGTGTGCTATGGTTGGAAATGTTAGCTAAACCAGAATATTCTATGTATTAAGAGCATAAAATTGTCTTACAGTAAATTAAAACCACTAATAACTTCATAAGGTTACCAAAAAGTTGACATCATAGAAGAAGGATGAGAAATTTGAAAGTTAGGAAGGATTTACATCACCAAGAAACAATGAAGATCTGAAAGATCATGCTGCAAAAAGATGTCCACCGAGAATCCATTCAGTCAGGATGGAAAAGAAAATCCATGAAATCCTAAAATATCGAAATCAGCTATCTGCCTATCAAGATAGCCAAAGTTGATAATCTTCCTTTCCAATACAAATCCAGTCCACAATATAAAATCCTAATGTAAGGAATAGAGATCATAGAAGGATAAGAAATTTACTAGTTAGGAATACCAAGAAATTCTCTTTCCACTCTGAATTTTTCCAATTGCAAGGATGGAAACTGTAGAAGGGTATAAAAATTGTAAGCTAGTAAGGATATATGCTACAAAGAGACAACAAAGATATGAAGATTTAGTTGTAATTGCTCATTATGTAACCCATGAATCCAATCATTAGGAACAGAGAAGAAAACCAATGAAACCCTAAAATGTTCAAATTAGCTATACTTCCCCATCCAATCAGATCCTTCAAGCAGTCCTCGAGGCAACACCCGATTATAACTTCATAAGGTTACCAAAAAGTTGACATCATAGAAGAAGGATGAGAAATTTGAAAGTTAGGAAGGATTTACATCACCAAGAAACAATGAAGATCTGAAAGATCATGCTGCAAAAAGATGTCCACCGAGAATCCATTCAGTCAGGATGGAAAAGAAAATCCATGAAATCCTAAAATATCGAAATCAGCTATCTCCCTATCAAGATAGCCAAAGTTGATAATCTTCCTTTCCAATACAAATCCAGTCCACAATATAAAATCCTAATGTAAGGAATAGAGATCATAGAAGGATAAGAAATTTATTAGTTAGGAATACCAAGAAATTCTCTTTCCACTCTGAATTTTTCCAATTGCAAGGATGGAAACTGTAGAAGGGTATAAAAATTGTAAGCTAGTAAGGATATATGCTACCAAGAGACAACAAAGATATGAAGATTTAGTTGTAATTGCTCATTATGTAACCCATGAATCCAATCATTAGGAACAGAGAAGAAAACCAATGAAACCCTAAAATGTTCAAATTAGCTATACTTCCCCATCCAATCAGATCCTTCAAGCAGTCCTCGAGGCAACACCCGATTGTAAAGATGGACATCACGGAAGAAGAACGAGGATATTGCACGCTAGAAAATGTTGTACCTCTTGAACCCGAACAATGGACATGGGAAAGAATATCCACGAAACCCTAAACTGTTGAAGTCAGCCATCCACATATCAGGATGTCTCCGGTGATTCATCCTCTGCCCACAATCTGCATCTGTCGAGCAGTCAAACACGTCTATCCCGACAACCAAATGGATATAATCATGATAACTACAAATTAATAAACGCAACACTGTCACGCACAATATAAGAACCTTAAATGACTTCCTGTGGTCACGGATTCGGGAGCTATCATTGGGGCGCCAAAATTGAGCGCAAATGCCAGCTCAAACCGATTGCAGAGCAAGCATAAAAAGAAATGGATGGCAACGAGTGGCCGCTCATACTGATCGGAAAGAAGCATATTATCCAGCAAGAAAGAAGAGATTGAGGAGATACCCTAGAAAGGGAGAGGATCGGAACCCTAGAGCGGTGAGGGGTGATGGCTCTGGGACGGGTCGCAGTTCCGGCGCCGTATCTCCAACACTTCCCCGCAGGGGATGATGAGATCATGTTAATATGTTCCGCCGGAACATTGTTGCTCTGCTGCAATTCCGAAATCGTCGGTCTAATATAAAATTCTTTTTTTATTTACAAATAATAAATATGCAAAATAATTTAAAGTGAATATAGTTAGACGAATTAAGAGGAAAAGTTCTTTAAACTTTTTTTAAGATTCTTCTTTTTCATATTTTCAAAGCCGATTTCAAGAAGAAAAAAAATTCCTTTTTTTTTTTTTTTTTGAATGATGCCTTCATTTTCGAGTCATTTGGTACTCTCATTTTCCTCAAATATTCTAATTATCTAAAAGAAAAAGGTGATTATAATATAGCTTCTCCTCCTCCATAGCTCACAATGTCAATATTGTTCATGCAAGCTTTGTTTCTTTGTCTCCTTGAGTAAAACCACCACCTCTATCATAGAAACCTTTCTCCTATAGTTGTTGTTAAGCACCTTCCCACCGCATTCCTCGTGACCTCCTCCTTCTTGCTACTTACACGGTTTGCTCAAGGTCTCATATATTTTTGTACCACTCTTATTTCATCGATGACTTCGTCTAATCGACTAACGATAATATGTTGTACATTATGTCTATAGTTTTTTCACTTGTTAAGGATTTTGAAAAGGACAATGTTGAAGTTGTGCATGTTGATATTTGTGTCGATATCCTTCGAGCGAACATAGGGCACTTTACGATAAAAACTAGGACTTTGTGGAGACATTAGTGATTGTCTCGTGAGAATAGATACACGATAATACTAAAGTCAATAAGGTCGACTGACTTTTGATGTTCAAGGCGATGTGGAGGGAGTGGAGGTGGCTAAGCTAAAGAGCTAGGCGAAAAATATAATGGAAATATTTATACTAAATAAACCCGTAAAAAATCGTAAAGAGACTTTTGTGACATGTGATCAATGACCATGATATACGAGGAGAGCTTAATGGTCGACATGGAATAAGATAATAAAGTCTCGTGCCAACCAACGAAGCGATGCTAAAAAGTATTTAAGATGTTAAAGGAAAGTAAAAGTACTAAATAAGAAAACTAAAAAAAAGGGTATCATATGAGAAAAACAAAAAATTAGTTTTTAAGAGAAATCATCTATTTTTTATTCATCATAATTCCTATAATGCCTCATACATTAATTTTATAATGAATTCAAGAAAAAAATATATCCAAAAACAGCAATTATTTAAGAGTTAAAAAAATTATTGAGGAAATAATAATTATCCAGTATGCCGTTGGAAAATATTGATATTCCAAATATTAAAAATAAGACATGATTACAATAAGAGGCATTTCCATCATTTTGGATGAAGACGACGTCGACGGTTCTCGGCGAGCAGTACTACGATTTTTGAGGCCGCCGAAATTTAGGGTTCCGACGAGCGCTGTTTCTCGACAAAGAGCAGCGATGGAGAGCGTTCTCGCGACCGCCGCGGCCATCACGGACCAGCGGCAAAAGATTGAGCAGTATAAACTCATCCTCGCCTCCGTCCTCTCCTCCTCGTCCACTGATGTCACCCAGGCCAAGCGTTTCATCGATCACAGTACGCTCCTCCCTCCCTCTAGATCAAGGTTTTCTTCCTCCCCCCCCCCCGTCTCTGTGGTTTTTGATCGGCTCTTTCTCCCCGCATTGGTTGGTGTTTAGTGGTGTCGGATGAGGTTCCGCTGATGGTATCGAGGCAGTTGCTACTGACGTTCGCACAGGAGTTGGGAAGGCTTGAGACGGACGTTCAGAAGGAGATCGCTCACTATGGTCTAGCTCAAATTCAACCCAGGGTTGTGTCTTTTGAGGAACAGGTATGGCTTTTGAATTCTGGCACTCGTTAAAAACCTCTTCTTTGACCTTACATGCTGTGAGGTCCGACGAAAAAATGATGAGAGCGGCATCTGCTGTTGCAATCCAACTTCTTGTCATGCTAACTAGCAGCATTCAAGTAAGGAGTAAATAGTGGTATTTTGGGCTTGATGCATATTTATTCGTTCGGTAGTTTGTGTCTTGTTAACATGAATAAAGATAGGTAACTTGATTGTCATTTGACATATACACTATTTCACACAAGAGAAAGTGGAATTGAGTGCTCGTATATGCTATTTGTTTATGATGAACTACGAAGTCAGCTGAGAAGGCACTGAATTTCTTCTTTAAAGTTCTATTTTAATTTTTTTCGGTGAACAAGGATTCTTGATCTGAAGCTGGACTACAGATCGTTGGTATACTTTTTCATTGCCTTTAAATTTAAAGGCTAAAAAGAGTCTCAGGAATCTCTTTGCAATATATTTTCAATTATTTGTAGCATTTTTTAATAAGCCTTTTCTAACATAGATTCTAATGTTGTGCCATATTTACATCAACTCAGATAGTTTCAATGTAAAATTTGGTTATTTGGTTGGATTGCTTTTATAGTTTTGATAGAAAAGGGATTGGGAAGCAACATATCATTCTTAATTTCAGCTACTCAAGATAGATTCCCTTCTCAAAGTGATAGCTTCTTCAAGTGTCTTAAAACTGTTTGTTTGCTGGATTTAGCTTCCATTGGTGATGAGCATGGACATGAGAATGTGGCACTGTCCAATTTGCCAAGGAGGGGAATGGAGGTTCAACATACATGATGGTGTGAGAGAAAGAATAAAAAAGAGCATATTACTTTTTTTTTTCCATAAAAGGCCTTAAAATTGTGATAAGAACAATTTCTTACGTTTGTTTGATGATAGGATAATGTAACTAAAAAAATTCTAACATCTAACAAGTGTCCAACTCATGAGCATGAAAATATCTGTCATGATTTGTGTGTTTCGATGCTAGAGTTCATGTAACATTGTAAATGATTCTATGATCATTGTGATTGCAGTAATTCTAGCCGCTTCCGATGTAGGTATTCATCTCCAAGTTATGTTCGAGGAGTTATTATTTATTTTATCTGAGTTCTATTGTATGTTCTATTCATGTTTGAGGAGTGTTCTGTTGGTCTGTAGGGGAAACTTCTCTAGATTTCTTTTCTAATCAAGTTAAATCTAAAAACAATTTAGATCACATCTTTGGCTGGATTTTTCCTTCCTAGACTTGTTGGCATTAATAATAATCTAGAAGAGTCCAATTCTCTTCTTCTTCATTATGTTGGAAAACAAAATATGAAACCGTATTCATGGCAAACTTTGAAGATTTCATTTGCATCAACATGTTGTATGGCATGCAATGTGATAGTTCATGCCTATCCTTTACATTTGAATCCTAGTATCTGCACTATCTGTTAACTTTTGCATCATACTAAACCATTTTTATACTAGGGAGAACATCTTGATTCTTGATTTGTATGTCTGTCTTCTAGATTCTTTGTGAGTAAGCTTGAATAGGTCTTTTGTGAAGAATATATATGTACACTTGTTGGAATGGCCTTTTTCAAACTTTGGAGCTTTCGTCTACCTTCAATTCTCTTAGGTGCTAATCATCAGAGAGAAACTAGCTGAACTCTATGAATCTGAACAACAATGGTCAAAAGCAGCACAAATGCTGAGCGGGATTGATTTGGACTCTGGAATTAGGTAAATCTATTTGTTTAAAATATATATTTGTCTGACAAGCTTACCCGAAAAGCCTTATCTTTGTACTTGGAATTCGTTTATCAGGATGCTTGATGATACCTATAAGCTCTCCAAATGTGTTCAAATTGCTCGCCTTTATCTTGAGGTTTGTTAGCATCACATTATTTTAACTGAGGATTATCAGAATATACATCTTACAGTTTATCTGAATTCTGCTGCATGTTCCTAGGATGATGATGCTGTTAATGCAGAGGCTTTTATTAATAAAGCTTCTTTTCTAGTCAACAATAGCCAGCATGAAGTGCTAAATTTACAATACAAGGTGATTATGCTCTGGACATCTAGGTTTCTTTGTTATCTGACACTATTTTCTAACATTATTTGTCTATTTTTTTTTCAAAAGGTTTGTTATGCTAGGATATTAGATTTGAAGCGGAAGTTTCTTGAAGCTGCACTTCATTATTATGGTATTTCCCAGATTGAACAACGTCAAATTGGAGATGAGTAAGTTTACTTACTGATATTTGTAGATTAAAATTTGGGATAAAAAATTGATCTTATTGATGACTTACTGGCAATGATTATTCTCTAAATCTATGTTTTGTCTATTTCAACAGATATACTGTAATTTATTTCTATAGTACTTAGGCTTCCTTTTCTTATTGCTGTCTTTACTTTATTGGCATTGCATATTTCTCAGCAACTTTTAACCCTTCCTATTGCCCTTTTTTTTTTGTGATTTTTCTTTGACATATATAGTTATATACTTATATTATGTGTTTGCATAAATGCAATATTTAGAGGAACTCTCCCTGGTACAGTAAGGTTTGCTTTGTTGCTACCTGTATATTGTGTTTGAACTGTTGAAGTGGCCTCTTCATATGATGTGGTGAGGCTGCATACAGTTGATCCATCAGACCGCAAATGATGGAGCCCTATGTGCTTTATTGTTTTCCAGTAAGCACCCAGTAGTATACATGTATAAAATGTGCTGTTAGATTTTTTTTTGAAGTGTTTGCAAGGTTTAATGAATATTGGTTCACATGCTTTTTTCATTTTTCTTTCTTCTTCTTATATTCAACTGTTCTTACCAGGTTATTTGGTCTATAATGCAAATTTTGTATAATTGGATCTCAGGGAGATTGATGAGGATGCATTGGAGCAAGCTCTCAGTGCTGCTGTGACGTGCACGATATTGGCTGCTGCTGGACCCCAACGGTCCCGTGTTCTTGCTACCTTATACAAGGTATCTACGTCACTTAGCATGAAATTTTAGTTCGTGCTGCAAATATATTCCTTCACCTCAGTTAATTGGCAAACTTAATGTGTTTTCCGTGACTATCGTCTCAAACTGTGAAATTCAGCTTTATCAAGTGATTGACATAATTGATGTATTTAGTGTCAATTTTTCCTCCTTTTGCAAATTCATAATGGAGTTCCATGGGACATCAAATTTGATACTGTACTTTCCATCATCTTTTTTGTCATGCCTTTTTGGCTAGCTAAAGCATAACATGTGGCTCCTGATTAAAGCAAAGGCCACAATACCATTCAAGTTTTTGAACACCAATACTGGTACCCATAGTGGAACCTTACTGAACCAGTGCATACTGATTGATATGGTACAGAATGCATCGATGTGCTAATAACAATTATACAAAAAAAAAATGATTTGCTGATACTGATTTGTGTTAGTGGTACACTGGTCTATTGGTATGGTGTGTTTGATATACCACAATGTTCGAAACCATGCTACCATTTATTGATTCATGGTTTTCCTAGAATTCTATTTTAAAAATAAATTTCAGCAACAATAGTAAAAGTACACTTTCGGATCCTTCTTTTAGATTGAATGGACACTTGCTTTAAGGGAGATTGTGTGATCTGGTCATCCTTATCAAATGTACATAGCTAGGATATGGCTATATCGTTATAAGCTTAATTTGGGATGAGCCATTGTGAAATGTGTTGATGTTGTTCTTTCAAAGTAAATTGTTTAGGGAGTTCAGCAATTAAAATCTTTTGTTAATTAGAGCTGTTTCTTATTAAGTAACATGTTGCCTTATGGAATTTGATATTGTTGAAAACTTGAAATTTCTCCTTTTCCTTGTCAGGATGAGAGATGCTCAAAGCTGAAAATTTATCCCATTTTACAGAAGGTAGCCATTGTTCCCTTCTTTATAGGTCTCTTACTTTTGGTTATATCCCCACTACCTTTTTTCTACTCTATTGAAGAATTTTGATTAATATAAAATTATAAATGCTTTTAGGTGAATCTTGAGAGAATTTTGAGGAAACCGGAAATTGATGCATTTGCTGAGGAACTGAAAGCACACCAGGTAATCATACTTTGCTTATTCTTAGTTTTATTTCATTTTTCTTGTCTATCTTGTTGATATGGTACATTTTATCTTTGTTGTTGAACAGAAAGCTCTTTTACCAGACAATTTTACTGTGCTGGATCGTGCAATGATTGAGCATAATCTTCTGAGTGCCAGCAAATTATATACAAATATAAGGTTGAAAAAAAAGATCAACTTTATTCTGTAGATTCTTATTAACTTATGATTTATTTTAAAAATGATTTTTTCTTCTGATGAGCAGTTTTGAGGAGCTAGGAGCTTTATTGGGTATTCCTCCTCAAAAGGTTTGCTTTCTGTTAATCAAATTTATGTTGCCAGCTGTGATGCAGATTTTTTGTTCTTTGATCACTTGTGTTGTTATGTATTGTAATTGTTCTTCTCGTCATGTGCTGAAGTTTGCTTCTATATTAATGTGTCAATTCAAGAACTATATGCTTGATATCACGTGCTTGCTAGTATGGCATAACTCGTTATTATATCAAGTCCCTTTCTTTAGTTGCCAAAAAGAAATACAGCTGAATGTTATTTCCCCTTTTCAGGTTCTTGATATTGGCACAGAAAATTTCCAGTGGTCATAAAATACTTCACTACTACACTTTTGTTTTCACCAGTTATCCTTTGAGCATTACGACATGACTACTATGCCATATTACAGTTAGCTGGTTCTCAACTCTTGATTCTGTTACCTGCAATAGCTATATGATGTTAAAGAGTATAGTGATCAATTTCATTCACTGCTGATTGTCTTGATTATCATTGTTATCCACAGCCTTCTTTCATCAAGATGGTTTAGTTATGTTATAGAGCATAACTCAAAATCAAGAGGGAAGTCTTTTGGCATAGGCTGAACTATGTTCATTTGGAAGGATAAAGACACTTTAGACACTTGCCATCGACCAATCTTGGTTCTAATATCAGTTGAGAGAACAACAAAATCTGCTATGATTTTATGCACTACCCAGATCTGGAAAATTCAGATACAGTTTCTGCTGGTGCTTCAGGACTTTCTTTATATTTATGACGCTAATTCCTATTGTTTGATTTTATATGGCTTCCAGAACAAGCATATCAAATTTCTAGATTTTCGAAACAAATGTGACTTGTCATCTGCTATTCTACCACCTCATTATTTTTTGGCATATTGTAAAATTTTGGTCATTATTTCTGTCTGATTATATTGGAATGTTTCAAAAATCAATTATCTTACTTTGACCTATGATTTTTGCAGGCTGAAAAGATAGCAGCTAGAATGATCTACGAAGATAGAATGAGAGGATTAATCGACCAGGTAAAGATCCTCTGCTATGTAATTTAAGGATAAAATTAGCAACGTACTCCAGAATCTTCTTGATCTGGGTTCTAGCAAACCGTGCTTATCCCCAGATCAAGAGACGCAATAAAACAACAGAAGTAATGCAGCAGAGATGAAAAATTACAATCACAAGGCTACTACGACAGTTTAGTGGGAAAAGAGATTTACATTCTGGCACAAGCACACTTGGCCATACTATAAACAGAATTATCTATACAAATTCATTATTCTACCATCACTCAAAAGAGATTTAGTGTATGTATTTTAGTAAGATCTTGCTGATGTATCAACATAGCTACTAAGTTATACATTTCCCTCTTCCAGGTTGAAGCTGTCATATATTTTGAGGATGATACGGAGGAGTTGCGACAATGGGATCAACAGGCATGTCTTACTTGCACTTGCTAAGTAAATGATAGAACAATTATTAATAATTCAGATGATACATTAACATGTCTATGACTTAGCTAAGGAGCTAGGGCTGAATTTTATTATAGATTAAAATATTTAATTGTTGTATGACATCTAACCCCCTTTTTTTTTTACTACATGCAGATTGCAGGTTTATGTCAAGCATTTAATGATATACTTGATGGTATGACAAGCAAGGGCACACCAGTTCCTGTTTGAAATATATGCCTCGTCGAGAATTTAATTGGTACATACGATTGGGGTAATTCGAGTTTTTGGAACTTATCATACATGAATCATCTGTGTATAGCGAGTGACAAAATTGAGGATTTCCTCCCACTTATATGAAATAAATATAGAGTACTTCGAATTATTATTATTATTTGTACCCTTCCTTTGTTATTAAAATAATTGCTTGCCCTTATTTTATACCCTTCGTATGGATCTACCTACTGTGGGGGAAAAAAATTAGAAATAAGGAAGATCAATTACAATAAAAATAAATACATAACGTATGCAGGTACATTGGGATGCTGTGAACGATATATTTCAAGGATATTTACTAGTAAAGAATAAAATATAAAAATAAGAATAAAATAATGAGATCAATATCCTTCTTTCGACATATATATACCATTATAAAATTGCAAATGTACCATTATAATTAATATTCAGTGAAACTCCGTCTAATAAATATTAGCATAAAATCAAATTAAATAATTATTTCCTAAACTCCAATCCAACACGTATACGCGTATATACGGCTCGTTCGGGTTATGTCTACGCCTTAGAGAAAGGGTTTAAGACATATTTGGGCTGGCCCGTAAATATCGAGCCCACACAGGCCCATCAATGTCCGGGTTCGAAGAAACCCTAGACCGAGCGCTTTTAGGGTTTCGCCCGAGCGAGCCCTATTTAACGGCCATCCAGTCTCCGTCGTTGCTACGATCCTTTCCCTCTGACGTTACTTTTGCGGCTCGAACTCTTCTTTTTCTTTCTCCATCCGTCGTTTTTGATCTAACTCCCACTTCTCCGATCGAAATGTGGTTCTCTCGATGACGAGAAACGAAGCAGACGGGCGGTCAGAACCTGATGCCGTGTTGAATGTCTGCAGCACTCATCGACTTTCCTTGGAAAGCATCCGAGAGAGATTCCACTGATCATCGGTCTAATATCTAACGTTACGTACATATTTTGGTAGTTTGTGGTATTAGTTTTGGTTTGAAACATGAATCTGATCCGCTACGATGAAGATGCTGAATACTTATGTCTGGACAAACGAGATCCTTTTCTGTGTCGATGACTTGATTTGCTTTTTCTGAGCAGCATCAGATCAATTGTTTTTTGTTTTTGATGGTCAAGTAATTGCATCAGTTACCCTCCTCTTAGATGTTCATTTGTGTGTTCTTTTGGATCTAAGGGGATATAACGGGTGCAGAAATCTAAATGGTTGGCTTACCAGCCCATGGCATTTGATTTGGTTGCTCTGGCGTCAAATGGTCCGATCGAAATGCTTGTCAAATATCAAGATGTTTCTTTTTTTCTGGATTTTTTTTTCAATCAAAAGGGTGGCAGATGATGTGATCTTGAAATCTTATCCTACACACTGAATCATGGTGTGGACCAATAACTCCGCTTATTATCTGATGCCCCTTTTGCCGATTGTTCTATATCTCAATTTCTGAGTTTGTTGTTAATAAAGTAGTGATTTGATGCTATTATGTATATCGTGGCCTACATTTATGTACTAGAACAGTCTTTGTGTTTATTCTAGGGCTTTTCTGGCTGCTTATCTTAGCATTATCTTGTAACTATGTACGTGTATAATTGTTACTGATTTTATGGTGATTTATCTGTAGTTGTAAATCTTCAGTGTTGTTGTGCTCGATAACCCCAAATCAATCTTTTTTTTCAGCTAACTTGCATTATTAAAAAGAAACAGTTTTGTAGACTAGCCATCAATGGACTTTTATGCATAGGAGAATCATTTAGGACTTCTTCTATTCGCAAACCTCCATTAACAATGGCGTTTTGATTTCTTCTATGAGGTGATGTTTTTAGAAACAACCTTCATCTTTGCCAAACGTAGGCTAGTCTTGGGAAGGTAATATGTTTCGCAAGTGGGAGGCAAATGATGTGATTTCAAATCTTATCCTACACACTGAAAACACTGTGTGGACAGATAACTCCGCTTATTATCTGATGCCTCTTAACTTGTTTCAGTATCGTTTGGTATCTCTATTGTTTTCTAGTCAATTAGTTATACTGGCAACTTTATTTACTCAAATTGGTTTGAGATGACGAACGTAAAAAGTTTTATTATGTTCATTGTGTATGATTAGATATATGAACTAGGGGTCACGATTGGTCTTACACCTCGCAGGTTCTTATATGTAAGCTCGTTCATTGTTAACATTCCGAGGTTTTGGTAATCATTTTGTTTCCAAACATCAGCACTACAAGAAATATTCTTGTTTCCAAGTCTTAATACCTGTTGTTTTTGTAATGAGGTGAATGGAACTGATTGGCTGTTGCTGTCCTGAACTGATGCATCTCTTTTGTCCTGAACTGATTAGAGTTAGGTTGCTACTGGGAAGTCCATGCATGACTTTTCAAAGAAGCATTGAACCGTGGCGAGTGGTCATCCAAATTGTATTTATCAGGTATTCAGCATGGGAATACTGCTTCTAATACTAACTTTTTCTGGCATTTATTCATTTGGGTTGCATGTCCATGTTTTGCAATCACGAACATCTGTCTTTATGCAATGCAATCTCCTTTTCATCCTATTAGTTGATAAGCAGATACTGGTAAGTACTAACATCAGTTGATATGGATATCATATTGTGCTACTATGGCCAGGAGCATCTGCAAAAGCTTGTAGATGATCAATTGCAGCAACTCCTTTCTGGATTATCATTCTGCACTTCACATATAACTGTTAATTCTACTGTCGTTTCTAGAATTATTTTTTTCATGTGTAAATTAAACAAGTGAGCCTATGCCACAAGTCTCTTTTCAGTGTTGTCCACTCAAAACACCTGTGTATTGTGGTGGTGGTAGCATTTGGCATGGTTGAAAGTGATACTGTATGCCATGTTAGGAATATGCAATGCTGTTGTGTTTGAGGAATTTTTAACATGCCTTTTTCGAAGGCTCATCAGAGATGTCTGGCGTTATTGTGGTTAAAGCAATGGCAAGTGCCGTCTGGAAACGTTAATGTGTACTAATGCTGTGTTTGTGGGCTCCTCGGCATTCCCGTTTATGCTCTTTCGTGATCGTTATTGAACACCAAGTGTTTGATAACGATAATAATGTACAATGTTTTCATTAATGTTTCATCTGACATTATATTTTCGTTAACATGATGATGACGACGATGTAAATTCATATTTTCTTGATTTTTGAGACGTACGAACACGTTCGAAATAAGGTGTTTGGGCAGCATAAGTTTGGGTTATTATGATTTTGATCATGGATATTTTAAACTTTTATAATTTATAAATTTTTGGTTTAGTTTGACTTAACTGACTTGGTATATGCAATTTAAATTTAAGAAAAGGTTAAGGTTTAATTTAGTCATTTTTATTTTGGTCATGAATCTTTTAAATATTTATGATTTATTCATGTCAAATAATTAATATATTTTTAAAAACGTAATATGTAAGTATATGAGTCATATATATATATTTACTAACGATGAGCTAAAGAGTTTTCGATCATATTTCAGGTTATTGTTCGACCCTATAGCCTTAGCCACTTCCTCTTCCTTGACAAGTTGATTGGGGAGAGCGAGCAGATATAAAAAAGTTACATGAACCAGCTCAACTTCTCCTTTTGCTTGATCTCCATCTTCGTGATACTGTGTTTCACGGGGTAGGTGGCTTACAAGATATGGTGGTACTCGTTAGGGTCGGAGCGGGTGTCATTTGCCATGCGGAGTGACATGGTGGCGAGCGCCCTAAAGCTAGCGAGTTTGATTTACCATATGTCACTCATCAGTTCCAGGGCGCATGCCACAACGTCGCCCACTACGACGTTGGTTGCCATCGCAAACGACACTCGCTTCAATCCTAACGAGTACCTCTCCCACCATCACATCATAGGCACAGCAGGTGAGGGCGCAAGAGAGGACGAAGTGGAAGGTAGTATGGACAAAGACGCCTAGGAGGAGAAAGATGGCCAAAGAGACCATTACATGCCTAGCGTCGAACTGATTAACGCACATCCACTTGAGGCAGAATCGGAAGCTCTTGAGCTCGTCATCAGCGCGAAAGATGCTATGTGCATATGATGCCCTACTACACGGTAGCAGTTCGGTGCTACTACCGATGGTCGCTTCCACGATAACGCATCCTCCCACTATTGATAGTAGTGTTACTTGAGAGGAGGAGTGTATATGCTATGTTTTTTATAATGTATGAACTCTATTATACACGAGTAAACCATAAAGATTTAAAAGATCTAAGACAAAAATCACATGGGCTAAAATGAATTTAAACTTAAATTACACGTGTCATTATATTAATTATTTATTATGAGTCAGTATGTCACATAAGGGGCTAAAATTGATCTTTAAGTTTTTTGTTTAGGAATGGGGGGTTTGTTGATAATATACGATATGTGTTGTTTCAAGATGTCGAGGATGGTCATAGAGTAGGTTAATTATCGATTATAATTAAATCTTCTTAACATCTCGATCTCTAGATTTAAGAAATTTACAATGGAATCCTGTAAAAGTAAAATATTTAACTCTATTTATCTTAACATTATTGGTTTTACCGAAAAAAACATGAAAATAATGGATAAAAATCTTAACATTATTGGTTTTATAAAAAAAAAACATGAAAATAATGGATAAAAAGATCCTTTAACTTTATGACAGATTATTATGGATGAGGAGGAAGAGCGAAGGTGAGGGCAATCCCGCCCAACAGTCACCCGTACTTCATTCATTATCCACTCACCCGTACTTCATTCATTATCCACCCATTAGAACATTAAAATTATTTTTTTACTCATTATTTTTATACTTTCATTATTAAAACCAAACGATATTAAAACATCCTTGAAATTTTGATTCCTAAGTTTAAAATAATTTATATTGGAATCCTAGTAAAATATCTAACTCAATTTAAGGATAACTCGATTTAAGGATGTCTAACAACCAAAAATAATTGTAATTAGCAAACAATGATTGGTGTAGAAAAGAATTGATCTCGGTGCCTTACCTTACCCCCTTATGGGTAACATTCACCTTTGTAATAGCGACTATACAAGAGGATAAGAAACACCAGCAACTATTTTGGAAGTTCAGACTGAATAAACCTGGAAAGAGCACCCTCTAGTAATTGTTTCAATTGAATCAAGCATGAGATG